AAGTCTCATGGTTTTTCTCGAGTTGCGGCGGGGAACTGGGGTATGTTCTCAACTTACGGCGGGGATGGCCCTTCAAAACACGAGTTTCTTCAGTGACGTCAGGACTCCTGTCTAGTAACGAGGGACACGTCAGCAATCTCTTCGAGGCTTGGCAGGGCAAAAGGGACGCTTCTCGAGGTGAGCCAGGGCACCCAAGGACCCTTTCCAGTAGCCACAGGGATTTTGGGATTCCTATAAATATTCAAGAGGAGTCAGGCATCGTCACCTTTTGAAGCAATGAACTCCGCGTGCCTCTCGAGGTGTCAGCGGGATGTGAGGATTCCGTCAAAATGAGGCAGGGACCTAGGGCTTTCTCTAAGGTCTCCACAGGGGATTCAGACATCCCTTCATGTTGTGAGATGAAAGACGAGCCTGTATTCAAGCCACTGCAAGGAAATCCGGCCTCCTTTCAAGTTAGGGCTTCTCGCTGTATATTCCCCTTGAGGCAGCAAACTCGGGGTCCCTCCCACATACCTATTGCTGAGAGAAGCCTCCTCCTGAGGTGCTTCTGGAAAGGTGGCATACGTCTTGAGCCTAAGCCAGGGAATCAGCTCTCATCTCGAGACGATTTGGGGTACACAGAGCATTCCTCGAGTTGCTTTGCTGAAGTTGGTGGTCCTCTAGACTTGGGACAGTGTTCTCGAGGCATCTCTGGATTTGCCTGAAGGAAGTCGAGCCACCGGTCGTGTTGAATGGGGAACAAGGAATGGCTCTGGAGTCAATGCAGGGGAATCCGGCCTCATCTCGAGTTGATTTGGGGCACATGGAGCAGCTTTGCATTGCTGGGTGACCTCAGTGTCCGTCTAGACTGGTGACAGTGTTCTTGGGGACTTTCTCGAGATCCATTAACAAGTCGAAGCTCCTGACTTGTTTGAATGGGATCACGGAATAGCTCTGCATGAACTGCAAGGGAATGGGGCATCATCTCGCCTCTAGGGGGAAGTCTCATTGTTTTTCTCGAGTTGCGGCGGGGACCTGGGGTATGTTCTCGACTTACGGCGGGGATGGCCCTTCAAAACACGAGTTTCTTCCGTGACGTCAGGACTCCTGTCTAGTAACGAGGGACACCTCAGCAATCTCTTCGAGGCTTGGCAGGGCAAAAGGGACGCTTCTCGAGGTGAGCCAGGGCACCCAAGGACCCTTTCCATTAGCCACAGGGATTTTGGGATTCCTATCAGTATTCAAGAGGAGTCAGGCATCGTCACCTTTTGAAGCAATGAACTCCGCGTGCCTCTCGAGGTGTCAGCGGGATGTGAGGATTTCGTCAAAATGAGGCAGGGACCTAGGGCTTTCTCTAAGGTCTCCACAGGGGATTCAGACATCCCTTCATGTTGTGAGATGAAAGACGAGCCTGTATTCAAGCCACTGCAAGGAAATCCGGCCTCCTTTCAAGTTAGGGCTTCTCGCTGTATATTCCCCTTTAGGCAGCAAACTCGGAGTCCCTCCCACATACCTATTGCTGAGAGAAGCCTCCTCCTGAGTTGCTTCTGGAAAGTTGGCATAGGTCTTGAGCCTAAGCCAGGGATTCAGCTCTCATCTCGAGACGATTTGGGGTACACAGAGCATTCCTCGAGTTGCTGTGCTGAAGTTGGTGTTCCTCTAGACTTGGGACAGTGTTCTCTGGGCATCTCTGGAGTTGCCTGAAGGAAGTCGAGCCACCGGTCGTGTTGAATGGGGAACGGGGAATGTCTCTGGAGTCAATGCAGGGGAATCGGGCCTCATCTCGAGTTGATTTGTGGCACCTGGAGCTGCTTTGCGTTGCTGGGGTGACCTCAGGGTCCGTCTAGACTGGTGACAGTGTTCTTGGGGACTGCCTCGAGATCCATTAAGCAAGTCGAAGCTCCTGACTTGTTTGAATGGGATCACGGAATAGCTCTGCATGCACTGCAGGGGAATGGGGCCTCATCTCGCCTCTAGGGGGAATTCTCATGGTTTTTCTCGAGTTGCGGCGGGGCCCTGGGTTATGTTCTCGACTTACGGCGGGGATGGCCCTTCAAAACACGAGTTTCTCAAGTGACGTCAGGACTCCTGCCTAGTAACGAGGGACACCTCAGGAATCTCTTCGAGGCTTGGCAGGGCAGAAGGGACGCTTCTCGAGGTGAGCCAGGGCACCCAAGGACCCTTTCCAGTAGCCACAGGGATTTTGGGATTCCTATCAGTATTCAAGAGGAGTCAGGCATCGTCACCTTTTGAAGCAATGAACTCCGCGTGCCTCTCGAGGTGTCAGCGGGATGTGAGGATTCCGTCAAAATGAGGCAGGGACCTAGGGCTTTCTCTAAGGTCTCCACAGGGGATTCAGACATCCCTTCATGTTGTTAGATGAAAGACGAGCCTGTATTCAAGCCACTGCAAGGAAATCCGTCCTCCTTTCAAGTTAGGGCTTCTCGCTGTATATTCCCCTTGAGGCAGAAATCTCGGAGTCCCTCCCACATACCTATTGCTGAGAGAAGCCTCCTCCTGAGGTGCTTCTGGAAAGTTGGCATACGTCTTGAGCCTAAGCCAGGGATTCAGCTCTCATCTCGAGACGATTTGGGGTACACAGAGCATTCCTCGAGTTGCTGTGCTGAAGTTGGTGTTCCTCTAGACTTGGGACAGTGTTCTCTGGGCATCTCTGGAGTTGCCTGAAGGAAGTCGAGCCACCGGTCGTGTTGAATGGGGAACGGGGAATGGCTCTGGAGTCAATGCAGGGGAATCGGGCCTCATCTCGAGTTGATTTGTGGCACCTGGAGCTGCTTTGCGTTGCTGGGGTGACCTCAGGGTCCGTCTAGACTGGCGACAGTGTTCTTGGGGACTGCCTCGAGATCCATTAAGCAAGTCGAAGCTCCTGACTTGTTTGAATGGGATCACGGAATAGCTCTGCATGCACTGCAAGGGAATGGGGCCTCATCTCGCCTCTAGGGGGAAGTCTCATGGTTTTTCTCGAGTTGCGGCGGGGACCTGGGGTATGTTCTCGACTTACGGCGGGGATGGCCCTTCAAAACACGAGTTTCTTCCGTGACGTCAGGACTCCTGTCTAGTAACGAGGGACACCTCAGCAATCTCTTCGAGGCTTGGCAGGGCAAAAGGGACGCTTCTCGAGGTGAGCCAGGGCACCCAAGGACCCTTTCCATTAGCCACAGGGATTTTGGGATTCCTATCAGTATTCAAGAGGAGTCAGGCATCGTCACCTTTTGAAGCAATGAACTCCGCGTGCCTCTCGAGGTGTCAGCGGGATGTGATGATTACGTCAAAATGAGGCAGGGACCTAGGGCTTTCTCTAAGGTCTCCACAGGGGATTCAGACATCCCTTCATGTTGTGAGATGAAAGACGAGCCTGTATTCAAGCCACTGCAAGGAAATCCGGCCTCCTTTCAAGTTAGGGCTTCTCGCTGTATATTTCCCTTGAGGCAGAAATCTCGGAGTCCCTCCCACATACCTATTGCTGAGAGAAGCCTCCTCCTGAGGTGCTTCTGGAAAGTTGGCATAGGTCTTGAGCCTAAGCCAGGGATTCAGCTCTCATCTCGAGACGATTTGGGGTACACAGAGCATTCCTCGAGTTGCTGTGCTGAAGTTGGTGTTCCTCTAGACTTGGGACAGTGTTCTCTGGGCATCTCTGGAGTTGCCTGAATGAAGTCGAGCCACCGGTCGTGTTGAATGGGGAACGGGGAATGTCTCTGGAGTCAATGCAGGGGAATCGGGCCTCATCTCGAGTTGATTTGTGGCACCTGGAGCTGCTTTGCGTTGCTGGGGTGACCTCAGGGTCCGTCTAGACTGGTGACAGTGTTCTTGGGGACTGCCTCGAGATCCATTAAGCAAGTCGAAGCTCCTGACTTGTTTGAATGGGATCACGGAATAGCTCTGCATGCACTGCAGGGGAATGGGGCCTCATCTCGCCTCTAGGGGGAAGTCTCATGGTTTTTCTCGAGTTGCGGCGGGGACCTGGGGTATGTTCTCGACTTACGGCGGGGATGGCCCTTCAAAACACGAGTTTCTTCAGTGACGTCAGGACTCCTGCCTAGTAACGAGGGACACCTCAGGAATCTCTTCGAGGCTTGGCAGGGCAAAAGGGACGCTTCTCGAGGTGAGCCAGGGCACCCAAGGACCCTTTCCAGTAGCCACAGGGATTTTGGGATTCCTATCAGTATTCAAGAGGAGTCAGGCATCGTCACCTTTTGAAGCAATGAACTCCGCGTGCCTCTCGAGGTGTCAGCGGGATGTGATGATTCCGTCAAAATGAGGCAGGGACCTAGGGCTTTCTCTAAGGTCTCCACAGGGGATTCAGACATCCCTTCATGTTGTGAGATGAAAGACGAGCCTGTATTCAAGCCACTGCAAGGAAATCCGTCCTCCTTTCAAGTTAGGGCTTCTCGCTGTATATTCCCCTTGAGGCAGAAATCTCGGAGTCCCTCCCACATACCTATTGCTGAGAGAAGCCTCCTCCTGAGGTGCTTCTGGAAAGTTGGCATACGTCTTGAGCCTAAGCCAGGGATTCAGCTCTCATCTCGAGACGATTTGGGGTACACAGAGCATTCCTCGAGTTGCTGTGCTGAAGTTAGTGTTCCTCTAGACTTGGGACAGTGTTCTCTGGGCATCTCTGGAGTTGCCTGAAGGAAGTCGAGCCACCGGTCGTGTTGAATGGGGAACGGGGAATGGCTCTGGAGTCAATGCAGGGGAATCGGGCCTCATCTCGAGTTGATTTGTGGCACCTGGAGCTGCTTTGCGTTGCTGGGGTGACCTCAGGGTCCGTCTAGACTGGTGACAGTGTTCTTGGGGACTGCCTCGAGATCCATTAAGCAAGTCGAAGCTCCTGACTTGTTTGAATGGGATCACGGAATAGCTCTGCATGCACTGCAGGGGAATGGGGCCTCATCTCGCCTCTAGGGGGAGTCTCATGGTTTTTCTCGAGTTGCGGCGGGGAACTGGGGTATGTTCTCAACTTACGGCGGGGATGGCCCTTCAAAACACGAGTTTCTTTAGTGACGTCAGGACTCCTGTCTAGTAACGAGGGACACGTCAGCAATCTCTTCGAGGCTTGGCAGGGCAAAAGGGACGCTTCTCGAGGTGAGCCAGGGCACCCAAGGACCCTTTCCATTAGCCACAGGGATTTTGGGATTCCTATAAATATTCAAGAGGAGTCAGGCATCGTCACCTTTTGAAGCAATGAACTCCGCGTGCCTCTCGAGGTGTCAGCGGGATGTGAGGATTCCGTCAAAATGAGGCAGGGACCTAGGGCTTTCTCTAAGGTCTCCACAGGGGATTCAGACATCCCTTCATGTTGTGAGATGAAAGACGAGCCTGTATTCAAGCCACTGCAAGGAAATCCGGCCTCCTTTCAAGTTAGGGCTTCTCGCTGTATATTCCCCTTGAGGCAGCAAACTCGGGGTCCCTCCCACATACCTATTGCTGAGAGAAGCCTCCTCCTGAGGTGCTTCTGGAAAGGTGGCATACGTCTTGAGCCTAAGCCAGGGAATCAGCTCTCATCTCGAGACGATTTGGGGTACACAGAGCATTCCTCGAGTTGCTGTGCTGAAGTTGGTGTTCCTCTAGACTTGGGACAGTGTTCTCTGGGCATCTCTGGAGTTGCCTGAAGGAAGTCGAGCCACCGGTCGTGTTGAATGGGGAACGGGGAATGTCTCTGGAGTCAATGCAGGGGAATCGGGCCTCATCTCGAGTTGATTTGTGGCACCTGGAGCTGCTTTGCGTTGCTGGGGTGACCTCAGGGTCCGTCTAGACTGGTGACAGTGTTCTTGGGGACTGCCTCGAGATCCATTAAGCAAGTCGAAGCTCCTGACTTGTTTGAATGGGATCACGGAATAGCTCTGCATGCACTGCAGGGGAATGGGGCCTCATCTCGCCTCTAGGGGGAAGTCTCATGGTTTTTCTCGAGTTGCGGCGGGGCCCTGGGTTATGTTCTCGACTTACGGCGGGGATGGCCCTTCAAAACACGAGTTTCTCCAGTGACGTCAGGACTCCTGCCTAGTAACGAGGGACACCTCAGGAATCTCTTCGAGGCTTGGCAGGGCAGAAGGGACGCTTCTCGAGGTGAGCCAGGGCACCCAAGGACCCTTTCCAGTAGCCACAGGGATTTTGGGATTCCTATCAGTATTCAAGAGGAGTCAGGCATCGTCACCTTTTGAAGCAATGAACTCCGCGTGCCTCTCGAGGTGTCAGCGGGATGTGATGATTCCGTCAAAATGAGGCAGGGACCTAGGGCTTTCTCTAAGGTCTCCACAGGGGATTCAGACATCCCTTCATGTTGTGAGATGAAAGACGAGCCTGTATTCAAGCCACTGCAAGGAAATCCGGCCTCCTTTCAAGTTAGGGCTTCTCGCTGTATATTCCCCTTGAGGCAGCAAACTCGGGGTCCCTCCCACATACCTATTGCTGAGAGAAGCCTCCTCCTGAGGTGCTTCTGGAAAGGTGGCATACGTCTTGAGCCTAAGCCAGGGAATCAGCTCTCATCTCGAGACGATTTGGGGTACACAGAGCATTCCTCGAGTTGCTGTGCTGAAGTTGGTGGTCCTCTAGACTTGGGACAGTGTTCTCGGGGCATCTCTGGAGTTGCCTGAAGGAAGTCGAGCCACCGGTCGTGTTGAATGGGGAACAAGGAATGGCTCTGGAGTCAATGCAGGGGAATCCGGCCTCATCTCGAGTTGATTTGGGGCACATGGAGCTGCTTTGCATTGCTGGGTGACCTCAGGGTCCGTCTAGACTGGTGACAGTGTTCTTCGGGACTGTCTCGAGATCCATTAAGCAAGTCGAAGCTCCTGACTTGTTTGAATGGGATCACGGAATAGCTCTGCATGCACTGCAGGGGAATGGGGCCTCATCTCGCCTCTAGGGGGAAGTCTCATGGTTTTTCTCGAGTTGCGGCGGGGACCTGGGGTGTGTTCTCGACTTACGGCGGGGATGGCCCTTCAAAACACGAGTTTCTTCCGTGACGTCAGGACTCCTGTCTAGTAACGAGGGACACCTCAGCAATCTCTTCGAGGCTTGGCAGGGCAAAAGGGACGCTTCTCGAGGTGAGCCAGGGCACCCAAGGACCCTTTCCATTAGCCACAGGAATTTTGGGATTCCTATCAGTATTCAAGAGGAGTCAGGCATCGTCACCTTTTGAAGCAATGAACTCCGCGTGCCTCTCGAGGTGTCAGCGGGATGTGAGGATTCCGTCAAAATGAGGCAGGGACCTAGGGTTTTCTCTAAGGTCTCCACAGGGGATTCAGACATCCCTTCATGTTGTGAGATGAAAGACGAGCCTGTATTCAAGCCCCTGCAAGGAAATCCGTCCTCCTTTCAAGTTAGGGCTTCTCGCTGTATATTCCCCTTGAGGCTGCAATTTCGGAGTCCCTCCCACATACCTATTGCTGAGAGAAGCCTCCTCCTGAGGTGCTTCTGGAAAGTTGGCATACGTCTTGAGCCTAAGCCAGGGATTCAGCTCTCATCTCGAGACGATTTGGGGTACACAGAGCATTCCTCGAGTTGCTGTGCTGAAGTTGGTGTTCCTCTAGGCTTGGGACAGTGTTCTCTGGGCATCTCTGGAGTTGCCTGAAGGAAGTCGAGCAACCGGTCGTGTTGAATGGGGAACGGGGAATGTCTCTGGAGTCAATGCAGGGGAATCGGGCCTCATCTCGAGTTGATTTGTGGCACCTGGAGCTGCTTCTCGTTGCTGGGGTGACCTCAGGGTCCGTCTAGACTGGTGACAGTGTTCTTGGGGACTGCCTCGAGATCCATTAAGCAAGTCGAAGCTCCTGACTTGTTTGAATGGGATCACGGAATAGCTCTGCATGCACTGCAGGGGAATGGGGCCTCATCTCGCCTCTAGGGGGAATTCTCATGGTTTTTCTCGAGTTGCGGCGGGGCCCTGGGTTATGTTCTCGACTTACGGCGGGGATGGCCCTTCAAAACACGAGTTTCTCCAGTGACGTCAGGACTCCTGCCTAGTAACGAGGGACACCTCAGGAATCTCTTCGAGGCTTGGCAGGGCAGAAGGGACGCTTCTCGAGGTGAGCCAGGGCACCCAAGGACCCTTTCCAGTAGCCACAGTGATTTTGGGATTCCTATCAGTATTCAAGAGGAGTCAGGCATCGTCACCTTTTGAAGCAATGAACTCCGCGTGCCTCTCGAGGTGTCAGCGGGATGTGAGGATTCCGTCAAAATGAGGCAGGGACCTAGGGCTTTCTCTAAGGTCTCCACAGGGGATTCAGACATCCCTTCATGTTGTGAGATGAAAGACGAGCCTGTATTCAAGCCACTGCAAGGAAATCCGTCCTCCTTTCAAGTTAGGGCTTCTCGCTGTATATTCCCCTTGAGGCAGAAATCTCGGAGTCCCTCCCACATACCTATTGCTGAGAGAAGCCTCCTCCTGAGGTGCTTCTGGAAAGTTGGCATACGTCTTGAGCCTAAGCCAGGGATTCAGCTCTCATCTCGATTCGATTTGGGGTACACAGAGCATTCCTCGAGTTGCTGTGCTGAAGTTGGTGTTCCTCTAGACTTGGGACAGTGTTCTCTGGGCATCTCTGGAGTTGCCTGAAGGAAGTCGAGCCACCGGTCGTGTTGAATGGGGAACGGGGAATGGCTCTGGAGTCAATGCAGGGGAATCGGGCCTCATCTCGAGTTGATTTGTGGCACCTGGAGCTGCTTTGCGTTGCTGGGGTGACCTCAGGGTCCGTCTAGACTGGCGACAGTGTTCTTGGGGACTGCCTCGAGATCCATTAAGCAAGTTGAAGCTCCTGACTTGTTTGAATGGGATCACGGAATAGCTCTGCATGCACTGCAGGGGAATGGGGCCTCATCTCGCCTCTAGGGGGAAGTCTCATGGTTTTTCTCGAGTTGCGGCGGGGACCTGGGGTATGTTCTCGACTTACGGCGGGGATGGCCCTTCAAAACACGAGTTTCTTCGGTGACGTCAGGACTCCTGTCTAGTAACGAGGGACACCTCAGCAATCTCTTCGAGGCTTGGCAGGGCAAAAGGGACGCTTCTCGAGGTGAGCCAGGGCACCCAAGGACACTTTCCAGTAGCCACAGGGATTTTGGGATTCCTATCAGTATTCAAGAGGAGTCAGGCATCGTCACCTTTTGAAGCAATGAACTCCGCGTGCCTCTCGAGTTGTCAGCGGGATGTGAGGATTCCGTCAAAATGAGGCAGGGACCTAGGGCTTTCTCTAAGGTCTCCACAGGGGATTCAGACATCCCTTCATGTTGTGAGATGAAAGACGAGCCGGTATTCAAGCCACTGCAAGGAAATCCGGCCTCCTTTCAAGTTAGGACTTCTCGCTGTATATTCCCCTTGAGGCAGCAAACTCGGGGTCCCTCCCACATACCTATTGCTGAGAGAAGCCTCCTCCTGAGGTGCTTCTGGAAAGGTGGCATACGTCTTGAGCCTAAGCCAGGGAATCAGCTCTCATCTCGAGACGATTTGGGGTACACAGAGCATTTCTCGAGTTGCTGTGCTGAAGTTGGTGGTCCTCTAGACTTGGGACAGTGTTCTCGGGGCATCTCTGGAGTTGCCTGAAAGAAGGCGAGCCACCGGTCGTGTTGAATGGGGAACAAGGAATGGCTCTGGAGTCAATGCAGGGGAATCCGGCCTCATCTCGAGTTGATTTGGGGCACATGGAGCTGCTTTGCATTGCTGGGTGACCTCAGGGTCCGTCTTGACTGGTGACAGTGTTCTTGGGGACTGCCTCGAGATCCATTAAGCAAGTCGAAGCTCCTGACTTGTTTGAATGGGATCACGGAATAGCTCTGCATGCACTGCAGGGGAATGGGAGCTCATCTCGCCTCTAGGGGGAAGTCTCATGGTTTTTCTCGAGTTGCGGCGGGGACCTGGGGTATGTTCTCGACTTACGGCGGGGATGGCCCTTCAAAACACGAGTTTCTTCAGTGACGTCAGGACTCCTGTCTAGTAACGAGGGACACGTCAGCAATCTCTTCGAGGCTTGGCAGGGCAAAAGGGACGCTTCTCGAGGTGAGCCAGGGCACCCAAGGACCCTTTCCAGTAGCCACAGGGATTTGGGGATTCCTATCAGTATTCAAGAGGAGTCAGGCATCGTCACCTTTTGAAGCAATGAACTCCGCGTGCCTCTCGAGGTGTCAGCGGGATGTGAGGATTCCGTCAAAATGAGGCAGGGACCTAGGGCTTTCTCTAAGGTCTCCACAGGGGATTCAGACATCCCTTCATGTTGTGAGATGAAAGACGAGCCTGTATTCAAGCCCCTGCAAGGAAATCCGGCCTCCTTTCAAGTTAGGGCTTCTCGCTGTATATTCCCCTTTAGGCAGCAAACTCGGGGTCCCTCTCACATACCTATTGCTGAGAGAAGCCTCCTCCTGAGGTGCTTCTGGAAAGTTGGCATAGGTCTTGAGCCTAAGCCAGGGATTCAGCTCTCATCTCGAGACGATTTGGGGTACACAGAGCATTCCTCGAGTTGCTGTGCTGAAGTTGGTGTTCCTCTAGACTTGGGACAGTGTTCTCTGGGCATCTCTGGAGTTGCCTGAAGGAAGTCGAGCCACCGGTCGTGTTGAATGGGGAACGGGGAATGTCTCTGGAGTCAATGCAGGGGAATCGGGCCTCATCTCGAGTTGATTTGTGGCACCTGGAGCTGCTTTGCGTTGCTGGGGTGACCTCAGGGTCCGTCTAGACTGGTGACAGTGTTCTTGGGGACTGCCTCGAGATCCATTAAGCAAGTCGAAGCTCCTGACTTGTTTGAATGGGATCACGGAATAGCTCTGCATGCACTGCAGGGGAATGGGGCCTCATCTCGCCTCTAGGGGGAATTCTCATGGTTTTTCTCGAGTTGCGGCGGGGCCCTGGGTTATGTTCTCGACTTACGGCGGGGATGGCACTTCAAAACACGAGTTTCTCCAGTGACGTCAGGACTCCTGCCTAGTAACGAGGGACACCTCAGGAATCTCTTCGAGGCTTGGCAGGGCAGAAGGGACGCTTCTCGAGGTGAGCCAGGGCACCCAAGGACCCTTTCCAGTAGCCACAGTGATTTTGGGATTCCTATCAGTATTCAAGAGGAGTCAGGCATCGTCACCTTTTGAAGCAATGAACTCCGCGTGCCTCTCGAGGTGTCAGCGGGATGTGAGGATTCCGTCAAAATGAGGCAGGGACCTAGGGCTTTCTCTAAGGTCTCCACAGGGGATTCAGACATCCCTTCATGTTGTGAGATGAAAGACGAGCCTGTATTCAAGCCACTGCAAGGAAATCCGTCCTCCTTTCAAGTTAGGGCTTCTCGCTGTATATTCCCCTTGAGGCAGAAATCTCGGAGTCCCTCCCACATACCTATTGCTGAGAGAAGCCTCCTCCTGAGGTGCTTCTGGAAAGTTGGCATACGTCTTGAGCCTAAGCCAGGGATTCAGCTCTCATCTCGAGACGATTTGAGGTACACAGAGCATTCCTCGAGTTGCTGTGCTGAAGTTGGTGTTCCTCTAGACTTGGGACAGTGTTCTCTGGGCATCTCTGGAGTTGCCTGAAGGAAGTCGAGCCACCGGTCGTGTTGAATGGGGAACGGGGAATGGCTCTGGAGTCAATGCAGGGGAATCGGGCCTCATCTCGAGTTGATTTGTGGCACCTGGAGCTGCTTTGCGTTGCTGGGGTGACCTCAGGGTCCGTCTAGACTGGCGACAGTGTTCTTGGGGACTGCCTCGAGATCCATTAAGCAAGTTGAAGCTCCTGACTTGTTTGAATGGGATCACGGAATAGCTCTGCATGCACTGCAGGGGAATGGGGCCTCATCTCGCCTCTAGGGGGAAGTCTCATGTTTTTCTCGAGTTGCGGCGGGGAACTGGGGTATGTTCTCAACTTACGGCGGGGATGGCCCTTCAAAACACGAGTTTCTTGAGTGACGTCAGGGCTCCTGTCTAGTAACGAGGGACACCTCAGCAATCTCTTCGAGGCTTGGCAGGGCAAAAGGGACGCTTCTCGAGGTGAGCCAGGGCACCCAAGGACACTTTCCAGTAGCCACAGGGATTTTGGGATTCCTATCAGTATTCAAGAGGAGTCAGGCATCGTCACCTTTTGAAGCAATGAACTCCGCGTGCCTCTCGAGGTGTCAGCGGGATGTGAGGATTCCGTCAAAATGAGGCAGGGACCTAGGGCTTGCTCTAAGGTCTCCACAGGGGATTCAGACATCCCTTCATGTTGTGAGATGAAAGACGAGCCGGTATTCAAGCCACTGCAAGGAAATCCGGCCTCCTTTCAAGTTAGGACTTCTCGCTGTATATTCCCCTTGAGGCAGCAAACTCGGGGTCCCTCCCACATACCTATTGCTGAGAGAAGCCTCCTCCTGAGGTGCTTCTGGAAAGGTGGCATACGTCTTGAGCCTAAGCCAGGGAATCAGCTCTCATCTCGAGACGATTTGGGGTACACAGAGCATTTCTCGAGTTGCTGTGCTGAAGTTGGTGGTCCTCTAGACTTGGGACAGTGTTCTCGGGGCATCTCTGGAGTTGCCTGAAAGAAGGCGAGCCACCGGTCGTGTTGAATGGGGAACAAGGAATGGCTCTGGAGTCAATGCAGGGGAATCCGGCCTCATCTCGAGTTGATTTGGGGCACATGGAGCTGCTTTGCATTGCTGGGTGACCTCAGGGTCCGTCTTGACTGGTGACAGTGTTCTTGGGGACTGCCTCGAGATCCATTAAGCAAGTCGAAGCTCCTGACTTGTTTGAATGGGATCACGGAATAGCTCTGCATGCACTGCAGGGGAATGGGGCCTCATCTCGCCTCTAGGGGGAAGTCTCATGGTTTTTCTCGAGTTGCGGCGGGGACCTGGGGTATGTTCTCGACTTACGGCGGGGATGGCCCTTCAAAACACGAGTTTCTTCAGTGACGTCAGGACTCCTGTCTAGTAACGAGGGACACGTCAGCAATCTCTTCGAGGCTTGGCAGGGCAAAAGGGACGCTTCTCGAGGTGAGCCAGGGCACCCAAGGACCCTTTCCAGTAGCCACAGGGATTTGGGGATTCCTATCAGTATTCAAGAGGAGTCAGGCATCGTCACCTTTTGAAGCAATGAACTCCGCGTGCCTCTCGAGGTGTCAGCGGGATGTGAGGATTCCGTCAAAATGAGGCAGGGACCTAGGGCTTTCTCTAAGGTCTCCACAGGGGATTCAGACATCCCTTCATGTTGTGAGATGAAAGACGAGCCTGTATTCAAGCCACTGCAAGGAAATCCGGCCTCCTTTCAAGTTAGGGCTTCTCGCTGTATATTCCCCTTTAGGCAGCAAACTCGGAGTCCCTCCCACATACCTATTGCTGAGAGAAGCCTCCTCCTGAGGTGCTTCTGGAAAGTTGGCATAGGTCTTGAGCCTAAGCCAGGGATTCAGCTCTCATCTCGAGACGATTTGGGGTACACAGAGCATTCCTCGAGTTGCTGTGCTGAAGTTGGTGTTCCTCTAGACTTGGGACAGTGTTCTCTGGGCATCTCTGGAGTTGCCTGAAGGAAGTCGAGCCACCGGTCGTGTTGAATGGGGAACGGGGAATGTCTCTGGAGTCAATGCAGGGGAATCGGGCCTCATCTCGAGTTGATTTGTGGCACCTGGAGCTGCTTTGCGTTGCTGGGGTGACCTCAGGGTCCGTCTAGACTGGTGACAGTGTTCTTGGGGACTGCCTCGAGATCCATTAAGCAAGTCGAAGCTCCTGACTTGTTTGAATGGGATCACGGAATAGCTCTGCATGCACTGCAGGGGAATGGGGCCTCATCTCGCCTCTAGGGGGAATTCTCATGGTTTTTCTCGAGTTGCGGCGGGGCCCTGGGTTATGTTCTCGACTTACGGCGGGGATGGCCCTTCAAAACACGAGTTTCTCCAGTGACGTCAGGACTCCTGCCTAGTAACGAGGGACACCTCAGGAATCTCTTCGAGGCTTGGCAGGGCAGAAGGGACGCTTCTCGAGGTGAGCCAGGGCACCCAAGGACCCTTTCCAGTAGCCACAGTGATTTTGGGATTCCTATCAGTATTCAAGAGGAGTCAGGCATCGTCACCTTTTGAAGCAATGAACTCCGCGTGCCTCTCGAGGTGTCAGCGGGATGTGAGGATTCCGTCAAAATGAGGCAGGGACCTAGGGCTTTCTCTAAGGTCTCCACAGGGGATTCAGACATCCCTTCATGTTGTGAGATGAAAGACGAGCCTGTATTCAAGCCACTGCAAGGAAATCCGTCCTCCTTTCAAGTTAGGGCTTCTCGCTGTATATTCCCCTTGAGGCAGAAATCTCGGAGTCCCTCCCACATACCTATTGCTGAGAGAAGCCTCCTCCTGAGGTGCTTCTGGAAAGTTGGCATACGTCTTGAGCCTAAGCCAGGGATTCAGCTCTCATCTCGAGACGATTTGGGGTACACAGAGCATTCCTCGAGTTGCTGTGCTGAAGTTGGTGTTCCTCTAGACTTGGGACAGTGTTCTCTGGGCATCTCTGGAGTTGCCTGAAGGAAGTCGAGCCACCGGTCGTGTTGAATGGGGAACGGGGAATGGCTCTGGAGTCAATGCAGGGGAATCGGGCCTCATCTCGAGTTGATTTGTGGCACCTGGAGCTGCTTTGCGTTGCTGGGGTGACCTCAGGGTCCGTCTAGACTGGCGACAGTGTTCTTGGGGACTGCCTCGAGATCCATTAAGCAAGTTGAAGCTCCTGACTTGTTTGAATGGGATCACGGAATAGCTCTGCATGCACTGCAGGGGAATGGGGCCTCATCTCGCCTCTAGGGGGAAGTCTCATGTTTTTCTCGAGTTGCTGCGGGGAACTGGGGTATGTTCTCAACTTACGGCGGGGATGGCCCTTCAAAACACGAGTTTCTTGAGTGACGTCAGGGCTCCTGTCTAGTAACGAGGGACACGTCAGCAATCTCTTCGAGGCTTGGCAGGGCAAAAGGGACGCTCCTCGAGGTGAGCCAGGGCACCCAAGGACCCTTTCCATTAGCCACAGGGATTTGTGGATTCCTATCAGTATTCAAGAGGAGTCAGGCATCGTCACCTTTTGAAGCAATGAACTCCGCGTGCCTCTCGAGGTGTCAGCGGGATGTGAGGATTCCGTCAAAATGAGGCAGGGACCTAGGGCTTTCTCTAAGGTCTCCACAGGGGATTCAGACATCCCTTCATGTTGTGAGATGAAAGACGAGCCTGTATTCAAGCCACTGCAAGGAAATCCGGCCTCCTTTCAAGTTAGGGCTTCTCGCTGTATATTCCCCTTGAGGCAGAAATCTCGGAGTCCCTCCCACATACCTATTGCTGAGAGAAGCCTCCTCCTGAGGTGCTTCTGGAAAGTTGGCATAGGTCTTGAGCCTAAGCCAGGGATTCAGCTCTCATCTCGAGACGATTTGGGGTACACAGAGCATTCCTCGAGTTGCTGTGCTGAAGTTGGTGTTCCTCTAGACTTGGGACAGTGTTCTCGGGGCATCTCTGGAGTTGCCTGAAGGAAGTCGAGCCACCGGTCGTGTTGAATGGGGAACGGGGAATGTCTCTGGAGTCAATGCAGGGGAATCGGGCCTCATCTCGAGTTGATTTGTGGCACCTGGAGCTGCTTTGCGTTGCTGGGGTGACCTCAGGGTCCGTCTAGACTGGTGACAGTGTTCTTGGGGACTGCCTCGAGATCCATTAAGCAAGTCGAAGCTCCTGACTTGTTTGAATGGGATCACGGAATAGCTCTGCATGCACTGCAGGGGAATGGGGCCTCATCTCGCCTCTAGGGGGAATTCTCATGGTTTTTCTCGAGTTGCGGCGGGGCCCTGGGTTATGTTCTCGACTTACGGCGGGGATGGCCCTTCAAAACACGAGTTTCTCCAGTGACGTCAGGACTCCTGCCTAGTAACGAGGGACACCTCAGGAATCTCTTCGAGGCTTGGCAGGGCAGAAGGGACGCTTCTCGAGGTGAGCCAGGGCACCCAAGGACCCTTTCCAGTAGCCACAGTGATTTTGGGATTCCTATCAGTATTCAAGAGGAGTCAGGCATCGTCACCTTTTGAAGCAATGAACTCCGCGTGCCTCTCGAGGTGTCAGCGGGATGTGAGGATTCCGTCAAAATGAGGCAGGGACCTAGGGCTTTCTCTAAGGTCTCCACAGGGGATTCAGACATCCCTTCATGTTGTGAGATGAAAGACGAGCCTGTATTCAAGCCACTGCAAGGAAATCCGTCCTCCTTTCAAGTTAGGGCTTCTCGCTGTATATTCCCCTTGAGGCAGAAATCTCGGAGTCCCTCCCACATACCTATTGCTGAGAGAAGCCTCCTCCTGAGGTGCTTCTGGAAAGTTGGCATACGTCTTGAGCCTAAGCCAGGGATTCAGCTCTCATCTCGAGACGATTTGGGGTACACAGAGCATTCCTCGAGTTGCTGTGCTGAAGTTGGTGTTCCTCTAGACTTGGGACAGTGTTCTCTGGGCATCTCTGGAGTTGCCTGAAGGAAGTCGAGCCACCGGTCGTGTTGAATGGGGAACGGGGAATGGCTCTGGAGTCAATGCAGGGGAATCGGGATTCATCTCGAGTTGATTTGTGGCACCTGGAGCTGCTTTGCGTTGCTGGGGTGACCTCAGGGTCCGTCTAGACTGGCGACAGTGTTCTTGGGGACTGCCTCGAGATCCATTAAGCAAGTCGAAGCTCCTGACTTGTTTGAATGGGATCACGGAATAGCTCTGCATGCACTGCAAGGGAATGGGGCCTCATCTCGCCTCTAGGGGGAAGTCTCATGGTTTTTCTCGAGTTGCGGCGGGGACCTGGGGTATGTTCTCGACTTACGGCGGGGATGGCCCTTCAAAACACGAGTTTCTTCGGTGACGTCAGGACTCCTGTCTAGTAACGAGGGACACCTCAGCAATCTCTTCGAGGCTTGGCAGGGCAAAAGGGACGCTTCTCGAGGTGAGCCAGGGCACCCAAGGACACTTTCCAGTAGCCACAGGGATTTTGGGATTCCTATCAGTATTCAAGAGGAGTCAGGCATCGTCACCTTTTGAAGCAATGAACTCCGCGTGCCTCTCGAGGTGTCAGCGGGATGTGAGGATTCCGTCAAAATGAGGCAGGGACCTAGGGCTTTCTCTAAGGTCTCCACAGGGGATTCAGACATCCCTTCATGTTGTGAGATGAAAGACGAGCCGGTATTCAAGCCACTGCAAGGAAATCCGGCCTCCTTTCAAGTTAGGACTTCTCGCTGTATATTCCCCTTGAGGCAGCAAACTCGGGGTCCCTCCCACATACCTATTGCTGAGAGAAGCCTCCTCCTGAGGTGCTTCTGGAAAGGTGGCATACGTCTTGAGCCTAAGCCAGGGAATCAGCTCTCATCTCGAGACGATTTGGGGTACACAGAGCATTTCTCGAGTTGCTGTGCTGAAGTTGGTGGTCCTCTAGACTTGGGACAGTGTTCTCGGGGCATCTCTGGAGTTGCCTGAAAGAAGGCGAGCCACCGGTCGTGTTGAATGGGGAACAAGGAATGGCTCTGGAGTCAATGCAGGGGAATCCGGCCTCATCTCGAGTTGATTTGGGGCACATGGAGCTGCTTTGCATTGCTGGGTGACCTCAGGGTCCGTCTTGACTGGTGACAGTGTTCTTGGGGACTGCCTCGAGATCCATTAAGCAAGTCGAAGCTCCTGACTTGTTTGAATGGGATCACGGAATAGCTCTGCATGCACTGCAGGGGAATGGGGCCTCATCTCGCCTCTAGGGGGAAGTCTCATGGTTTTTCTCGAGTTGCGGCGGGGACCTGGGGTATGTTCTCGACTTACGGCGGGGATGGCCCTTCAAAACACGAGTTTCTTCAGTGACGTCAGGACTCCTGTCTAGTAACGAGGGACACGTCAGCAATCTCTTCGAGGCTTGGCAGGGCAAAAGGGACGCTTCTCGAGGTGAGCCAGGGCACCCAAGGACCCTTTCCAGTAGCCACAGGGATTTGGGGATTCCTATCAGTATTCAAGAGGAGTCAGGCATCGTCACCTTTTGAAGCAATGAACTCCGCGTGCCTCTCGAGGTGTCAGCGGGATGTGAGGATTCCGTCAAAATGAGGCAGGGACCTAGGGCTTTCTCTAAGGTCTCCACAGGGGATTCAGACATCCCTTCATGTTGTGAGATGAAAGACGAGCCTGTATTCAAGCCACTGCAAGGAAATCCGGCCTCCTTTCAAGTTAGGGCTTCTCGCTGTATATTCCCCTTGAGGCAGAAATCTCGGAGTCCCTCCCACATACCTATTGCTGAGAGAAGCCTCCTCCTGAGGTGCTTCTGGAAAGTTGGCATAGGTCTTGAGCCTAAGCCAGGGATTCAGCTCTCATCTCGAGACGATTTGGGGTACACAGAGCATTCCTCGAGTTGCTGTGCTGAAGTTGGTGTTCCTCTAGACTTGGGACAGTGTTCTCGGGGCATCTCTGGAGTTGCCTGAAGGAAGTCGAGCCACCGGTCGTGTTGAATGGGGAACGGGGAATGTCTCTGGAGTCAATGCAGGGGAATCGGGCCTCATCTCGAGTTGATTTGTGGCACCTGGAGCTGCTTTGCGTTGCTGGGGTGACCTCAGGGTCCGTCTAGACTGGTGACAGTGTTCTTGGGGACTGCCTCGAGATCCATTAAGCAAGTCGAAGCTCCTGACTTGTTTGAATGGGATCACGGAATAGCTCTGCATGCACTGCAGGGGAATGGGGCCTCATCTCGCCTCTAGGGGGAATTCTCATGGTTTTTCTCGAGTTGCGGCGGGGCCCTGGGTTATGTTCTCGACTTACGGCGGGGATGGCCCTTCAAAACACGAGTTTCTCCAGTGACGTCAGGACTCCTGCCTAGTAACGAGGGACACCTCAGGAATCTCTTCGAGGCTTGGCAGGGCAGAAGGGACGCTTCTCGAGGTGAGCCAGGGCACCCAAGGACCCTTTCCAGTAGCCACAGTGATTTTGGGATTCCTATCAGTATTCAAGAGGAGTCAGGCATCGTCACCTTTTGAAGCAATGAACTCCGCGTGCCTCTCGAGGTGTCAGCGGGATGTGAGGATTCCGTCAAAATGAGGCAGGGACCTAGGGCTTTCTCTAAGGTCTCCACAGGGGATTCAGACATCCCTTCATGTTGTGAGATGAAAGACGAGCCTGTATTCAAGCCACTGCAAGGAAATCCGTCCTCCTTTCAAGTTAGGGCTTCTCGCTGTATATTCCCCTTGAGGCAGAAATCTCGGAGTCCCTCCCACATACCTATTGCTGAGAGAAGCCTCCTCCTGAGGTGCTTCTGGAAAGTTGGCATACGTCTTGAGCCTAAGCCAGGGATTCAGCTCTCATCTCGAGACGATTTGGGGTACACAGAGCATTCCTCGAGTTGCTGTGCTGAAGTTGGTGTTCCTCTAGACTTGGGACAGTGTTCTCTGGGCATCTCTGGAGTTGCCTGAAGGAAGTCGAGCCACCGGTCGTGTTGAATGGGGAACGGGGAATGGCTCTGGAGTCAATGCAGGGGAATCGGGATTCATCTCGAGTTGATTTGTGGCACCTGGAGCTGCTTTGCGTTGCTGGGGTGACCTCAGGGTCCGTCTAGACTGGCGACAGTGTTCTTGGGGACTGCCTCGAGATCCATTACGCAAGTCGAAGCTCCTGACTTGTTTGAATGGGATCACGGAATAGCTCTGCATGCACTGCAAGGGAATGGGGCCTCATCTCGCCTCTAGGGGGAAGTCTCATGGTTTTTCTCGAGTTGCGGCGGGGACCTGGGGTATGTTCTCGACTTACGGCGGGGATGGCCCTTCAAAACACGAGTTTCTTCGGTGACGTCAGGACTCCTGTCTAGTAACGAGGGACACCTCAGCAATCTCTTCGAGGCTTGGCAGGGCAAAAGGGACGCTTCTCGAGGTGAGCCAGGGCACCCAAGGACACTTTCCAGTAGCCACAGGGATTTTGGGATTCCTATCAGTATTCAAGAGGAGTCAGGCATCGTCACCTTTTGAAGCAATGAACTCCGCGTGCCTCTCGAGGTGTCAGCGGGATGTGAGGATTCCGTCAAAATGAGGCAGGGACCTAGGGCTTTCTCTAAGGTCTCCACAGGGGATTCAGACATCCCTTCATGTTGTGAGATGAAAGACGAGCCGGTATTCAAGCCACTGCAAGGAAATCCGGCCTCCTTTCAAGTTAGGACTTCTCGCTGTATATTCCCCTTGAGGCAGCAAACTCGGGGTCCCTCCCACATACCTATTGCTGAGAGAAGCCTCCTCCTGAGGTGCTTCTGGAAAGGTGGCATACGTCTTGAGCCTAAGCCAGGGAATCAGCTCTCATCTCGAGACGATTTGTGGTACACAGAGCATTTCTCGAGTTGCTGTGCTGAAGTTGGTGGTCCTCTAGACTTGGGACAGTGTTCTCGGGGCATCTCTGGAGTTGCCTGAAAGAAGGCGAGCCACCGGTCGTGTTGAATGGGGAACAAGGAATGGCTCTGGAGTCAATGCAGGGGAATCCGGCCTCATCTCGAGTTGATTTGGGGCACATGGAGATGCTTTGCATTGCTGGGTGACCTCAGGGTCCGTCTTGACTGGTGACAGTGTTCTTGGGGACTGCCTCGAGATCCATTAAGCAAGTCGAAGCTCCTGACTTGTTTGAATGGGATCACGGAATAGCTCTGCATGCACTGCAGGGGAATGGGGCCTCATCTCGCCTCTAGGGGGAAGTCTCATGGTTTTTCTCGAGTTGCGGCGGGGACCTGGGGTATGTTCTCGACTTACGGCGGGGATGGCCCTTCAAAACACGAGTTTCTTCAGTGACGTCAGGACTCCTGTCTAGTAACGAGGGACACGTCAGCAATCTCTTCGAGGCTTGGCAGGGCAAAAGGGACGCTTCTCGAGGTGAGCCAGGGCACCCAAGGACCCTTTCCAGTAGCCACAGGGATTTTGGGATTCCTATCAGTATTCAAGAGGAGTCAGGCATCGTCACCTTTTGAAGCAATGAACTCCGCGTGCCTCTCGAGGTGTCAGCGGGATGTGAGGATTCCATCAAAATGAGGCAGGGACCTAGGGCTTTCTCTAAGGTCTCCACAGGGGATTCAGACATCCCTTCATGTTGTGAGATGAAAGACGAGCCTGTATTCAAGCCACTGCAAGGAAATCCGGCCTCCTTTCAAGTTAGGGCTTCTCGCTGTATATTCCCCTTGAGGCAGCAAACTCGGGGTCCCTCCCACATACCTATTGCTGAGAGAAGCCTCCTCCTGAGGTGCTTCTGGAAAGGTGGCATACGTCTTGAGCCTAAGCCAGGGAATCAGCTCTCATCTCGAGACGATTTGGGGTACACAGAGCATTCCTCGAGTTGCTCTGCTGAAGTTGGTGGTCCTCTAGACTTGGGATAGTGCTCTCGAGGCATCTCTGGAGTTGCCTGAAGGAAGTCGAGCCACCGGTCGTGTTGAATGGGGAACAAGGAATGGCTCTGGAGTCAATGCAGGGGAATCCGGACTCATCTCGAGTTGATTTGGGGCACATGGAGCTGCTTTGCATTGCTGGGTGACCTCAGGGTCCGTCTAGACTGGTGACAGTGTTCTTGGGGACTGTCTCGAGATCCATTAAGCAAGTCGAAGCTCCTGACTTGTTTGAATGGGATCACGGAATAGCTCTGCATGCACTGCAGGGGAATGGGGCCTCATCTCGCCTCTAGGGGAAAGTCTCATGGTTTTTCTCGAGTTGCGTCGGGGACCTGGGGTATGTTCTCGACTTACAGCGGGGATGGCCCTTCAAAACACGAGTTTCTTCAGTGACGTCAGGACTCCTGTCTAGTAACGAGGGACACCTCAGCAATCTCTTCGAGGCTTGGCAGGGCAAAAGGGACGCTTCTCGAGGTGAGCCAGGGCACCAAAGGACCCTTTCCAGTAGCCACAGGGATTTGGGGTTTCCTATAAGTATTCAAGAGGAGTCAGGCATCTTCACCTTTTGAAGGAATGAACTCTGCGTGCCTCTCGAGGTGTCAGGGGGATGTGAGGTATTCCGTCAAAATGAGGCAGGGACCTAGGGCTTTCTCTAAGGTCTCCACAGGGGATTCAGACATCCCTTCATGTTGTCAGATCAAAGACGAGCCTGTATTCAAGCCACTGCAAGGAAATCTGGCCTCCGTTCACATTAGGGCTTCTCCCTCTGTATTCCCCTTGAGGCAGCAAAATCGGGGTCCCTCCCACATACCTATTGCTGAGAGAAGCCTCCTCCTGAGGTGCTTCTGGAAAGTTGGCATACGTCTTGAGCCTAAGCCAGGGAATCAGCTCTCATCTCGAGATGATTTGGGGAACACGGAGCATTCCTCGAGTTGCTGTGCTGAAGTTGGTGTTCCTCTAGACTTGGGACAGTGTTCTCGAGGCATCTCTGGAGTTGCCTGAAGGAAGTCGAGCCACCGGTCGTGTTGAATGGGGAACGGGGAATGGCTCTGAAGTCAATGCAGTGGAAGCGGGCTTCATCTCGAGTTGATTTGGGGCACATGGAGCAGCTTTGCGTTGCTGGGGTGACCTCAGGGTCCGTCTAGACTGGTGACAGTGTTCTTGGGGACTGTCTTGAGATCCATTAAGCAAGTCGAAGCTCCTGACTTGTTTGAATGGGATCACGGAATAGCTCTGCATGCACTGCAGGGGAATGGGGCCTCATCTCGCCTCTAGGGGGAAGTCTCACGGTTATTCTCGAGTTGCGGCGGGGCCCTGGGGTATGTTCTCGACTTACGGCGGGGATGGCCCTTCAAAACACGAGTTTCTCCAGTGACGTCAGGACTCCTGCCTAGTAACGAGGGACACCTCAGGAATCTCTTCGAGGCTTGGCAGGGCAAAAGGGACGCTTCTCGAGGTGAGGCAGGGCACCCAAGGACCCTTTCCAGTAGCCACAGGGATTTTGGGATTCCTATCAGTATTCAAGAGGAGTCAGGCATCGTCACCTTTTGAAGCAATGAACTCCGCGTGCCTCTCGAGGTGTCAGCGGGATGTGAGGATTCCGTCAAAATGAGGCAGGGACCTAGGGCTTTCTCTAAGGTCTCCACAGGGGATTCAGACATCCCTTCATGTTGTGAGATGAAAGACGAGCCGGTATTCAAGCCACTGCAAGGAAATCCGGCCTCCTTTCAAGTTAGGACTTCTCGCTGTATATTCCCCTTGAGGCAGCAAACTCGGGGTCCCTCCCACATACCTATTGCTGAGAGAAGCCTCCTCCTGAGGTGCTTCTGGAAAGGTGGCATACGTCTTGAGCCTAAGCCAGGGAATCAGCTCTCATCTCGAGACGATTTGGGGTACACAGAGCATTTCTCGAGTTGCTGTGCTGAAGTTGGTGGTCCTCTAGACTTGGGACAGTGTTCTCGGGGCATCTCTGGAGTTGCCTGAAAGAAGGCGAGCCACCGGTCGTGTTGAATGGGGAACAAGGAATGGCTCTGGAGTCAATGCAGGGGAATCCGGCCTCATCTCGAGTTGATTTGGGGCACATGGAGCTGCTTTGCATTGCTGGGTGACCTCAGGGTCCGTCTTGACTGGTGACAGTGTTCTTGGGGACTGCCTCGAGATCCATTAAGCAAGTCGAAGCTCCTGACTTGTTTGAATGGGATCACGGAATAGCTCTGCATGCACTGCAGGGGAATGGGGCCTCATCTCGCCTCTAGGGGGAAGTCTCATGGTTTTTCTCGAGTTGCGGCGGGGACCTGGGGTATGTTCTCGACTTACGGCGGGATGGCCCTTCAAAACACGAGTTTCTTCAGTGACGTCAGGACTCCTGTCTAGTAACGAGGGACACGTCAGCAATCTCTTCGAGGCTTGGCAGGGCAAAAGGGACGCTTCTCGAGGTGAGCCAGGGCACCCAAGGACCCTTTCCAGTAGCCACAGGGATTTTGGGATTCCTATCAGTATTCAAGAGGAGTCAGGCATCGTCACCTTTTGAAGCAATGAACTCCGCGTGCCTCTCGAGGTGTCAGCGGGATGTGAGGATTCCATCAAAATGAGGCAGGGACCTAGGGCTTTCTCTAAGGTCTCCACAGGGGATTCAGACATCCCTTCATGTTGTGAGATGAAAGACGAGCCTGTATTCAAGCCACTGCAAGGAAATCCGGCCTCCTTTCAAGTTAGGGCTTCTCGCTGTATATTCCCCTTGAGGCAGCAAACTCGGGGTCCCTCCCACATACCTATTGCTGAGAGAAGCCTCCTCCTGAGGTGCTTCTGGAAAGGTGGCATACGTCTTGAGCCTAAGCCAGGGAATCAGCTCTCATCTCGAGACGATTTGGGGTACACAGAGCATTCCTCGAGTTGCTCTGCTGAAGTTGGTGGTCCTCTAGACTTGGGATAGTGCTCTCGAGGCATCTCTGGAGTTGCCTGAAGGAAGTCGAGCCACCGGTCGTGTTGAATGGGGAACAAGGAATGGCTCTGGAGTCAATGCAGGGGAATCCGGACTCATCTCGAGTTGATTTGGGGCACATGGAGCTGCTTTGCATTGCTGGGTGACCTCAGGGTCCGTCTAGACTGGTGACAGTGTTCTTGGGGACTGTCTCGAGATCCATTAAGCAAGTCGAAGCTCCTGACTTGTTTGAATGGGATCACGGAATAGCTCTGCATGCACTGCAGGGGAATGGGGCCTCATCTCGCCTCTAGGGGAAAGTCTCATGGTTTTTCTCGAGTTGCGTCGGGGACCTGGGGTATGTTCTCGACTTACAGCGGGGATGGCCCTTCAAAACACGAGTTTCTTCAGTGACGTCAGGACTCCTGTCTAGTAACGAGGGACACCTCAGCAATCTCTTCGAGGCTTGGCAGGGCAAAAGGGACGCTTCTCGAGGTGAGCCAGGGCACCAAAGGACCCTTTCCAGTAGCCACAGGGATTTGGGGTTTCCTATAAGTATTCAAGAGGAGTCAGGCATCTTCACCTTTTGAAGGAATGAACTCTGCGTGCCTCTCGAGGTGTCAGGGGGATGTGAGGTATTCCGTCAAAATGAGGCAGGGACCTAGGGCTTTCTCTAAGGTCTCCACAGGGGATTCAGACATCCCTTCATGTTGTCAGATCAAAGACGAGCCTGTATTCAAGCCACTGCAAGGAAATCTGGCCTCCGTTCACATTAGGGCTTCTCCCTCTGTATTCCCCTTGAGGCAGCAAAATCGGGGTCCCTCCCACATACCTATTGCTGAGAGAAGCCTCCTCCTGAGGTGCTTCTGGAAAGTTGGCATACGTCTTGAGCCTAAGCCAGGGAATCAGCTCTCATCTCGAGATGATTTGGGGAACACGGAGCATTCCTCGAGTTGCTGTGCTGAAGTTGGTGTTCCTCTAGACTTGGGACAGTGTTCTCGAGGCATCTCTGGAGTTGCCTGAAGGAAGTCGAGCCACCGGTCGTGTTGAATGGGGAACGGGGAATGGCTCTGGAGTCAATGCAGTGGAAGCGGGCTTCATCTCGAGTTGATTTGGGGCACATGGAGCAGCTTTGCGTTGCTGGGGTGACCTCAGGGTCCGTCTAGACTGGTGACAGTGTTCTTGGGGACTGTCTTGAGATCCATTAAGCAAGTCGAAGCTCCTGACTTGTTTGAATGGGATCACGGAATAGCTCTGCATGCACTGTAGGGGAATGGGGCCTCATCTCGCCTCTAGGGGGAAGTCTCACGGTTATTCTCGAGATGCGGCGGGGCCCTGGGGTATGTTCTCGACTTACGGCGGGGATGGCCCTTCAAAACACGAGTTTCTCCAGTGACGTCAGGACTCCTGCCTAGTAACGAGGGACACCTCAGGAATCTCTTCGAGGCTTGGCAGGGCAAAAGGGACGCTTCTCGAGGTGAGGCAGGGCACCCAAGGACCCTTTCCAGTAGCCACAGGGATTTTGGGATTCCTATCAGTATTCAAGAGGAGTCAGGCATCGTCACCTTTTGAAGCAATGAACTCCGCGTGCCTCTCGAGGTGTCAGCGGGATGTGAGGCATTCCGTCAAAATGAGGCAGGGACCTAGGGCTTTCTCTAAGGTCTCCACAGGGGATTCAGACATCCCTTCATGTTGTCAGATCAAAGACGAGCCTGTATTCAAGCCACTGCAAGGAAATCCGGCCTCCTTTCAAGTTAGGGCTTCTCGCTGTATATTCCCCTTGAGGCAGCAAACTCGGGGTCCCTCCCACATACCTATTGCTGAGAGAAGCCTCCTCCTGAGGTGCTTCTGGAAAGGTGGCATACGTCTTGAGCCTAAGCCAGGGAATCAGCTCTCATCTCGAGACGATTTGGGGTACACAGAGCATTCCTCGAGTTGCTGTGCTGAAGTTGGTGTTCCTCTAGACTTGGAACAGTGTTCTCGGGGCATCTCTGGAGTTGCCTGAAGGAAGGCGAGCCTCCGTTCGTGTTGAACGGGGAACGGGGAATGGCTCTGGAGTCAATGCAGGGGAATCGGGCCTCATCTCGATTTGATTTGGGGCACATGGAGCTGCTTTGCGTTGCTGGGGTGACCTCAGGGTCCGTCTAGACTGGTGACAGTGTTCTTGGGGACTGTCTCGAGATCCATTAAGCAAGTCGAAGCTCCTGACTTGTTTGAATGGGATCACGGAATAGCTCTGCATGCACTGCAGGGGAATGGGGCCTCATCTCGCCTCTACGGGGAAGTCTCATGGTTTTTCTCGAGTTGCGGCGGGGCACTGGGGTATGTTCTCGACTTACGGCGGGGATGGCCCTTCAAAACACGAGTTTCTCCAGTGACGTCAGGACTCCTGCCTCGTAACGAGGGACACCTCAGGAATCTCTTCGAGGCTTGGCAGGGCAGAAGGGACGCTTCTCGAGGTGAGGCAGGGCACCCAAGGACCCTTTCCAGTAGCCACAGGGATTTTGGGATTCCTATCAGTATTCAAGAGGAGTCAGGCATCGTCACCTTTTGAAGCAATGAACTCCGCGTGCCTCTCGAGGTGTCAGCGGGATGTGAGGCATTCCGTCAAAATGAGGCAGGGACCTAGGGCTTTCTCTAAGGTCTCCACAGGGGATTCAGACATCCCTTCATGTTGTCAGATCAAAGACGAGCCTGTATTCAAGCCACTGCAAGGAAATCCGGCCTCCTTTCAAGTTAGGGCTTCTCGCTGTATATTCCCCTTGAGGCAGCAAACTCGGGGTCCCTCCCACATACCTATTGCTGAGAGAAGCCTCCTCCTGAGGTGCTTCTGGAAAGGTGGCATACGTCTTGAGCCTAAGCCAGGGATTCAGCTCTCATCTCGAGACGATTTGGGGTACACAGAGCATTCCTCGAGTTGCTGTGCTGAAGTTGGTGTTCCTCTAGACTTGGGACAGTGTTCTCGGGGCATCCCTGGAGTTGCCTGAAGGAAGTCGAGCCACCGGTCGTGTTGAATGGGGAACGGGGAATGGCTCTGGAGTCAATGCAGGGGAATCGGGCCTCATCTCGAGTTGATTTGGGGCACATGGAGCAGCTTTGCGTTGCTGGGGTGACCTCAGGGTCCGTGTAGACTGGTGACAGTGTTCTTGGGGACTGTCTCGAGATCCATTAAGCAAGTCGAAGCTCCTGACTTGTTTGAATGGGATCACGGAATAGCTCTGCATGCACTGCAGGGGAATGGGGCCTCATCTCGTCTCTAGGGGGAAGTCTCATGGTTTTTCTCGAGTTGCGGCGGGGACCTGGGGTATGTTCTCGACTTACGGTGGGGATGGCCCTTCAAAACCCGACTTTCTTCAGTGAGGTCAGGACTCCTGCCTAGTAACGAGGGACACCTCAGGAATCTCTTCGAGTCTTGGCAGGGCAAAAGGGACGCTTCTCGAGGTGAGGCAGGGCACCCAAGGACCCTTTCCAGTAGCCACAGGGATTTTGGGATTCCTATCAGTATTCAAGAGGAGTCAGGCATCGTCACCTTTTGAAGCAATGAACTCCGCGTGCCTCTCGAGGTGTCAGCGGGATGTGAGGATTCCGTCAAAATGAGGCAGGGACCTAGGGCTTTCTCTAAGGTCTCCACAGGGGATTCAGACATCCCTTCATGTTGTGAGATGAAAGACGAGCCTGTATTCAAGCCACTGCAAGGAAATCCGGCCTCCTTTCAAGTTAGGGCTTCTCGCTGTATATTCCCCTTGAGGCAGCAATCTCGGAGTCCCTCCCACATACCTATTGCTGAGAGAAGCCTCCTCCTGAGGTGCTTCTGGAAAGTTGGCATACGTCTTGAGCCTAAGCCAGGGATTCAGCTCTCATCTCGAGACGATTTGGGGTACACAGAGCATTCCTCGAGTTGCTGTGCTGAAGTTGGTGTTCCTCTAGACTTGGGACAGTGTTCTCTGGGCATCTCTGGAGTTGCCTGAAAGAAGTCGAGCCACCGGTCGTGTTGAATGGGGAACGGGGAATGGCTCTGGAGTCAATGCAGGGGAATCGGGCCTCATCTCGAGTTGATTTGTGGCACCTGGAGCTGCTTTGCGTTGCTGGGGTGACCTCAGGGTCCGTCTAGACTGGTGACAGTGTTCTTGGGGACTGCCTCGAGATCCATTAAGCAAGTCGAAGCTCCTGACTTGTTTGAATGGGATCACGGAATAGCTCTGCATGCACTGCAGGGGAATGGGGCCTCATCTCGCCTCTAGGGGGAAATCTCATGGTTTTTCTCGAGTTGCGGCGGGGACCTGGGGTATGTTCTCGACTTTCGGCGGGGATGGCCCTTCAAAACACGAGTTTCTTCAGTGACGTCAGGACTCCTGTCTAGTAACGAGGGACACCTCAGCAATCTCTTCGAGGCTTGGCAGGGCAAAAGGGACGCTTCTCGAGGTGAGCCACGGCACCCAAGGACTCTTTCCAGTAGCCACAGGGATTTTGGGATTCCTATAAGTATTCAAGAGGAGTCAGGCATCGGCACCTTTTGAAGCAATGAACTCCGCGTGCCTCTCGAGGTGTCAGCGGGATGTGAGGATTCCGTCAAAATGAGGCAGGGACCTAGGGCTTTCTCTAAGGTCTCCACAGGGGATTCAGACATCCCTTCATGTTGTGAGATGAAAGACGAGCCTGTATTCAAGCCACTGCAAGGAAATCTGGCCTCCTTTCAAGTTAGGGCTTCTCGCTGTATATTCCCCTTGAGGCAGCAAACTCGGGGTCCCTCCCACATACCTATTGCTGAGAGAAGCCTCCTCCTGAGGTGCTTCTGGAAAGGTGGCATACATCTTGAGCCTAAGCCAGGGAATCAGCTCTCATCTCGAGACGATTTGGGGTACACAGAGCATTCCTCGAGTTGCTGTGCTGAAGTTGGTGTTCCTCTAGACTTGGGACAGTGTTCTCGGGGCATCTCTGGAGTTGCCTGAAGGAAGTCGAGCCACCGGTCGTGTTGAATGGGGAACAAGGAATGGCTCTGGAGTCAATGCAGGGGAATCCGGCCTCATCTCGAGTTGATTTGGGGCACATGGAGCTGCTTTGCATTGCTGGGTGACCTCAGGGTCCGTCTAGACTGGTGACAGTGTTCTTGGGGACTGCCTCGAGATCCATTAAGCAAGTCGAAGCTCCTGACTTGTTTGAATGGGATCACGGAATAGCTCTGCATGCACTGCAGGGGAATGGGGCCTCATCTCGCCTCTAGGGGGAAGTCTCATGGTTTTTCTCGAGTTGCGGCGGGGACCTGGGGTATGTTCTCGACTTACGGCGGGGATGGCCCTTCAAAACACGAGTTTCTTCCGTGACGTCAGGACTCCTGTCTAGTAACGAGGGACACCTCAGCAATCTCTTCAAGGCTTGGCAGGGCAAAAGGGACGCTTCTCGAGGTGAGCCAGGGCACCCAAGGACCCTTTCCATTAGCCACAGGGATTTTGGGATTCCTATAAGTATTCAAGAGGAGTCAGGCATCGTCACCTTTTGAAGCAATGAACTCCGCGTGCCTCTCGAGGTGTCAGCGGGATATGAGGATTCCGTCAAAATGAGGCAGGGACCTAGGGCTTTCTCTAAGGTCTCCACAGGGGATTCAGACATCCCTTCATGTTGTGAGATGAAAGACAAGCCTGTATTCAAGCCACTGCAAGGAAATCCGGCCTCCTTCCAAGTTAGGGCTTCTCGCTGTATATTCCCCTTGAGGCAGCAAACTCGGAGTCCCTCCCACATACCTATTGCTGAGAGAAGCCTCCTCCTGAGGTGCTTCTGGAAAGGTGGCATACGTCTTGAGCCTAAGCCAGGGAATCACCTCTCATCTCGAGACGATTTGGGGTACACAGAGCATTCCTCGAGTTGCTGTGCTGAAGTTGGTATTCCTCTAGACTTGGGACAGTGTTCTCGGGGCATCCCTGGAGTTGCCTGAAGGAAGTCGAGCCACCGGTCGTGTTGAATGGGGAACGGGGAATGGCTCTGGAGTCAATGCAGGGGAATCGGGCCTCATCTCGAGTTGATTTGGGGCACATGGAGCAGCTTTGCGTTGCTGGGGTGACCTCAGGGTCCGTGTAGACTGGTGACAGTGTTCTTGGGGACTGTCTTGAGATCCATTAAGCAAGTCGAAGCTCCTGACTTGTTTGAATGGGATCACGGAATAGCTCTGCATGCACTGCAGGGGAATGGGGCCTCATCTCGCCTCTAGGGGGAAGTCTCATGGTTTTCTCGAGTTGCGGCGGGAACATGGGGTATGTTCTCGACTTACGGTGGGGATGGCCCTTCAAAACCCGACTTTCTTCAGTGAGGTCAGGACTCCTGCCTAGTAACGAGGGACACCTCAGGAATCTCTTCGAGTCTTGGCAGGGCAAAAGGGACGCTTCTCGAGGTGAGGCAGGGCACCCAAGGACCCTTTCCAGTAGCCACAGGGATTTTGGGATTCCTATCAGTATTCAAGAGGAGTCAGGCATCGTCACCTTTTGAAGCAATGAACTCCGCGTGCCTCTCGAGGTGTCAGCGGGATGTGAGGATTCCGTCAAAATGAGGCAGGGACCTAGGGCTTTCTCTAAGGTCTCCACAGGGGATTCAGACATCCCTTCATGTTGTGAGATGAAAGACGAGCCTGTACTCAAGCCACTGCAAGGAAATCCGGCCTCCTTTCAAGTTAGGGCTTCTCGCTGTATATTCCCCTTGAGGCAGCAATCTCGGAGTCCCTCCCACATACTATTGCTGAGAGAAGCCTCCTCCTGAGGTGCTTCTGGAAAGTTGGCATACGTCTTGAGCCTAAGCCAGGGATTCAGCTCTCATCTCGAGACGATTTGGGGTACACAGAGCATTCCTCGAGTTGCTGTGCTGAAGTTGCTGTTCCTCTAGACTTGGGACAGTGTTCTCTGGGCATCTCTGGAGTTGCCTGAAAGAAGTCGAGCCACCGGTCGTGTTGAATGGGGAACGGGGAATGGCTCTGGAGTCAATGCAGGGGAATCGGGCCTCATCTCGAGTTGATTTGTGGCACCTGGAGCTGCTTTGCGTTGCTGGGGTGACCTCAGGGTCCGTCTAGACTGGTGACAGTGTTCTTGGGGACTGCCTCGAGATCCATTAAGCAAGTCGAAGCTCCTGACTTGTTTGAATGGGATCACGGAATAGCTCTGCATGCACTGCAGGGGAATGGGGCCTCATCTCGCCTCTAGGGGGAAGTCTCATGGTTTTTCTCGAGTTGCGGCGGGGACCTGGGGTATGTTCTCGACTTTCGGCGGGGATGGCCCTTCAAAACACGAGTTTCTTCAGTGACGTCAGGACTCCTGTCTAGTAACGAGGGACACCTCAGCAATCTCTTCGAGGCTTGGCAGGGCAAAAGGGACGCTTCTCGAGGTGAGCCAGGGCACCCAAGGACGCTTTCCAGTAGCCACAGGGATTTTGGGATTCCTATCAGTATTCAAGAGGAGTCAGGCATCGTCACCTTTTGAAGCAATGAACTCCGCGTGCCTCTCGAGGTGTCAGCGGGATGTGAGGATTCCGTCAAAATGAGGCAGTGATCTAGGGCTTTCTCTAAGGTCTCCACAGGGGATTCAGACATCCCTTCATGTTGTCAGATCAAAGACGAGCCTGTATTCAAGCCACTGCAAGGAAATCCGGCCTCCTTTCAAGTTAGGGCTTCTCGCTGTATATTCCCCTTGAGGCAGCAAACTCGGGGTCCCTCCCACATACCTATTGCTGAGAGAAGCCTCCTCCTGAGGTGCTTCTGGAAAGTTGGCATACGTCTTGAGCCTAAGCCAGGGATTCAGCTCTCATCTCGAGACGATTTGGGGTACACAGAGCATTCCTCGAGCTGCTGTGCTGAAGTTGGTGTTCCTCTAGACTTGGGACAGTGTTCTCTGGGCATCTCTGGAGTTGCCTGAAGGAAGTCGAGCCACCGGTCGTGTTGAATGGGGAACGGGGAATGGCTCTGGAGTCAATGCAGGGGAATCGGGCCTCATCTCGAGTTGATTTGTGGCACCTGGAGCTGATTTGCGTTGCTGGGGTGACCTCAGGGTCCGTCTAGACTGGTGACAGTGTTCTTGGGGACTGCCTCGAGATCCATTAAGCAAGTCGAAGCTCCTGACTTGTTTGAATGGGATCACGGAATAGCTCTGCATGCACTGCAGGGGAATGGGGCCTCATCTCGCCTCTAGGGGGAAGTCTCATGGTTTTTCTCGAGTTGCGGCGGGGAACTGGGGTATGTTCTCAACTTACGGCGGGGATGGCCCTTCAAAACACGAGTTTCTTCAGTGACGTCAGGACTCCTGTCTAGTAACGAGGGACACGTCAGCAATCTCTTCGAGGCTTGGCAGGGCAAAAGGGACGCTTCTCGAGGTGAGCCAGGGCACCCAAGGACCCTTTCCAGTAGCCACAGGGATTTTGGGATTCCTATAAATATTCAAGAGGAGTCAGGCATCGTCACCTTTTGAAGCAATGAACTCCGCGTGCCTCTCGAAGTGTCAGCGGGATGTGAGGATTCCGTCAAAATGAGGCAGGGACCTAGGGCTTTCTCTAAGGTCTCCACAGGGGATTCAGACATCCCTTCATGTTGTGAGATGAAAGACGAGCCTGTATTCAAGCCACTGCAAGGAAATCCGGCCTCCTTTCAAGTTAGGGCTTCTCGCTGTATATTCCCCTTGAGGCAGCAAACTCGGGGTCCCTCCCACATACCTATTGCTGAGAGAAGCCTCCTCCTGAGGTGCTTCTGGAAAGGTGGCATACGTCTTGAGCCTAAGCCAGGGAATCAGCTCTCATCTCGAGACGATTTGGGGTACACAGAGCATTCCTCGAGTTGCTTTGCTGAAGTTGGTGGTCCTCTAAACTTGGGACAGTGTTCTCGAGGCATCTCTGGATTTGCCTGAAGGAAGTCGAGCCACCGGTCGTGTTGAATGGGGAACAAGGAATGGCTCTGGAGTCAATGCAGGGGAATCCGGCCTCATCTCGAGTTGATTTGGGGCACATGGAGCAGCTTTGCATTGCTGGGTGACCTCAGTGTCCGTCTAGACTGGTGACAGTGTTCTTGGGGACTTTCTCGAGATCCATTAACAAGTCGAAGCTCCTGACTTGTTTGAATGGGATCACGGAATAGCTCTGCATGCACTGCAAGGGAATGGGGCATCATCTCGCCTCTAGGGGGAAGTCTCATTGTTTTTCTCGAGTTGCGGCGGGGACCTGGGGTATGTTCTCAACTTACGGCGGGGATGGCCCTTCAAAACACGAGTTTCTTCCGTGACGTCAGGACTCCTGTCTAGTAACGAGGGACACCTCAGCAATCTCTTCGAGGCTTGGCAGGGCAAAAGGGACGCTTCTCGAGGTGAGCCAGGGCACCCAAGGACCCTTTCCATTAGCCACAGGGATTTTGGGATTCCTATCAGTATTCAAGAGGAGTCAGGCATCGTCACCTTTTGAAGCAATGAACTCCGCGTGCCTCTCGAGGTGTCAGCGGGATGTGAGGATTTCGTCAAAATGAGGCAGGGACCTAGGGCTTTCTCTAAGGTCTCCACAGGGGATTCAGACATCCCTTCATGTTGTGAGATGAAAGACGAGCCTGTATTCAAGCCACTGCAAGGAAATCCGGCCTCCTTTCAAGTTAGGGCTTCTCGCTGTATATTCCCCTTTAGGCAGCAAACTCGGAGTCCCTCCCACATACCTATTGCTGAGAGAAGCCTCCTCCTGAGTTGCTTCTGGAAAGTTGGCATAGGTCTTGAGCCTAAGCCAGGGATTCAGCTCTCATCTCGAGACGATTTGGGGTACACAGAGCATTCCTCGAGTTGCTGTGCTGAAGTTGGTGTTCCTCTAGACTTGGGACAGTGTTCTCTGGGCATCTCTGGAGTTGCCTGAAGGAAGTCGAGCCACCGGTCGTGTTGAATGGGGAACGGGGAATGTCTCTGGAGTCAATGCAGGGGAATCGGGCCTCATCTCGAGTTGATTTGTGGCACCTGGAGCTGCTTTGCGTTGCTGGGGTGACCTCAGGGTCCGTCTAGACTGGTGACAGTGTTCTTGGGGACTGCCTCGAGATCCATTAAGCAAGTCGAAGCTCCTGACTTGTTTGAATGGGATCACGGAATAGCTCTGCATGCACTGCAGGGGAATGGGGCCTCATCTCGCCTCTAGGGGGAATTCTCATGGTTTTTCTCGAGTTGCGGCGGGGCCCTGGGTTATGTTCTCGACTTACGGCGGGGATGGCCCTTCAAAACACGAGTTTCTCAAGTGACGTCAGGACTCCTGCCTAGTAACGAGGGACACCTCAGAAATCTCTTCGAGGCTTGGCAGGGCAGAAGGGACGCTTCTCGAGGTGAGCCAGGGCACCCAAGGACCCTTTCCAGTAGCCACAGGGATTTTGGGATTCCTATCAGTATTCAAGAGGAGTCAGGCATCGTCACCTTTTGAAGCAATGAACTCCGCGTGCCTCTCGAGGTGTCAGCGGGATGTGAGGATTCCGTCAAAATGAGGCAGGGACCTAGGGCTTTCTCTAAGGTCTCCACAGGGGATTCAGACATCCCTTCATGTTGTTAGATGAAAGACGAGCCTGTATTCAAGCCACTGCAAGGAAATCCGTCCTCCTTTCAAGTTAGGGCTTCTCGCTGTATATTCCCCTTGAGGCAGAAATCTCGGAGTCCCTCCCACATACCTATTGCTGAGAGAAGCCTCCTCCTGAGGTGCTTCTGGAAAGTTGGCATACGTCTTGAGCCTAAGCCAGGGATTCAGCTCTCATCTCGAGACGACTTGGGGTACACAGAGCATTCCTCGAGTTGCTGTGCTGAAGTTGGTGTTCCTCTAGACTTGGGACAGTGTTCTCTGGGCATCTCTGGAGTTGCCTGAAGGAAGTCGAGCCACCGGTCGTGTTGAATGGGGAACGGGGAATGGCTCTGGAGTCAATGCAGGGGAATCGGGCCTCATCTCGAGTTGATTTGTGGCACCTGGAGCTGCTTTGCGTTGCTGGGGTGACCTCAGGGTCCGTCTAGACTGGCGACAGTGTTCTTGGGGACTGCCTCGAGATCCATTAAGCAAGTCGAAGCTCCTGACTTGTTTGAATGGGATCACGGAATAGCTCTGCATGCACTGCAAGGGAATGGGGCCTCATCTCGCCTCTAGGGGGAAGTCTCATGGTTTTTCTCGAGTTGCGGCGGGGACCTGGGGTATGTTCTCGACTTACGGCGGGGATGGCCCTTCAAAACACGAGTTTCTTCCGTGACGTCAGGACTCCTGTCTAGTAACGAGGGACACCTCAGCAATCTCTTCGAGGCTTGGCAGGGCAAAAGGGACGCTTCTCGAGGTGAGCCAGGGCACCCAAGGACCCTTTCCAGTAGCCACAGGGATTTGGGGATTCCTATCAGTATTCAAGAGGAGTCAGGCATCGTCACCTTTGGAAGCAATGAACTCCGCGTGCCTCTCGAGGTGTCAGCGGGATGTGATGATTTCGTCAAAATGAGGCAGGGACCTAGGGCTTTCTCTAAGGTCTCCACAGGGGATTCAGACATCCCTTCATGTTGTGAGATGAAAGACGAGCCTGTATTCAAGCCACTGCAAGGAAATCCGGCCTCCTTTCAAGTTAGGGCTTCTCGCTGTATATTTCCCTTGAGGCAGAAATCTCGGAGTCCCTCCCACATACCTATTGCTGAGAGAAGCCTCCTCCTGAGGTGCTTCTGGAAAGTTGGCATAGGTCTTGAGCCTAAGCCAGGGATTCAGCTCTCATCTCGAGACGATTTGGGGTACACAGAGCATTCCTCGAGTTGCTGTGCTGAAGTTGGTGTTCCTCTAGACTTGGGACAGTGTTCTCTGGGCATCTCTGGAGTTGCCTGAAGGAAGTCGAGCCACCGGTCGTGTTGAATGGGGAACGGGGAATGTCTCTGGAGTCAATGCAGGGGAATCGGGCCTCATCTCGAGTTGATTTGTGGCACCTGGAGCTGCTTTGCGTTGCTGGGGTGACCTCAGGGTCCGTCTAGACTGGTGACAGTGTTCTTGGGGACTGCCTCGAGATCCATTAAGCAAGTCGAAGCTCCTGACTTGTTTGAATGGGATCACGGAATAGCTCTGCATGCACTGCAGGGGAATGGGGCCTCATCTCGCCTCTAGGGGGAAGTCTCATGGTTTTTCTCGAGTTGCGGCGGGGCCCTGGGTTATGTTCTCGACTTACGGCGGGGATGGCCCTTCAAAACACGAGTTTCTCCAGTGACGTCAGGACTCCTGCCTAGTAACGAGGGACACCTCAGGAATCTCTTCGAGGCTTGGCAGGGCAAAAGGGACGCTTCTCGAGGTGAGCCAGGGCACCCAAGGACCCTTTCCAGTAGCCACAGGGATTTTGGGATTCCTATCAGTATTCAAGAGGAGTCAGGCATCGTCACCTTTTGAAGCAATGAACTCCGCGTGCCTCTCGAGGTGTCAGCGGGATGTGAGGATTCCGTCAAAATGAGGCAGGGACCTAGGGCTTTCTCTAAGGTCTCCACAGGGGATTCAGACATCCCTTCATGTTGTGAGATGAAAGACGAGCCTGTATTCAAGCCACTGCAAGGAAATCCGTCCTCCTTTCAAGTTAGGGCTTCTCGCTGTATATTCCCCTTGAGGCAGAAATCTCGGAGTCCCTCCCACATACCTATTGCTGAGAGAAGCCTCCTCCTGAGGTGCTTCTGGAAAGTTGGCATACGTCTTGAGCCTAAGCCAGGGATTCAGCTCTCATCTCGAGACGATTTGGGGTACACAGAGCATTCCTCGAGTTGCTGTGCTGAAGTTGGTGTTCCTCTAGACTTGGGACAGTGTTCTCTGGGCATCTCTGGAGTTGCCTGAAGGAAGTCGAGCCACCGGTCGTGTTGAATGGGGAACGGGGAATGGCTCTGGAGTCAATGCAGGGGAATCGGGCCTCATCTCGAGTTGATTTGTGGCACCTGGAGCTGCTTTGCGTTGCTGGGGTGACCTCAGGGTCCGTCTAGACTGGTGACAGTGTTCTTGGGGACTGCCTCGAGATCCATTAAGCAAGTCGAAGCTCCTGACTTGTTTGAATGGGATCACGGAATAGCTCTGCATGCACTGCAGGGGAATGGGGCCTCATCTCGCCTCTAGGGGGAGTCTCATGGTTTTTCTCGAGTTGCGTCGGGGAACTGGGGTATGTTCTCAACTTACGGCGGGGATGGCCCTTCAAAACACGAGTTTCTTTAGTGACGTCAGGACTCCTGTCTAGTAACGAGGGACACGTCAGCAATCTCTTCGAGGCTTGGCAGGGCAAAAGGGACGCTTCTCGAGGTGAGCCAGGGCACCCAAGGACCCTTTCCATTAGCCACAGGGATTTTGGGATTCCTATCAGTATTCAAGAGGAGTCAGGCATCGTCACCTTTTGAAGCAATGAACTCCGCGTGCCTCTCGAGGTGTCAGCGGGATGTGAGGATTCCGTCAAAATGAGGCAGGGACCTAGGGCTTTCTCTAAGGTCTCCACAGGGGATTCAGACATCCCTTCATGTTGTGAGATGAAAGACGAGCCTGTATTCAAGCCACTGCAAGGAAATCCGGCCTCCTTTCAAGTTAGGGCTTCTCGCTGTATATTCCCCTTGAGGCAGCAAACTCGGGGTCCCTCCCACATACCTATTGCTGAGAGAAGCCTCCTCCTGAGGTGCTTCTGGAAAGGTGGCATACGTCTTGAGCCTAAGCCAGGGAATCAGCTCTCATCTCGAGACGATTTGGGGTACACAGAGCATTCCTCGAGTTGCTGTGCTGAAGTTGGTGGTCCTCTAGACTTGGGACAGTGTTCTCGGGGCATCTCTGGAGTTGCCTGAAGGAAGTCGAGCCACCGGTCGTGTTGAATGGGGAACAAGGAATGGCTCTGGAGTCAATGCAGGGGAATCCGGCCTCATCTCGAGTTGATTTGGGGCACATGGAGCTGCTTTGCATTGCTGGGTGACCTCAGGGTCCGTCTAGACTGGTGACAGTGTTCTTCGGGACTGTCTCGAGATCCATTAAGCAAGTCGAAGCTCCTGACTTGTTTGAATGGGATCACGGAATAGCTCTGCATGCACTGCAGGGGAATGGGGCCTCATCTCGCCTCTAGGGGGAAGTCTCATGGTTTTTCTCGAGTTGCGGCGGGGACCTGGGGTGTGTTCTCGACTTACGGCGGGGATGGCCCTTCAAAACACGAGTTTCTTCCGTGACGTCAGGACTCCTGTCTAGTAACGAGGGACACCTCAGCAATCTCTTCGAGGCTTGGCAGGGCAAAAGGGACGCTTCTCGAGGTGAGCCAGGGCACCCAAGGACCCTTTCCATTAGCCACAGGGATTTTGGGATTCCTATCAGTATTCAAGAGGAGTCAGGCATCGTCACCTTTTGAAGCAATGAACTCCGCGTGCCTCTCGAGGTGTCAGCGGGATGTGAGGATTTCGTCAAAATGAGGCAGGGACCTAGGGCTTTCTCTAAGGTCTCCACAGGGGATTCAGACATCCCTTCATGTTGTGAGATGAAAGACGAGCCTGTATTCAAGCCACTGCAAGGAAATCCGGCCTCCTTTCAAGTTAGGGCTTCTCGCTGTATATTCCCCTTTAGGCAGCAAACTCGGAGTCCCTCCCACATACCTATTGCTGAGAGAAGCCTCCTCCTGAGTTGCTTCTGGAAAGTTGGCATAGGTCTTGAGCCTAAGCCAGGGATTCAGCTCTCATCTCGAGACGATTTGGGGTACACAGAGCATTCCTCGAGTTGCTGTGCTGATGTTGGTGTTCCTCTAGACTTGGGACAGTGTTCTCTGGGCATCTCTGGAGTTGCCTGAAGGAAGTCGAGCCACCGGTCGTGTTGAATGGGGAACGGGGAATGTCTCTGGAGTCAATGCAGGGGAATCGGGCCTCATCTCGAGTTGATTTGTGGCACCTGGAGCTGCTTTGCGTTGCTGGGGTGACCTCAGGGTCCGTCTAGACTGGTGACAGTGTTCTTGGGGACTGCCTCGAGATCCATTAAGCAAGTCGAAGCTCCTGACTTGTTTGAATGGGATCACGGAATAGCTCTGCATGCACTGCAGGGGAATGGGGCCTCATCTCGCCTCTAGGGGGAATTCTCATGGTTTTTCTCGAGTTGCGGCGGGGCCCTGGGTTATGTTCTCGACTTACGGCGGGGATGGCCCTTCAAAACACGAGTTTCTCAAGTGACGTCAGGACTCCTGCCTAGTAACGAGGGACACCTCAGAAATCTCTTCGAGGCTTGGCAGGGCAGAAGGGACGCTTCTCGAGGTGAGCCAGGGCACCCAAGGACCCTTTCCAGTAGCCACAGGGATTTTGGGATTCCTATCAGTATTCAAGAGGAGTCAGGCATCGTCACCTTTTGAAGCAATGAACTCCGCGTGCCTCTCGAGGTGTCAGCGGGATGTGAGGATTCCGTCAAAATGAGGCAGGGACCTAGGGCTTTCTCTAAGGTCTCCACAGGGGATTCAGACATCCCTTCATGTTGTTAGATGAAAGACGAGCCTGTATTCAAGCCACTGCAAGGAAATCCGTCCTCCTTTCAAGTTAGGGCTTCTCGCTGTATATTCCCCTTGAGGCAGAAATCTCGGAGTCCCTCCCACATACCTATTGCTGAGAGAAGCCTCCTCCTGAGGTGCTTCTGGAAAGTTGGCATACGTCTTGAGCCTAAGCCAGGGATTCAGCTCTCATCTCGAGACGACTTGGGGTACACAGAGCATTCCTCGAGTTGCTGTGCTGAAGTTGGTGTTCCTCTAGACTTGGGACAGTGTTCTCTGGGCATCTCTGGAGTTGCCTGAAGGAAGTCGAGCCACCGGTCGTGTTGAATGGGGAACGGGGAATGGCTCTGGAGTCAATGCAGGGGAATCGGGCCTCATCTCGAGTTGATTTGTGGCACCTGGAGCTGCTTTGCGTTGCTGGGGTGACCTCAGGGTCCGTCTAGACTGGCGACAGTGTTCTTGGGGACTGCCTCGAGATCCATTAAGCAAGTCGAAGCTCCTGACTTGTTTGAATGGGATCACGGAATAGCTCTGCATGCACTGCAAGGGAATGGGGCCTCATCTCGCCTCTAGGGGGAAGTCTCATGGTTTTTCTCGAGTTGCGGCGGGGACCTGGGGTATGTTCTCGACTTACGGCGGGGATGGCCCTTCAAAACACGAGTTTCTTCCGTGACGTCAGGACTCCTGTCTAGTAACGAGGGACACCTCAGCAATCTCTTCGAGGCTTGGCAGGGCAAAAGGGACGCTTCTCGAGGTGAGCCAGGGCACCCAAGGACCCTTTCCAGTAGCCACAGGGATTTGGGGATTCCTATCAGTATTCAAGAGGAGTCAGGCATCGTCACCTTTGGAAGCAATGAACTCCGCGTGCCTCTCGAGGTGTCAGCGGGATGTGATGATTTCGTCAAAATGAGGCAGGGACCTAGGGCTTTCTCTAAGGTCTCCACAGGGGATTCAGACATCCCTTCATGTTGTGAGATGAAAGACGAGCCTGTATTCAAGCCACTGCAAGGAAATCCGGCCTCCTTTCAAGTTAGGGCTTCTCGCTGTATATTTCCCTTGAGGCAGAAATCTCAGAGTCCCTCCCACATACCTATTGCTGAGAGAAGCCTCCTCCTGAGGTGCTTCTGGAAAGTTGGCATAGGTCTTGAGCCTAAGCCAGGGATTCAGCTCTCATCTCGAGACGATTTGGGGTACACAGAGCATTCCTCGAGTTGCTGTGCTGAAGTTGGTGTTCCTCTAGACTTGGGACAGTGTTCTCTGGGCATCTCTGGAGTTGCCTGAAGGAAGTCGAGCCACCGGTCGTGTTGAATGGGGAACGGGGAATGTCTCTGGAATCAATGCAGGGGAATCGGGCCTCATCTCGAGTTGATTTGTGGCACCTGGAGCTGCTTTGCGTTGCTGGGGTGACCTCAGGGTCCGTCTAGACTGGTGACAGTGTTCTTGGGGACTGCCTCGAGATCCATTAAGCAAGTCGAAGCTCCTGACTTGTTTGAATGGGATCACGGAATAGCTCTGCATGCACTGCAGGGGAATGGGGCCTCATCTCGCCTCTAGGGGGAAGTCTCATGGTTTTTCTCGAGTTGCGGCGGGGCCCTGGGTTATGTTCTCGACTTACGACGGGGATGGCCCTTCAAAACACGAGTTTCTCCAGTGACGTCAGGACTCCTGCCTAGTAACGAGGGACACCTCAGGAATCTCTTCGAGGCTTGGCAGGGCAAAAGGGACGCTTCTCGAGGTGAGCCAGGGCACCCAAGGACCCTTTCCAGTAGCCACAGGGATTTTGGGATTCCTATCAGTATTCAAGAGGAGTCAGGCATCGTCACCTTTTGAAGCAATGAACTCCGCGTGCCTCTCGAGGTGTCAGCGGGATGTGAGGATTCCGTCAAAATGAGGCAGGGACCTAGGGCTTTCTCTAAGGTCTCCACAGGGGATTCAGACATCCCTTCATGTTGTGAGATGAAAGACGAGCCTGTATTCAAGCCACTGCAAGGAAATCCGTCCTCCTTTCAAGTTAGGGCTTCTCGCTGTATATTCCCCTTGAGGCAGAAATCTCGGAGTCCCTCCCACATACCTATTGCTGAGAGAAGCCTCCTCCTGAGGTGCTTCTGGAAAGTTGGCATACGTCTTGAGCCTAAGCCAGGGATTCAGCTCTCATCTCGAGACGATTTGGGGTACACAGAGCATTCCTCGAGTTGCTGTGCTGAAGTTGGTGTTCCTCTAGACTTGGGACAGTGTTCTCTGGGCATCTCTGGAGTTGCCTGAAGGAAGTCGAGCCACCGGTCGTGTTGAATGGGGAACGGGGAATGGCTCTGGAGTCAATGCAGGGGAATCGGGCCTCATCTCGAGTTGATTTGTGGCACCTGGAGCTGCTTTGCGTTGCTGGGGTGACCTCAGGGTCCGTCTAGACTGGTGACAGTGTTCTTGGGGACTGCCTCGAGATCCATTAAGCAAGTCGAAGCTCCTGACTTGTTTGAATGGGATCACGGAATAGCTCTGCATGCACTGCAGGGGAATGGGGCCTCATCTCGCCTCTAGGGGGAGTCTCATGGTTTTTCTCGAGTTGCGTCGGGGAACTGGGGTATGTTCTCAACTTACGGCGGGGATGGCCCTTCAAAACACGAGTTTCTTTAGTGACGTCAGGACTCCTGTCTAGTAACGAGGGACACGTCAGCAATCTCTTCGAGGCTTGGCAGGGCAAAAGGGACGCTTCTCGAGGTGAGCCAGGGCACCCAAGGACCCTTTCCATTAGCCACAGGGATTTTGGGATTCCTATCAGTATTCAAGAGGAGTCAGGCATCGTCACCTTTTGAAGCAATGAACTCCGCGTGCCTCTCGAGGTGTCAGCGGGATGTGAGGATTCCGTCAAAATGAGGCAGGGACCTAGGGCTTTCTCTAAGGTCTCCACAGGGGATTCAGACATCCCTTCATGTTGTGAGATGAAAGACGAGCCTGTATTCAAGCCACTGCAAGGAAATCCGGCCTCCTTTCAAGTTAGGGCTTCTCGCTGTATATTCCCCTTGAGGCAGCAAACTCGGGGTCCCTCCCACATACCTATTGCTGAGAGAAGCCTCCTCCTGAGGTGCTTCTGGAAAGGTGGCATACGTCTTGAGCCTAAGCCAGGGAATCAGCTCTCATCTCGAGACGATTTGGGGTACACAGAGCATTCCTCGAGTTGCTGTGCTGAAGTTGGTGGTCCTCTAGACTTGGGACAGTGTTCTCTGGGCATCTCTGGAGTTGCCTGAAGGAAGTCGAGCCACCGGTCGTGTTGAATGGGGAACAAGGAATGGCTCTGGAGTCAATGCAGGGGAATCCGGCCTCATCTCGAGTTGATTTGGGGCACATGGAGCTGCTTTGCATTGCTGGGTGACCTCAGGGTCCGTCTAGACTGGTGACAGTGTTCTTCGGGACTGTCTCGAGATCCATTAAGCAAGTCGAAGCTCCTGACTTGTTTGAATGGGATCACGGAATAGCTCTGCATGCACTGCAGGGGAATGGGGCCTCATCTCGCCTCTAGGGGGAAGTCTCATGGTTTTTCTCGAGTTGCGGCGGGGACCTGGGGTGTGTTCTCGACTTACGGCGGGGATGGCCCTTCAAAACATGAGTTTCTTCCGTGACGTCAGGACTCCTGTCTAGTAACGAGGGACACCTCAGCAATCTCTTCGAGGCTTGGCAGGGCAAAAGGGACGCTTCTCGAGGTGAGCCAGGGCACCCAAGGACCCTTTCCATTAGCCACAGGGATTTTGGGATTCCTATCAGTATTCAAGAGGAGTCAGGCATCGTCACCTTTTGAAGCAATGAACTCCGCGTGCCTCTCGAGGTGTCAGCGGGATGTGAGGATTCCGTCAAAATGAGGCAGGGACCTAGGGTTTTCTCTAAGGTCTCCACAGGGGATTCAGACATCCCTTCATGTTGTGAGATGAAAGACGAGCCTGTATTCAAGCCCCTGCAAGGAAATCCGGCCTCCTTTCAAGTTAGGGCTTCTCGCTGTATATTCCCCTTGAGGCAGCAATTTCGGAGTCCCTCCCACATACCTATTGCTGAGAGAAGCCTCCTCCTGAGGTGCTTCTGGAAAGTTGGCATACGTCTTGAGCCTAAGCCAGGGATTCAGCTCTCATCTCGAGACGATTTGGGGTACACAGAGCATTCCTCGAGTTGCTGTGCTGAAGTTGGTGTTCCTCTAGACTTGGGACAGTGTTCTCTGGGCATCTCTGGAGTTGCCTGAAGGAAGTCGAGCCACCGGTCGTGTTGAATGGGGAACGGGGAATGGCTCTGGAGTCAATGCAGGGGAATCGGGCCTCATCTCGAGTTGATTTGTGGCACCTGGAGCTGCTTTGCGTTGCTGGGGTGACCTCAGGGTCCGTCTAGACTGGCGACAGTGTTCTTGGGTACTGCCTCGAGATCCATTAAGCAAGTTGAAGCTCCTGACTTGTTTGAATGGGATCACGGAATAGCTCTGCATGCACTGCAGGGGAATGGGGCCTCATCTCGCCTCTAGGGGGAAGTCTCATGTTTTTCTCGAGTTGCGGCGGGGAACTGGGGTATGTTCTCAACTTACGGCGGGGATGGCCCTTCAAAACACGAGTTTCTTCAGTGACGTCAGGGCTCCTGTCTAGTAACGAGGGACACGTCAGCAATCTCTTCGAGGCTTGGCAGGGCAAAAGGGACGCTTCTCGAGGTGAGCCAGGGCACCCAAGGACCCTTTCCAGTAGCCACAGGGATTTGGGGATTCCTATCAGTATTCAAGAGGAGTCAGGCATCGTCACCTTTTGAAGCAATGAACTCCGCGTGCCTCTCGAGGTGTCAGCGGGATGTGAGGATTCCGTCAAAATGAGGCAGGGACCTAGGGCTTTCTCTAAGGTCTCCACAGGGGATTCAGACATCCCTTCATGTTGTGAGATGAAAGACGAGCCTGTATTCAAGCCACTGCAAGGAAATCCGGCCTCCTTTCAAGTTAGGGCTTCTCGCTGTATATTCCCCTTGAGGCAGCAAACACGGGGTCCCTCCCACATACCTATTGCTGAGAGAAGCCTCCTCCTGAGGTGCTTCTGGAAAGGTGGCATACGTCTTGAGCCTAAGCCAGGGAATCAGCTCTCATCTTGAGACGACTTGTGGTACACAGAGCATTCCTCGAGTTGCTGTGCTGAAGTTGGTGTTCCTCTAGACTTGGGACAGTGTTCTCGGGGCATCTCTGGAGTTGCCTGAAGGAAGGCGAGCCTCCGTTCGTGTTGAACGGGGAACGGGGAATGGCTCTGGAGTCAATGCAGGGGAATCGGGCCTCATCTCGAGTTGATTTGGGGCACATGGAGCTGCTTTGCGTTGCTGGGGTGACCTCAGGGTCCGTCTAGACTGGTGACAGTGTTCTTGGGGACTGTCTCGAGATCCATTAAGCAAGTCGAAGCTCCTGACTTGTTTGAATGGGATCACGGAATAGCTCTGCATGCACTGCAGGGGAATGGGGCCTCATCTCGCCTCTAGGGGGAAGTCTCATGGTTTTTCTCGAGTTGCGGCGGGGACCTGGGTTATGTTCTCGACTTACGGCGGGGATGGCCCTTCAAAACACGAGTTTCTTCAGTGACGTCAGGACTCCTGTCTAGTAACGAGGGACACCTCAGCAATCTCTTCGAGGCTTGGCAGGGCAAAAGGGACGCTTCTCGAGGTGAGCCAGGGCACCCAAGGACCCTTTCCAGTAGCCACAGGGATTTTGGGATTCCTATCAGTATTCAAGAGGAGTCAGGCATCGTCACCTTTTGAAGCAATGAACTCCGCGTGCCTCTCGAGGTGTCAGCGGGATGTGAGGATTCCGTCAAAATGCGGCAGGGACCTCGGGCTTTCTCTAAGGTCTCCACAGGGGATTCAGACATCCCTTCATGTTGTGATATGAAAGACGAGCCTGTATTCAAGCCACTGCAAGGAAATCCGGCCTCCTTTCAAGTTAGGGCTTCACGCTGTATATTCCCCTTGAGGCAGCAAACTCGGGGTCCCTCCCACATACCTATTGCTGAGAGAAGCCTCCTCCTGAGGTGCTTCTGGAAAGGTGGCATACGTCTTGAGCCTAAGCCAGGGAATCAGCTCTCATCTCGAGACGATTTGGGGTACACAGAGCATTCCTCGTGTTGCTGTGCTGAAGTTGGTGGTCCTCTAGACTTGGGACAGTGTTCTCTGGGCATCTCTGGAGTTGCCTGAAGGAAGTCGAGCCACCGGTCTTGTTGAATGGGGAACAAGGAATGGCTCTGGAGTCAATGCAGGGGAATCCGGCCTCATCTCGAGTTGATTTGGGGCACATGGAGCTGCTTTGCATTGCTGGGTGACCTCAGGGTCCGTCTAGACTGGTGACAGTGTTCTTGGGGACTGTCTCGAGATCCATTAAGCAAGTCGAAGCTCCTGACTTGTTTGAATGGGATCACGGAATAGCTCTGCATGCACTGCAGGGGAATGGGGCCTCATCTCGCCTCTAGGGGGAAGTCTCATGGTTTTTCTCGAGTTGCGGCGGGGACCTGGGGTATGTTCTCGACTTACGGCGGGGATGGCCCTTCAAAACACGAGTTTCTTCCGTGACGTCAGGACTCATGTCTAGTAACGAGGGACACCTCAGCAAACTCTTCGAGGCTTGGCAGGGCAAAAGGGACGCTTCTGGAGGTGAGCCAGGGCACCCAAGGACCCTTTCCATTAGCCACAGGGATTTTGGGATTCCTATCAGTATTCAAGAGGAGTCAGGCATCGTCACCTTTTGAAGCAATGAACTCCGCGTGCCTCTCGAGGTGTCAGCGGGATGTGAGGATTCCGTCAAAATGAGGCAGGGACCTAGGGCTTTCTCTAAGGTCTCCACAGGGGATTCAGACATCCCTTCATGTTGTGAGATGAAAGACGAGCCTGTATTCAAGCCCCTGCAAGGAAATCCGTCCTCCTTTCAAGTTAGGGCTTCTCGCTGTATATTCCCCTTGAGGCAGAAATCTCGGAGTCCCTCCCACATACCTATTGCTGAGAGAAGCCTCCTCCTGAGGTGCTTCTGGAAAGTTGGCATACGTCTTGAGCCTAAGCCAGGGATTCAGCTCTCATCTCGAGACGATTTGGGGTACACAGAGCATTCCTCGAGTTGCTGTGCTGAAGTTGGTGTTCCTCTAGACTTGGGACAGTGTTCTCTGGGCATCTCTGGAGTTGCCTGAAGGAAGTCGAGCCACCGGTCGTGTTGAATGGGGAACGGGGAATGGCTCTGGAGTCAATGCAGGGGAATCGGGCCTCATCTCGAGTTGATTTGTGGCACCTGGAGCTGCTTTGCGTTGCTGGGGTGACCTCAGGGTCCGTCTAGACTGGTGACAGTGTTCTTGGGGACTGCCTCGAGATCCATTAAGCAAGTCGAAGCTCCTGACTTGTTTGAATGGGATCACGGAATAGCTCTGCATGCACTGCAGGGGAATGGGGCCTCATCTCGCCTCTAGGGGGAATTCTCATGGTTTTTCTCGAGTTGCGGCGGGGCCCTGGGTTATGTTCTCGACTTACGGCGGGGATGGCCCTTCAAAACACGAGTTTCTCCAGTGACGTCAGGACTCCTGCCTAGTAACGAGGGACACCTCAGGAATCTCTTCGAGGCTTGGCAGGGCAGAAGGGACGCTTCTCGAGGTGAGCCAGGGCACCCAAGGACCCTTTCCAGTAGCCACAGGGATTTTGGGATTCCTATCAGTATTCAAGAGGAGTCAGGCATCGTCACCTTTTGAAGCAATGAACTCCGCGTGCCTCTCGAGGTGTCAGCGGGATGTGAGGATTCCGTCAAAATGAGGCAGGGACCTAGGGCTTTCTCTAAGGTCTCCACAGGGGATTCAGACATCCCTTCATGTTGTGAGATGAAAGACGAGCCTGTATTCAAGCCACTGCAAGGAAATCCGTCCTCCTTTCAAGTTAGGGCTTCTCGCTGTATATTCCCCTTGAGGCAGAAATCTCGGAGTCCCTCCCACATACCTATTGCTGAGAGAAGCCTCCTCCTGAGGTGCTTCTGGAAAGGTGGCATACGTCTTGAGCCTAAGCCAGGGAATCAGCTCTCATCTTGAGACGACTTGTGGTACACAGAGCATTCCTCGAGTTGCTGTGCTGAAGTTGGTGTTCCTCTAGACTTGGGACAGTGTTCTCGGGGCATCTCTGGAGTTGCCTGAAGGAAGGCGAGCCTCCGTTCGTGTTGAACGGGGAACGGGGAATGGCTCTGGAGTCAATGCAGGGGAATCGGGCCTCATCTCGAGTTGATTTGGGGCACATGGAGCTGCTTTGCGTTGCTGGGGTGACCTCAGGGTCCGTCTAGACTGGTGACAGTGTTCTTGGGGACTGTCTCGAGATCCATTAAGCAAGTCGAAGCTCCTGACTTGTTTGAATGGGATCACGGAATAGCTCTGCATGCACTGCAGGGGAATGGGGCCTCATCTCGCCTCTAGGGGGAAGTCTCATGGTTTTTCTCGAGTTGCGGCGGGGACCTGGGTTATGTTCTCGACTTACGGCGGGGATGGCCCTTCAAAACACGAGTTTCTTCAGTGACGTCAGGACTCCTGTCTAGTAACGAGGGACACCTCAGCAATCTCTTCGAGGCTTGGCAGGGCAAAAGGGACGCTTCTCGAGGTGAGCCAGGGCACCCAAGGACCCTTTCCAGTAGCCACAGGGATTTTGGGATTCCTATCAGTATTCAAGAGGAGTCAGGCATCGTCACCTTTTGAAGCAATGAACTCCGCGTGCCTCTCGAGGTGTCAGCGGGATGTGAGGATTCCGTCAAAATGCGGCAGGGACCTCGGGCTTTCTCTAAGGTCTCCACAGGGGATTCAGACATCCCTTCATGTTGTGATATGAAAGACGAGCCTGTATTCAAGCCACTGCAAGGAAATCCGGCCTCCTTTCAAGTTAGGGCTTCACGCTGTATATTCCCCTTGAGGCAGCAAACTCGGGGTCCCTCCCACATACCTATTGCTGAGAGAAGCCTCCTCCTGAGGTGCTTCTGGAAAGGTGGCATACGTCTTGAGCCTAAGCCAGGGAATCAGCTCTCATCTCGAGACGATTTGGGGTACACAGAGCATTCCTCGTGTTGCTGTGCTGAAGTTGGTGGTCCTCTAGACTTGGGACAGTGTTCTCTGGGCATCTCTGGAGTTGCCTGAAGGAAGTCGAGCCACCGGTCTTGTTGAATGGGGAACAAGGAATGGCTCTGGAGTCAATGCAGGGGAATCCGGCCTCATCTCGAGTTGATTTGGGGCACATGGAGCTGCTTTGCATTGCTGGGTGACCTCAGGGTCCGTCTAGACTGGTGACAGTGTTCTTGGGGACTGTCTCGAGATCCATTAAGCAAGTCGAAGCTCCTGACTTGTTTGAATGGGATCACGGAATAGCTCTGCATGCACTGCAGGGGAATGGGGCCTCATCTCGCCTCTAGGGGGAAGTCTCATGGTTTTTCTCGAGTTGCGGCGGGGACCTGGGGTATGTTCTCGACTTACGGCGGGGATGGCCCTTCAAAACACGAGTTTCTTCCGTGACGTCAGGACTCATGTCTAGTAACGAGGGACACCTCAGCAAACTCTTCGAGGCTTGGCAGGGCAAAAGGGACGCTTCTGGAGGTGAGCCAGGGCACCCAAGGACCCTTTCCATTAGCCACAGGGATTTTGGGATTCCTATCAGTATTCAAGAGGAGTCAGGCATCGTCACCTTTTGAAGCAATGAACTCCGCGTGCCTCTCGAGGTGTCAGCGGGATGTGAGGATTCCGTCAAAATGAGGCAGGGACCTAGGGCTTTCTCTAAGGTCTCCACAGGGGATTCAGACATCCCTTCATGTTGTGAGATGAAAGACGAGCCTGTATTCAAGCCCCTGCAAGGAAATCCGTCCTCCTTTCAAGTTAGGGCTTCTCGCTGTATATTCCCCTTGAGGCAGAAATCTCGGAGTCCCTCCCACATACCTATTGCTGAGAGAAGCCTCCTCCTGAGGTGCTTCTGGAAAGTTGGCATACGTCTTGAGCCTAAGCCAGGGATTCAGCTCTCATCTCGAGACGATTTGGGGTACACAGAGCATTCCTCGAGTTGCTGTGCTGAAGTTGGTGTTCCTCTAGACTTGGGACAGTGTTCTCTGGGCATCTCTGGAGTTGCCTGAAGGAAGTCGAGCCACCGGTCGTGTTGAATGGGGAACGGGGAATGGCTCTGGAGTCAATGCAGGGGAATCGGGCCTCATCTCGAGTTGATTTGTGGCACCTGGAGCTGCTTTGCGTTGCTGGGGTGACCTCAGGGTCCGTCTAGACTGGTGACAGTGTTCTTGGGGACTGCCTCGAGATCCATTAAGCAAGTCGAAGCTCCTGACTTGTTTGAATGGGATCACGGAATAGCTCTGCATGCACTGCAGGGGAATGGGGCCTCATCTCGCCTCTAGGGGGAATTCTCATGGTTTTTCTCGAGTTGCGGCGGGGCCCTGGGTTATGTTCTCGACTTACGGCGGGGATGGCCCTTCAAAACACGAGTTTCTCCAGTGACGTCAGGACTCCTGCCTAGTAACGAGGGACACCTCAGGAATCTCTTCGAGGCTTGGCAGGGCAGAAGGGACGCTTCTCGAGGTGAGCCAGGGCACCCAAGGACCCTTTCCAGTAGCCACAGGGATTTTGGGATTCCTATCAGTATTCAAGAGGAGTCAGGCATCGTCACCTTTTGAAGCAATGAACTCCGCGTGCCTCTCGAGGTGTCAGCGGGATGTGAGGATTCCGTCAAAATGAGGCAGGGACCTAGGGCTTTCTCTAAGGTCTCCACAGGGGATTCAGACATCCCTTCATGTTGTGAGATGAAAGACGAGCCTGTATTCAAGCCACTGCAAGGAAATCCGTCCTCCTTTCAAGTTAGGGCTTCTCGCTGTATATTCCCCTTGAGGCAGAAATCTCGGAGTCCCTCCCACATACCTATTGCTGAGAGAAGCCTCCTCCTGAGGTGCTTCTGGAAAGTTGGCATACGTCTTGAGCCTAAGCCAGGGATTCAGCTCTCATCTCGAGACGATTTGGGGTACACAGAGCATTCCTCGAGTTGCTGTGCTGAAGTTGGTGTTCCTCTAGACTTGGGACAGTGTTCTCTGGGCATCTCTGGAGTTGCCTGAAGGAAGTCGAGCCACCGGTCGTGTTGAATGGGGAACGGGGAATGTCTCTGGAGTCAATGCAGGGGAATCGGGCCTCATCTCGAGTTGATTTGTGGCACCTGGAGCTGCTTTGCGTTGCTGGGGTGACCTCAGGGTCCGTCTAGACTGGTGACAGTGTTCTTGGGGACTGCCTCGAGATCCATTAAGCAAGTCGAAGCTCCTGACTTGTTTGAATGGGATCACGGAATAGCTCTGCATGCACTGCAGGGGAATGGGGCCTCATCTCGCCTCTAGGGGGAAGTCTCATGGTTTTTCTCGAGTTGCGGCGGGGCCCTGGGTTATGTTCTCGACTTACGGCGGGGATGGCCCTTCAAAACACGAGTTTCTCCAGTGACGTCAGGACTCCTGCCTAGTAACGAGGGACACCTCAGGAATCTCTTCGAGCCTTGGCAGGGCAAAAGGGACGCTTCTCGAGGTGAGCCAGGGCACCCAAGGACCCTTTCCAGTAGCCACAGGGATTTTGGGATTCCTATCAGTATTCAAGAGGAGTCAGGCATCGTCACCTTTTGAAGCAATGAACTCCGCGTGCCTCTCGAGGTGTCAGCGGGATGTGAGGATTCCGTCAAAATGAGGCAGGGACCTAGGGCTTTCTCTAAGGTCTCCACAGGGGATTCAGACATCCCTTCATGTTGTGAGATGAAAGACGAGCCTGTATTCAAGCCACTGCAAGGAAATCCGTCCTCCTTTCAAGTTAGGGCTTCTCGCTGTATATTCCCCTTGAGGCAGAAATCTCGGAGACCCTCCCACATACCTATTGCTGAGAGAAGCCTCCTCCTGAGGTGCTTCTGGAAAGTTGGCATACGTCTTGAGCCTAAGCCAGGGATTCAGCTCTCATCTCGAGACGATTTGGGGTACACAGAGCATTCCTCGAGTTGCTGTGCTGAAGTTGGTGTTCCTCTAGACTTGGGACAGTGTTCTCTGGGCATCTCTGGAGTTGCCTGAAGGAAGTCGAGCCACCGGTCGTGTTGAATGGGGAACGGGGAATGGCTCTGGAGTCAATGCAGGGGAATCGGGCCTCATCTCGAGTTGATTTGTGGCACCTGGAGCTGCTTTGCGTTGCTGGGGTGACCTCAGGGTCCGTCTAGACTGGTGACAGTGTTCTTGGGGACTGCCTCGAGATCCATTAAGCAAGTCGAAGCTCCTGACTTGTTTGAATGGGATCACGGAATAGCTCTGCATGCACTGCAGGGGAATGGGGCCTCATCTCGCCTCTAGGGGGAGTCTCATGGTTTTTCTCGAGTTGCGTCGGGGAACTGGGGTATGTTCTCAACTTACGGCGGGGATGGCCCTTCAAAACACGAGTTTCTTCAGTGACGTCAGGACTCCTGTCTAGTAACGAGGGACACGTCAGCAATCTCTTCGAGGCTTGGCAGGGCAAAAGGGACGCTTCTCGAGGTGAGCCAGGGCACCCAAGGACCCTTTCCATTAGCCACAGGGATTTTGGGATTCCTATAAATATTCAAGAGGAGTCAGGCATCGTCACCTTTTGAAGCAATGAACTCCGCGTGCCTCTCGAGGTGTCAGCGGGATGTGAGGATTCCGTCAAAATGAGGCAGGGACCTAGGGCTTTCTCTAAGGTCTCCACAGGGGATTCAGACATCCCTTCATGTTGTGAGATGAAAGACGAGCCTGTATTCAAGCCACTGCAAGGAAATCCGGCCTCCTTTCAAGTTAGGGCTTCTCGCTGTATATTCCCCTTGAGGCAGCAAACTCGGGGTCCCTCCCACATACCTATTGCTGAGAGAAGCCTCCTCCTGAGGTGCTTATGGAAAGGTGGCATACGTCTTGAGCCTAAGCCAGGGAATCAGCTCTCATCTCGAAACGATTTGGGGTACACAGAGCATTCCTCGAGTTGCTGTGCTGAAGTTGGTGGTCCTCTAGACTTGGGACAGTGTTCTCGGGGCATCTCTGGAGTTGCCTGAAGGAAGTCGAGCCACCGGTCGTGTTGAATGGGGAACAAGGAATGGCTCTGGAGTCAATGCAGGGGAATCCGGCCTCATCTCGAGTTGATTTGGGGCACATGGAGCTGCTTTGCATTGCTGGGTGACCTCAGGGTCCGTCTAGACTGGTGACAGTGTTCTTTGGGACTGTCTCGAGATCCATTAAGCAAGTCGAAGCTCCTGACTTGTTTGAATGGGATCACGGAATAGCTCTGCATGCACTGCAGGGGAATGGGGCCTCATCTCGCCTCTAGGGGGAAGTCTCATGGTTTTTCTCGAGTTGCGGCGGGGACCTGGGGTGTGTTCTCGACTTACGGCGGGGATGGCCCTTCAAAACACGAGTTTCTTCCGTGACGTCAGGACTCCTGTCTAGTAACGAGGGACACCTCAGCAATCTCTTCGAGGCTTGGCAGGGCAAAAGGGACGCTTCTCGAGGTGAGCCAGGGCACCCAAGGACCCTTTCCATTAGCCACAGGGATTTTGGGATTCCTATCAGTATTCAAGAGGAGTCAGGCATCGTCACCTTTTGAAGCAATGAACTCCGCGTGCCTCTCGAGGTGTCAGCGGGATGTGAGGATTCCGTCAAAATGAGGCAGGGACCTAGGGTTTTCTCTAAGGTCTCCACAGGGGATTCAGACATCCCTTCATGTTGTGAGATGAAAGACGAGCCTGTATTCAAGCCCCTGCAAGGAAATCCGGCCTCCTTTCAAGTTAGGGCTTCTCGCTGTATATTCCCCTTGAGGCAGCAATCTTGGAGTCCCTCCCACATACCTATTGCTGAGAGAAGCCTCCTCCTGAGGTGCTTCTGGAAAGTTGGCATACGTCTTGAGCCTAAGCCAGGGATTCAGCTCTCATCTCGAGACGATTTGGGGTACACAGAGCATTCCTCGAGTTGCTGTGCTGAAGTTGGTGTTCCTCTAGACTTGGGACAGTGTTCTCTGGGCATCTCTGGAGTTGCCTGAAGGAAGTCGAGCCACCGGTCGTGTTGAATGGGGAACGGGGAATGGCTCTGGAGTCAATGCAGGGGAATCGGGCCTCATCTCGAGTTGATTTGTGGCACCTGGAGCTGCTTTGCGTTGCTGGGGTGACCTCAGGGTCCGTCTAGACTGGCGACAGTGTTCTTGGGGACTGCCTCGAGATCCATTAAGCAAGTTGAAGCTCCTGACTTGTTTGAATGGGATCACGGAATAGCTCTGCATGCACTGCAGGGGAATGGGGCCTCATCTCGCCTCTAGGGGGAAGTCTCATGTTTTTCTCGAGTTGCGGCGGGGAACTGGGGTATGTTCTCAACTTACGGCGGGGATGGCCCTTCAAAACACGAGTTTCTTCAGTGACGTCAGGGCTCCTGTCTAGTAACGAGGGACACCTCAGCAATCTCTTCGAGGCTTGGCAGGGCAAAAGGGACGCTTCTCGAGGTGAGCCAGGGCACCCAAGGACCCTTTCCAGTAGCCACAGGGATTTGGGGATTCCTATCAGTATTCAAGAGGAGTCAGGCATCGTCACCTTTTGAAGCAATGAACTCCGCGTGCCTCTCGAGGTGTCAGCGGGATGTGAGGATTCCGTCAAAATGAGGCAGGGACCTAGGGCTTTCTCTAAGGTCTCCACAGGGGATTCAGACATCCCTTCATGTTGTGAGATGAAAGACGAGCCTGTATTCAAGCCACTGCAAGGAAATCCGGCCTCCTTTCAAGATAGGGCTTCTCGCTGTATATTCCCCTTGAGGCAGCAAACACGGGGTCCCTCCCACATACCTATTGCTGAGAGAAGCCTCCTCCTGAGGTGCTTCTGGAAAGGTGGCATACGTCTTGAGCCTAAGCCAGGGAATCAGCTCTCATCTTGAGACGACTTGTGGTACACAGAGCATTCCTCGAGTTGCTGTGCTGAAGTTGGTGTTCCTCTAGACTTGGGACAGTGTTCTCGGGGCATCTCTGGAGTTGCCTGAAGGAAGGCGAGCCTCCGTTCGTGTTGAACGGGGAACGGGGAATGGCTCTGGAGTCAATGCAGGGGAATCGGGATTCATCTCGAGTTGATTTGGGGCACATGGAGCTGCTTTGCATTGCTGGGGTGACCTCAGGGTCCGTCTAGACTGGTGACAGTGTTCTTGGGGACTGTCTCGAGATCCATTAAGCAAGTCGAAGCTCCTGACTTGTTTGAATGGGATCACGGAATAGCTCTGCATGCACTGCAGGGGAATGGGGCCTCATCTCGCCTCTAGGGGGAAGTCTCATGGTTTTTCTCGAGTTGCGGCGGGGACCTGGGTTATGTTCTCGACTTACGGCGGGGATGGCCCTTCAAAACACGAGTTTCTTCGGTGACGTCAGGACTCTTGTCTAGTAACGAGGGACACCTCAGCAATCTCTTCGAGGCTTGGCAGGGCAAAAGGGACGCTTCTCGAGGTGAGGCAGGGCACCCAAGGACCCTTTCCAGTAGCCACAGGGATTTTGGGATTCCTATCAGTATTCAAGAGGAGTCAGGCATCGTCACCTTTTGAAGCAATGAACTCCGCGTGCCTCTCGAGGTGTCAGCGGGATGTGAGGATTCCGTCAAAATGCGGCAGGGACCTAGGGCTTTCTCTAAGGTCTCCACAGGGGATTCAGACATCCCTTCATGTTGTGAGATGAAAGACGAGCCTGTATTCAAGCCCCTGCAAGGAAATCCGTCCTCCTTTCAAGTTAGGGCTTCTCGCTGTATATTCCCCTTGAGGCAGAAATCTCGGAGTCCCTCCCACATACCTATTGCTGAGAGAAGCCTCCTCCTGAGGTGCTTCTGGAAAGTTGGCATACGTCTTGAGCCTAAGTCAGGGATTCAGCTCTCATCTCGAGACGATTTGGGGTACACAGAGCATTCCTCGAGTTGCTGTGCTGAAGTTGGTGTTCCTCTAGACTTGGGACAGTGTTCTCTGGGCAACTCTGGAGTTGCCTGAAGGAAGTCGAGCCACCGGTCGTGTTGAATGGGGAACGGGGAATGTCTCTGGAGTCAATGCAGGGGAATCGGGCCTCATCTCGAGTTGATTTGTGGCACCTGGAGCTGCTTTGCGTTGCTGGGGTGACCTCAGGGTCCGTCTAGACTGGTGACAGTGTTCTTGGGGACTGCCTCGAGATCCATTAAGCAAGTCGAAGCTCCTGACTTGTTTGAATGGGATCACGGAATAGCTCTGCATGCACTGCAGGGGAATGGGGCCTCATCTCGCCTCTAGGGGGAAGTCTCATGGTTTTTCTCGAGTTGCGGCGGGGACCTGGGGTATGTTCTCGACTTACGGCGGGGATGGCCCTTCAAAACACGAGTTTCTTCCGTGACGTCAGGACTCCTGTCTAGTAACGAGGGACACGTCAGCAATCTCTTCGAGGCTTGGCAGGGCAAAAGGGACGCTCCTCGAGGTGAGCCAGGGCACCCAAGGACCCTTTCCAGTAGCCACAGGGATTTTGGGATTCCTATAAATATTCAAGAGGAGTCAGGCATCGTCACCTTTTGAAGCAATGAACTACACGTGCCTCTCGAGGTGTCAGCGGGATGTGAGGATTCCGTCAAAATGAGGCAGGGACCTAGGGCTTTCTCTAAGGTCTCCACAGGGGATTCAGACATCCCTTCATGTTGTGAGATGAAAGACGAGCCTGTATTCAAGCCACTGCAAGGAAATCCGGCCTCCTTTCAAGTTAGGGCTTCTCGCTGTATATTCCCCTTGAGGCAGCAAACTCGGGGTCCCTCCCACATACCTATTGCTGAGAGAAGCCTCCTCCTGAGGTGCTTCTGGAAAGGTGGCATACGTCTTGAGCCTAAGCCAGGGAATCAGCTCTCATCTCGAGACGATTTGGGGTACACAGAGCATTCCTCGAGTTGCTGTCCTGAAGTTGGTGGTCCTCTAGACTTGGGACAGTGTTCTCGGGGCATCTCTGGAGTTGCCTGAAGGAAGTCGAGCCACCGGTCGTGTTGAATGGGGAACGGGGAATGGCTCTGGAGTCAATGCAGGGGAATCGGGCCTCATCTCGAGTTGATTTGTGGCACCTGGAGCTGCTTTGCGTTGCTGGGGTGACCTCAGGGTCCGTCTAGACTGGTGACAGTGTTCTTGGGGACTGCCTCGAGATCCATTAAGCAAGTCGAAGCTCCTGACTTGTTTGAATGGGATCACGGAATAGCTCTGCATGCACTGCAGGGGAATGGGGCCTCATCTCGCCTCTAGGGGGAGTCTCATGGTTTTTCTCGAGTTGCGGCGGGGAACTGGGTTATGTTCTCAACTTACGGCGGGGATGGCCCTTCAAAACACGAGTTTCTTCAGTGACGTCAGGACTCCTGTCTAGTAACGAGGGACACGTCAGCAATCTCTTCGAGGCTTGGCAGGGCAAAAGGGACGCTTCTCGAGGTGAGCCAGGGCACCCAAGGACCCTTTCCATTAGCCACAGGGATTTTGGGATTCCTATAAATATTCAAGAGGAGTCAGGCATCGTCACCTTTTGAAGCAATGAACTCCGCGTGCCTCTCGAGGTGTCAGCGGGATGTGAGGATTCCGTCAAAATGAGGCAGGGACCTAGGGCTTTCTCTAAGGTCTCCACAGGGGATTCAGACATCCCTTCATGTTGTGAGATGAAAGACGAGCCTGTATTCAAGCCACTGCAAGGAAATCCGGCCTCCTTTCAAGTTAGGGCTTCTCGCTGTATATTCCCCTTGAGGCAGCAATCTCGGAGTCCCTCCCACATACCTATTGCTGAGAGAAGCCTCCTCCTGAGGTGCTTCTGGAAAGTTGGCATACGTCTTGAGCCTAAGCCAGGGATTCAGCTCTCATCTCGAGACGATTTGGGGTACACAGAGCATTCCTCGAGTTGCTGTGCTGAAGTTGGTGTTCCTCTAGACTTGGGACAGTGTTCTCTGGGCATCTCTGGAGTTGCCTGAAGGAAGTCGAGCCACCGGTCGTGTTGAATGGGGAACGGGGAATGGCTCTGGAGTCAATGCAGGGGAATCGGGCCTCATCTCGAGTTGATTTGTGGCACCTGGAGCTGCTTTGCGTTGCTGGGGTGACCTCAGGGTCCGTCTAGACTGGCGACAGTGTTCTTGGGGACTGCCTCGAGATCCATTAAGCAAGTCGAAGCTCCTGACTTGTTTGAATGGGATCACGGAATAGCTCTGCATGCACTGCAAGGGAATGGGGCCTCATCTCGCCTCTAGGGGGAAGTCTCATGGTTTTTCTCGAGTTGCGGCGGGGACCTGGGGTATGTTCTCGACTTACGGCGGGGATGGCCCTTCAAAACACGAGTTTCTTCCGTGACGTCAGGACTCCTGTCTAGTAACGAGGGACACCTCAGCAATCTCTTCGAGGCTTGGCAGGGCAAAAGGGACGCTTCTCGAGGTGAGCCAGGGCACCCAAGGACCCTTTCCATTAGCCACAGGGATTTTGGGATTCCTATCAGTATTCAAGAGGAGTCAGGCATCGTCACCTTTTGAAGCAATGAACTCCGCGTGCCTCTCGAGGTGTCAGCGGGATGTGATGATTTCGTCAAAATGAGGCAGGGACCTAGGGCTTTCTCTAAGGTCTCCACAGGGGATTCAGACATCCCTTCATGTTGTCAGATCAAAGACGAGCCTGTATTCAAGCCACTGCAAGGAAATCCGGCCTCCTTTCAACTTAGGGCTTCTCGCTGTATATTTCCCTTGAGGCAGAAATCTCGGAGTCCCTCCCACATACCTATTGCTGAGAGAAGCCTCCTCCTGAGGTGCTTCTGGAAAGTTGGCATAGGTCTTGAGCCTAAGCCAGGGATTCAGCTCTCATCTCGAGACGATTTGGGGTACACAGAGCATTCCTCGAGTTGCTGTGCTGAAGTTGGTGTTCCTCTAGACTTGGGACAGTGTTCTCTGGGCATCTCTGGAGTTGCCTGAAGGAAGTCGAGCCACCGGTCGTGTTGAATGGGGAACGGGGAATGTCTCTGGAGTCAATGCAGGGGAATCGGGCCTCATCTCGAGTTGATTTGTGGCACCTGGAGCTGCTTTGCGTTGCTGGGGTGACCTCAGGGTCCGTCTAGACTGGTGACAGTGTTCTTGGGGACTGCCTCGAGATCCATTAAGCAAGTCGAAGCTCCTGACTTGTTTGAATGGGATCACGGAATAGCTCTGCATGCACTGCAGGGGAATGGGGCCTCATCTCGCCTCTAGGGGGAAGTCTCATGGTTTTTCTCGAGTTGCGGCGGGGCCCTGGGTTATGTTCTCGACTTACGGCCGGGATGGCCCTTCAAAACACGAGTTTCTCCAGTGACGTCAGGACTCCTGCCTAGTAACGAGGGACACCTCAGGAATCTCTTCGAGGCTTGGCAGGGCAAAAGGGACGCTTCTCGAGGTGAGCCAGGGCACCCAAGGACCCTTTCCAGTAGCCACAGGGATTTTGGGATTCCTATCAGTATTCAAGAGGAGTCAGGCATCGTCACCTTTTGAAGCAATGAACTCCGCGTGCCTCTCGAGGTGTCAGCGGGATGTGAGGATTCCGTCAAAATGAGGCAGGGACCTAGGGCTTTCTCTAAGGTCTCCACAGGGGATTCAGACATCCCTTCATGTTGTGAGATGAAAGACGAGCCTGTATTCAAGCCACTGCAAGGAAATCCGTCCTCCTTTCAAGTTAGGGCTTCTCGCTGTATATTCCCCTTGAGGCAGAAATCTCGGAGTCCCTCCCACATACCTATTGCTGAGAGAAGCCTCCTCCTGAGGTGCTTCTGGAAAGTTGGCATACGTCTTGAGCCTAAGCCAGGGATTCAGCTCTCATCTCGAGACGATTTGGGGTACACAGAGCATTCCTCGAGTTGCTGTGCTGAAGTTGGTGTTCCTCTAGACTTGGGACAGTGTTCTCTGGGCATCTCTGGAGTTGCCTGAAGGAAGTCGAGCCACCGGTCGTGTTGAATGGGGAACGGGGAATGGCTCTGGAGTCAATGCAGGGGAATCGGGCCTCATCTCGAGTTGATTTGTGGCACCTGGAGCTGCTTTGCGTTGCTGGGGTGACCTCAGGGTCCGTCTAAACTGGTGACAGTGTTCTTCGGGACTGTCTCGAGATCCATTAAGCAAGTCGAAGCTCCTGACTTGTTTGAATGGGATCACGGAATAGCTCTGCATGCACTGCAGGGGAATGGGGCCTCATCTCGCCTCTAGGGGGAAGTCTCATGGTTTTTCTCGAGTTGCGGCGGGGACCTGGGGTGTGTTCTCGACTTACGGCGGGGATGGCCCTTCAAAACACGAGTTTCTTCCGTGACGTCAGGACACCTGTCTAGTAACGAGGGACACCTCAGCAATCTCTTCGAGGCTTGGCAGGGCAAAAGGGACGCTTCTCGAGGTGAGCCAGGGCACCCAAGGACCCTTTCCATTAGCCACAGGGATTTTGGGATTCCTATCAGTATTCAAGAGGAGTCAGGCATCGTCACCTTTTGAAGCAATGAACTCCGCGTGCCTCTCGAGGTGTCAGCGGGATGTGAGGATTCCGTCAAAATGAGGCAGGGACCTAGGGTTTTCTCTAAGGTCTCCACAGGGGATTCAGACATCCCTTCATGTTGTGAGATGAAAGACGAGCCTGTATTCAAGCCCCTGCAAGGAAATCCGGCCTCCTTTCAAGTTAGGGCTTCTCGCTGTATATTCCCCTTGAGGCAGCAATCTCGGAGTCCCTCCCACATACCTATTGCTGAGAGAAGCCTCCTCCTGAGGTGCTTCTGGAAAGTTGGCATACGTCTTGAGCCTAAGCCAGGGATTCAGCTCTCATCTCGAGACGATTTGGGGTACACAGAGCATTCCTCGAGTTGCTGTGCTGAAGTTGGTGTTCCTCTAGACTTGGGACAGTGTTCTCTGGGCATCTCTGGAGTTGCCTGAAGGAAGTCGAGCCACCGGTCGTGTTGAATGGGGAACGGGGAATGGCTCTGGAGTCAATGCAGGGGAATCGGGCCTCATCTCGAGTTGATTTGTGGCACCTGGAGCTGCTTTGCGTTGCTGGGGTGACCTCAGGGTCCGTCTAGACTGGCGACAGTGTTCTTGGGGACTGCCTCGAGATCCATTAAGCAAGTTGAAGCTCCTGACTTGTTTGAATGGGATCACGGAATAGCTCTGCATGCACTGCAGGGGAATGGGGCCTCATCTCGCCTCTAGGGGGAAGTCTCATGTTTTTCTCGAGTTGCGGCGGGGAACTGGGGTATGTTCTCAACTTACGGCGGGGATGGCCCTTCAAAACACGAGTTTCTTCAGTGACGTCAGGGCTCCTGTCTAGTAACGAGGGACACCTCAGCAATCTCTTCGAGGCTTGGCAGGGCAAAAGGGACGCTTCTCGAGGTGAGCCAGGGCACCCAAGGACCCTTTCCAGTAGCCACAGGGATTTGGGGATTCCTATCAGTATTCAAGAGGAGTCAGGCATCGTCACCTTTTGAAGCAATGAACTCCGCGTGCCTCTCGAGGTGTCAGCGGGATGTGAGGATTCCGTCAAAATGAGGCAGGGACCTAGGGCTTTCTCTAAGGTCTCCACAGGGGATTCAGACATCCCTTCATGTTGTGAGATGAAAGACGAGCCTGTATTCAAGCCACTGCAAGGAAATCCGGCCTCCTTTCAAGATAGGGCTTCTCGCTGTATATTCCCCTTGAGGCAGCAAACACGGGGTCCCTCCCACATACCTATTGCTGAGAGAAGCCTCCTCCTGAGGTGCTTCTGGAAAGGTGGCATACGTCTTGAGCCTAAGCCAGGGAATCAGCTCTCATCTTGAGACGACTTGTGGTACACAGAGCATTCCTCGAGTTGCTGTGCTGAAGTTGGTGTTCCTCTAGACTTGGGACAGTGTTCTCGGGGCATCTCTGAAGTTGCCTGAAGGAAGGCGAGCCTCCGTTCGTGTTGAACGGGGAACGGGGAATGGCTCTGGAGTCAATGCAGGGGAATCGGGCCTCATCTCGATTTGATTTGGGGCACATGGAGCTGCTTTGCATTGCTGGGGTGACCTCAGGGTCCGTCTAGACTGGTGACAGTGTTCTTGGGGACTGTCTCGAGATCCATTAAGCAAGTCGAAGCTCCTGACTTGTTTGAATGGGATCACGGAATAGCTCTGCATGCACTGCAGGGGAATGGGGCCTCATCTCGCCTCTAGGGGGAAGTCTCATGGTTTTTCTCGAGTTGCGGCGGGGACCTGGGTTATGTTCTCGACTTACGGCGGGGATGGCCCTTCAAAACACGAGTTTCTTCAGTGACGTCAGGACTCCTGTCTAGTAACGAGGGACACCTCAGCAATCTCTTCGAGGCTTGGCAGGGCAAAAGGGACGCTTCTCGAGGTGAGGCAGGGCACCCAAGGACCCTTTCCAGTAGCCACAGGGATTTTGGGATTCCTATCAGTATTCAAGAGGAGTCAGGCATCGTCACCTTTTGAAGCAATGAACTCCGCGTGCCTCTCGAGGTGTCAGCGGGATGTGAGGATTCCGTCAAAATGCGGCAGGGACCTAGGGCTTTCTCTAAGGTCTCCACAGGGGATTCAGACATCCCTTCATGTTGTGAGATGAAAGACGAGCCTGTATTCAAGCCACTGCAAGGAAATCCGGCCTCCTTTCAAGTTAGGGCTTCACGCTGTATATTCCCCTTGAGGCAGCAAACTCGGGGTCCCTCCCACATACCTATTGCTGAGAGAAGCCTCCTCCTGAGGTGCTTCTGGAAAGGTGGCATACGTCTTGAGCCTAAGCCAGGGAATCAGCTCTCATCTCGAGACGATTTGGGGTACACAGAGCATTCCGCGTGTTGCTGTGCTGAAGTTGGTGGTCCTCTAGACTTGGGACAGTGTTCTCTGGGCATCTCTGGAGTTGCCTGAAGGAAGTCGAGCCACCGGTCGTGTTGAATGGGGAACAAGGAATGGCTCTGGAGTCAATGCAGGGGAATCCGGCCTCATCTCGAGTTGATTTGGGGCACATGGAGCTGCTTTGCATTGCTGGGTGACCTCAGGGTCCGTCTAGACTGGTGACAGTGTTCTTGGGGACTGCCTCGAGATCCATTAAGCAAGTCGAAGCTCCTGACTTGTTTGAATGGGATCACGGAATAGCTCTGCATGCACTGCAGGGGAATGGGGCCTCATCTCGCCTCTAGGGGGAAGTCTCATGGTTTTTCTCGAGTTGCGGCGGGGAACTGGGGTATGTTCTCAACTTACGGCGGGGATGGCCCTTCAAAACACGAGTTTCTTCAGTGACGTCAGGACTCCTGTCTAGTAACGAGGGACACGTCAGCAATCTCTTCGAGGCTTGGCAGGGCAAAAGGGACGCTTCTCGAGGTGAGCCAGGGCACCCAAGGACCCTTTCCAGTAGCCACAGGGATTTTGGGATTCCTATAAATATTCAAGAGGAGTCAGGCATCGTCACCTTTTGAAGCAATGAACTCCACGTGCCTCTCGAGGTGTCAGCGGGATGTGAGGATTCCGTCAAAATGAGGCAGGGACCTAGGGCTTTCTCTAAGGTCTCCACAGGGGATTCAGACATCCCTTCATGTTGTGAGATGAAAGACGAGCCTGTATTCAAGCCACTGCAAGGAAATCCGGCCTCCTTTCAAGTTAGGGCTTCTCGCTGTATATTCCCCTTGAGGCAGCAAACTCGGGGTCCCTCCCACATACCTATTGCTGAGAGAAGCCTCCTCCTGAGGTGCTTCTGGAAAGGTGGCATACGTCTTGAGCCTAAGCCAGGGAATCAGCCCTCATCTCGAGACGATTTGGGGTACACAGAGCATTCCTCGAGTTGCTGTGCTGAAGTTGGTGGTCCTCTAGACTTGGGACAGTGTTCTCGGGGCATCTCTGGAGTTGCCTGAAGGAAGTCGAGCCACCGGTCGTGTTGAATGGGGAACAAGGAATGGCTCTGGAGTCAATGCAGGGGAATCCGGCCTCATCTCGAGTTGATTTGGGGCACATGGAGCTGCTTTGCGTTGCTGGGTGACCTCAGGGTCCGTCTAGACTGGTGACAGTGTTCTTGGGGACTTTCTCGAGATCCATTAAGCAAGTCGAAGCTCCTGACTTGTTAGAATGGGATCACGGAATAGCTCTGCATGCACTGCAGGGGAATGGGGCCTCATCTCGCCTCTAGGGGGAAGTCTCATGGTTTTTCTCGAGTTGCGGCGGGGCCCTGGGTTATGTTCTCGACTTACGGCGGGGATGGCCCTTCAAAACACGAGTTTCTTCCGTGACGTCAGGACTCCTGTCTAGTAACGAGGGACACCTCAGCAATCTCTTCGAGGCTTGGCAGGGCAAAAGGGACGCTTCTCGAGGTGAGCCAGGGCACCCAAGGACCCTTTCCATTAGCCACAGGGATTTTGGGATTCCTATCAGTATTCAAGAGGACTCAGGCATCGTCACCTTTTGAAGCAATGAACTCCGCATGCCTCTCGAGGTGTCAGCGGGATGTGAGGATTTCGGCAAAATGAGGCAGGGACCTAGGGCTTTCTCTAAGGTCTCCACAGGGGATTCAGACATCCCTTCATGTTGTGAGATGAAAGACGAGCCTGTATTCAAGCCACTGCAAGGAAATCCGGCCTCCTTTCAAGTTAGGGCTTCTCGCTGTATATTCCCCTTGAGGCAGCAAACTCTGGGTCCCTCCCACATACCTATTGCTGAGAGAAGCCTCCTCCTGAGGTGCTTCTGGAAAGGTGGCATAGGTCTTGAGCCTAAGCCAGGGAATCAGCTCTCATCTCGAGACGATTTGGGGTACACAGAGCATTCCTCGAGTTGCTGTAATGAAGTTGGTCTTCCTCTAGACATGGGACAGTGTTCTCGGGGCATCCCTGGAGTTGCCTGAAGGAAGTCGAGCCACCGGTTGTGTTGAATGGGGAACGGGGAATGGCTCTGGAGTCAATGCAGGGGAATCGGGCCTCATCTCGAGTTGATTTGGGGCACATGGAGCAGCTTTGCGTTGCTGGGGTGACCTCAGGGTCCGTCTAGACTGGTGACAGTGTTCTTGGGGACTCTCTCGAGATCCATTAAGCAAGTCGAAGCTCCTGACTTGTTTGAATGGGATCACGGAATAGCTCTGCATGCACTGCAGGGGAATGGGGCCTCATCTCGCCTCTAGGGGGAAGTCTCATGGTTTTTCTCGAGTTGCGGCGGGGACCTGGGGTATGTTCTCGACTTACGGCAGGGATGGCCCTTCAAAACACGACTTTCTTCAGTGAGGTCAGGACTCCTGCCTAGTAACGAGGGACACCTCAGGAATCTCTTCGAGGCTTGGCAGGGCAAAAGGGACGCTTCTCGAGGTGAGCCAGGGCACCCAAGGACCCTTTCCATTAGCCACAGGGATTTTGGGATTCCTATCAGTATTCAAGAGGAGTCAGGCATCGTCACCTTTTGAAGCAATGAACTCCGCATGCCTCTCGAGGTGTCAGCGGGATGTGAGGATTCCGTCAAAATGAGGCAGGGACCTAGGGTTTTCTCTAAGGTCTCCACAGGGGATTCAGACATCCCTTCATGTTGTGAGAGGAAAGACGAGCCTGTATTCAAGCCACTGCAAGGAAATCCGGCCTCCTTTCAAGTTAGGGCTTCTCGCTGTATATTCCCCTTGAGGCAGCAATCTCGGAGTCCCTCCCACATACCTATTGCTGAGAGAAGCCTCCTCCTGAGGTGCTTCTGGAAAGTTGGCATACGTCTTGAGCCTAAGCCAGGGATTCAGCTCTCATCTCGAGACGATTTGGGGTACACAGAGCATTCCTCGAGTTGCTGTGCTGAAGTTGGTGTTCCTCTAGACTTGGGACAGTGTTCTCTGGGCATCTCTGGAGTTGCCTGAAGGAAGTCGAGCCACCGGTCGTGTTGAATGGGGAACGGGGAATGGCTCTGGAGTCAATGCAGGGGAATCGGGCCTCATCTCGAGTTGATTTGTGGCACCTGGAGCTGCTTTGCGTTGCTGGGGTGACCTCAGGGTCCGTCTAGACTGGCGACAGTGTTCTTGGGGACTGCCTCGAGATCCATTAAGCAAGTCGAAGCTCCTGACTTGTTTGAATGGGATCACGGAATAGCTCTGCATGCACTGCAGGGGAATGGGGCCTCATCTCGCCTCTAGGGGGAAGTCTCATGTTTTTCTCGAGTTGCGGCGGTGAACTGGGGTATGTTCTCAACTTACGGCGGGGATGGCCCTTCAAAACACGAGTTTCTTCAGTGACGTCAGGGCTCCTGTCTAGTAACGAGGGACACGTCAGCAATCTCTTCGAGGCTTGGCAGGGCAAAAGGGACGCTTCTCGAGGTGAGCCAGGGCACCCAAGGACCCTTTCCAGTAGCCACAGGGATTTTGGGATTCCTATCAGTATTCAAGAGGAGTCAGGCATCGTCACCTTTTGAAGCAATGAACTCCGCGTGCCTCTCGAGGTGTCAGCGGGATGTGAGGATTCCGTCAAAATGAGGCAGTGACCTAGGGCTTTCTCTATGGTCTCCACAGGGGATTCAGACATCCCTTCATGTTGTGAGATGAAAGACGAGCCTGTATTCAAGCCACTGCAAGGAAATCCGGCCTCCTTTCAAGTTAGGGCTTCTCGCTGTATATTCCCCTTGAGGCAGCAAACTCGGGGTCCCTCCCACATACCTATTGCTGAGAGAAGCCTCCTCCTGAGGTGCTTCTGGAAAGTTGGCATACGTCTTGAGCCTAAGCCAGGGAATCAGCTCTCATCTCGAGACGATTTGGGGTACACAGAGCATTCCTCGAGTTGCTGTGTTGAAGTTGGTGTTCCTCTAGACTTGGGACAGTGTTCTCGGGGCATCTCTGAAGTTGCCTGAAGGAAAGCGAGCCACCGGTCCTGTTGAATGGGGAACGGGGAAATGCTCTGGAGTCAATGCAGGGGAATCGGGCCTCATCTCGAGTTGATTTGGGGCACATGGAACTGCTTTGCGTTGCTGGGGTGACCTCAGGGTCCGTCTAGACTGGTGACAGTGTTCTTGGGGACTGTCTCGAGATCCATTAAGCAAGTCGAAGCTCCTGACTTGTTTGAATGGGATCACGGAATAGCTCTGCATGCACTGCAGGGGAATGGGGCCTCATCTCGCCTCTAGGGGGAAGTCTCATGGTTTTTCTCGAGTTGCGGCGGGGACCTGGGGTATGTTCTCGACTTACGGCGGGGATGGCCCTTCAAAACACGAGTTTCTTCAGTGACGTCAGGACTCCTGTCTAGTAAAGAGGGACACCTCAGCAATCTCTTCGAGGCTTGGCAGGGCAAAAGGGACGCTTCTCGAGGTGAACCAGGGCACCCAAGGACACTTTCCAGTAGCCACAGGGATTTTGGGATTCCTATAAGTATTCAAGAGGAGTCAGGCATCGTCACCTTTTGAAGCAATGAACTCCGCGTGCCTCTCGAGGTGTCAGCGGGATGTGAGGATTCCGTAAAAATGAGGCAGGGACCTAGGGCTTTCTCTAAGGTCTCCACAGGGGATTCAGACATCCCTTCATGTTGTGAAATGAAAGACGAGCCTGTATTCAAGCCACTGCAAGGAAATCCGGCCTCCTTTCAAGTTAGGGCTTCACGCTGTATATTCCCCTTGAGGCAGCAAACTCGGGGTCCCTCCCACATACCTATTGCTGAGAGAAGCCTCCTCCTGAGGTGCTTGTGGAAAGTTGGCATACGTCTTGAGCCTAAGCCAGGGAATCAGCTCTCATCTCGAGACTATTTGGGGTACACGGAGCATTCCTCGAGTTGCTGTGCTGAAGTTGGTGGTCCTCTAGACTTGGGACAGTGTTCTCGGGGCATCTCTGGAGTTGCCTGAAGGAAGTCGAGCCACCGGTCGTGTTGAAGGGGGAACGGGGAATGGCTCTGGAATCAATGCAGGGGAATCGGGTCTCATCTCGAGTTGATTTGTGGCACCTGGAGCTGCTTTGCGTTGCTGGGGTGACCTCAGGGTCCGTCTAGACTGGTGACAGTGTTCTTGGGGACTGCCTCGAGATCCATTAAGCAAGTCGAAGCTCCTGACTTGTTTGAATGGGATCACGGAATAGCTCTGCATGCACTGCAGGGGAATGGGGCCTCATCTCGCCTCTAGGGGGAAGTCTCATGGTTTTTCTCGAGTTGCGGCGGGGAACTGGGGTATGTTCTCAACTTACGGCGGGGATGGCCCTTCAAAACACGAGTTTCTTCAGTGACGTCAGGACTCCTGTCTAGTAACGAGGGACACGTCAGCAATCTCTTCGAGGCTTGGCAGGGCAAAAGGGACGCTTCTCGAGGTGAGCCAGGGCACCCAAGGACCCTTTCCAGTAGCCACAGGGATTTTGGGATTCCTATAAGTATTCAAGAGGAGTCAGGCATCGTCACCTTTTGAAGCAATGAACTCCGCGTGCCTCACGAGGTGTCAGCGGGATGTGAGGATTCCGTCAAAATGAGGCAGAGACCTAGGGCTTTCTCTAATGTCTCCACAGGGGATTCAGACATACCTTCATGTTGTGAGATGAAAGACGAGCCTGTATTCAAGCCACTGCAAGGAAATCCGGCCTCCTTTCAAGTTAGGGCTTCTCGCTGTATATTCCCCTTGAGGCAGCAAACTCGGTGTCCCTCCCACATACCTATTGCTGAGAGAAGCCTCCTCCTGAGGTGCTTCTGGAAAGGTGGCATAGGTCTTGAGCCTAAGCCAGGGAATCAGCTCTCATCTCGAGACGACTTGGGGTACACAGAGCATTCCTCGAGTTGCTGTGCTGAAGTTGGTGGTCCTCTAGACTTGGGACAGTGTTCTCGGGGCATCTCTGGAGTTGCCTGAAGGAAGTCGAGCCACCGGTCGTGTTGAATGGGGAACAAGGAATGGCTCTGGAGTCAATGCAGGGGAATCTGGCCTCATCTCGAGTTGATTTGGGGCACATGGAGCTGCTTTGCATTGCTGGGTGACCTCAGGGTCCGTCTAGACTGGTGACAGTGTTCTTGGGGACTGTCTCGAGATCCATTAAGCAAGTCGAAGCTCCTGACTTTTTTGAATGGGATCACGGAATAGCTCTGCATGCACTGCAAGGGAATGGGGCCTCATCTCGCCTCTAGGGGGAAGTCTCATGGTTTTTCTCGAGTTGCGGCGGGGACTTGGGGTATGTTCTCGACTTACGGCGGGGATGGCCCTTCAAAACACGAGTTTCTTCCGTGACGTCAGGACTCCTGTCTAGTAACGAGGGACACCTCAGCAATCTCTTCGAGGCTTGGCAGGGCAAAAGGGACGCTTCTCGAGGTGAGCCAGGGCACCCAAGGACCCTTTCCATTAGCCACAGGGATTTTGGGATTCCTATCAGTATTCAAGAGGAGTCAGGCATCGTCACCTTTTGAAGCAATGAACTCCGCGTGCCTCTCGAGGTGTCAGCGGGATGTGAGGATTCCGTCAAAATGAGGCAGGGACCTAGGGCTTTCTCTAAGGTCTCCACAGGGGATTCAGACATCCCTTCATGTTGTGAGATGAAAGACGAGCCTGTATTCAAGCCACTGCAAGGAAATCCGGCCTCCTTTCAAGTTAGGGCTTTTCGCTGTATATTCCCCTTGAGGCAGCAAACTCGGAGTCCCTCCCACATACCTATTGCTGAGAGAAGCCTCCTCCTGAGGTGCTTCTGAAAGTTGGCATACGTCTTGAGCCTAAGCCAGGGATTCAGCTCTCATCTCGAGACGATTTGTGGTACACAGAGCATTCCCCGAGTTGCTGTGCTGAAGTTGGTGTTCCTCTAGACTTGGGAAAGTGTTCTCTGGGCATCTCTGGAGTTGCCTGGAGGAAGTCGAGCCACCGGTCGTGTTGAATGGGGAACGGGGAATGGCTCTGGGGTCAATGCATGGGAATCCGGCCTCATCTCGAGTTGATTTGTGGCACCTGGAGCTGCTTTGCGTTGCTGGGGTGACCTCAGGGTCCGTCTAGACTGGTGACAGTGTTCTTGGGGACTGCCTCGAGATCCATTAAGCAAGTCGAAGCTCCTGACTTGTTTGAATGTGATCACGGAATAGCTCTGCATGCACTGCAGGGGAATGGGGCCTCATCTCGCCTCTAGGGGGAATTCTCATGGTTTTTCTCGAGTTGCGGCGGGGCCCTGGGGTATGTTCTCGACTTACGGCGGGGATGGCCCTTCAAAACACGAGTTTCTCCAGTGACGTCAGGACTCCTGCCTAGTAACGAGGAACACCTCAGGAATCTCTTCGAGGCTTGGCAGGGCAAAAGGGAGGCTTCTCGAGGTGAGGCAGGGCACCCAAGGACCCTTTCCAGTAGCCACAGGGATTTTGGGATTCCTATAAGTATTCAAGAGGAGTCAGGCATCGTCACCTTTTGAAGCAATGAACTCTGCGTGCCTCTCGAGGTGTCAGGGGTTGTGAGGTATTCCGTCAAAATGAGGCAGGGACCTAGGGCTTCCTCGAAGGTCTCCACAGGGGATTCAGACATCCCTTCATGTTTTCAGATCGAAGACGAGCCTTTATTCAACCCACTGCAAGGAAATCTGGCCTCCGTTCACGTTAGGGCTTCTCCCTGTGTATTCCCCTTGAGGCAGCAAACTCGGGGTCGCTCCCACATACCTATTGCTGAGAGAAGCCTCCTCCTGAGGTGCTTCTGGAAAGTTGGCATACGTCTTGAGCCTAAGCCAGAGAATCAGCTCTCATCTCGAGATGATTTGGGGTACACAGAGCATTCCTCGAGTTGCTGTGCTGAAGTTGGTGTTCCTCTAGACTTGGGGCAGTGTTCTCGGGGCATCTCTGCAGTTGCCTGAAGGAAGTCGAGCCACCGGTCGTGTTGAATGGGGAACGGGGAATGGCTCTGGAGTCAATGCAGGGGAATCGGGCCTCATCTCGTGTTGATTTGGGGCACATGGAGCAGCTTTGCGTTGCTGGGGTGACCTCAGGGTCCGTCTAGACTGGTGACAGTGTTCTTGGGGACTGTCTCGAGATCCATTAAGCAAGTCGAAGCTCCTGACTTGTTTGAATGGGATCACGGAATAGCTCTGCATGCACTGCAGGGGAATGGGGCCTCATCTCGCCTCTAGGGGGAAGTCTCATGGTTTTTCTCGAGTTGCGGCGGGGACCTGGGGTATGTTCTCGACTTACGGCGGGGATGGCCCTTCAAAACACGAGTTTCTTCGGTGACGTCAGGACTCCTGTCTAGTAACGAGGGACACGTCAGCAATCTCTTCGAGGCTTGGCAGGGCAAAAGGGACGCTTCTCGAGGTGAGCCAGGGCACCCAAGGACCCTTTCCAGTAGCCACAGGGATTTTGGGATTCCTATCAGTATTCAAGAGGAGTCAGGCATCGTCACGTTTCGAAGCAATGAACTCCGCGTGCCTCTCGAGGTGTCAGCGGGATGTGAGGATTCCGTCAAAATGAGGCAGGGACCTAGGGCTTTCTCTAAGGTCTCCACAGGGGATTCAGACATCCCTTCATGTTGTGAGATGAAAGACGAGCCTGTATTCAAGCCACTGCAAGGAAATCCGGCCTCCTTTCAAGTTAGGGCTTCTCGCTGTATATTCCCCTTGAGGCACCAAACTCGGAGTCCCTCCCACATACCTATTGCTGAGAGAAGGCTCCTCCTGAGGTGCTTCTGGAAAGTTGGCATAGGTCTTGAGCCTAAGCCAGGGATTCAGCTCTCATCTCGAGACGATTTGTGGTACACAGAGCATTCCTCGAGTTGCTGTGCTGAAGTTGGTGTTCCTCTAGACTTGGGACGGTGTTCTCTGGGCATCTCTGGAGTTGCCTGAAGGAAGTCGAGCCACCGGTCGTGTTGAATGGGGAACGGGGAATGGCTCTGGAGTCAATGCAGGGGAATCGGGCCTCATCTCGAGTTGATTTGTGGCACCTGGAGCTGCTTTGCGTTGCTGGGGTGACCTCAGGGTCCGTCTAGACTGGTGACAGTGTTCTTGGGGACTGCCTCGAGATCCATTAAGCAAGTCGAAGCTCCTGACTTGTTTGAATGGGATCACAGAATAGCTCTGCATGCACTGCAGGGGAATGGGGCCTCATCTCGCCTCTAGGGGGAAGTCTCATGGTTTTTCTCGAGTTGCGGCGGGGACCTGGGGTATGTTCTCGACTTACGGCGGGGATGGCCCTTCAAAACACGAGTTTCTCCAGTGACGTCAGGACTCCTGTCTAGTAACGAGGGACACCTCAGGAATCTCTTCAAGGCTTGGCAGGGCAAAAGGGACGCTTCTCGAGGTGAGGCAGGGCACCCAAGGACCCTTTCCAGTAGCCACAGGGATTTTGGGATTCCTATCAGTATTCAAGAGGAGTCAGGCATCGTCACCTTTTGAAGCTATGAACTCCACGTGCCTCTCGAGGTGTCAGCGGGATGTGAGGCATTCCGTCAAAATGAGCCAGGGACCTAGGGCTTTCTCTAAGGTCTCCACAGGGGATTCAGACATCCCTTCATGTTGTCAGATCAAAGACGAGCCTGTATTCAAGCCACTGCAAGGAAATCCGGCCTCCTTTCAACTTAGGGCTTCTCGCTGTATATTCCCCTTGAGGCAGCAAACTCGGGGTCCCTCCCACATACCTATTGCTGAGAGAAGCCTCCTCCTGAGGTGCTTCTGGAAAGGTGGCATAGGTCTTGAGCCTAAGCCAGGGAATCAGCTCTCATCTCGAGACGACTTGGGGTACACAGAGCATTCCTCGAGTTGCTGTGCTGAAGTTGGTGGTCCTCTAGACTTGGGACAGGGTTCTCGTTGCATCTCTGGAGTTGCCTGAAGGAAGTCGAGCCACCGGTCGTGTTGAATGGGGAACAAGGAATGGCTCTGGAGTCAATGCAGGGGAATCCGGCCTCATCTCGAGTTGATTTGGGCACATGGAGCTGCTTTGCATTGCTGGGTGACCTCAGGGTCCGTCTAGACTGGTGACAGTGTTCTTGGGGACTGTCTCGAGATCCATTAAGCAAGTCGAAGCTCCTGACTTGTTTGAATGGGATCACGGAATAGCTCTGCATGCACTGCAGGGGAATGGGGCCTCATCTCGCCTCTAGGGGGAAGTCTCATGGTTTTTCTCGAGTTGCGGCGGGGACCTGGGGTATGTTCTCGACTTACGGCGGGGATGGCCCTTCAAAACACGAGTTTCTTCGGTGACGTCAGGACTCCTGTCTAGTAACGAGGGACACGTCAGCAATCTCTTCGAGGCTTGGCAGGGCAAAAGGGACGCTTCACGAGGTGAGCCAGGGCACCCAAGGACCCTTTCCAGTAGCCACAGGGATTTTGGGATTCCTATCAGTATTCAAGAGGAGTCAGGCATCGTCACCTTTTGAAGCAATGAACTCCGCGTGCCTCTCGAGGTGTCAGCGGGATGTGAGGATTCCGTCAAAATGAGGCAGGGACCTAGGGCTTTCTCTAAGGTCTCCACAGGGGATTCAGACATCCCTTCATGTTGTGAGATGAAAGACGAGCCTGTATTCAAGCCACTGCAAGGAAATCCGGCCTCCTTTCAAGTTAGGGCTTCTCGCTGTATATTCCCCTTGAGGCAGCAAACTCGGGGTCCCTCCCACATACCTATTGCTGAGAGAAGCCTCCTCCTGAGGTGCTTCTGGAAAGTTGGCATACGTCTTGAGCCTAAGCCAGGGAATCAGCTCTCATCTCGAGACGATTTGGGGTACACAGAGCATTCCTCGAGTTGCTGTGCTGAAGATGGTGTTCCTCTAGACTTGGGACAGTGTTCTCGGGGCATCTCTGGAGTTGCCTGAAGGAAAGCGAGCCACCGGTCCTGTTGAATGGGGAACGGGGAATGGCTCTGGAGTCAATGCAGGGGAATCGGGCCTCATCTCGAGTTGATTTGGGGCACATGGAGCTGCTTTGCGTTGCTGGGGTGACCTCAGGGTCCGTCTAGACTGGTGACAGTGTTCTTGGGGACTGTCTCGAGATCCATTAAGCAAGTCGAAGCTCCTGACTTGTTTGAATGGGATCACGGAATAGCTCTGCATGCACTGCAAGGGAATGGGGCCTCATCTCGCCTCTAGGGGGAAGTCTCATGGTTTTTCTCGAGTTGCGGCGGGGACCTGGGGTATGTTCTCGACTTACGGCGGGGATGGCCCTTCAAAACACGACTTTCTTCAGTGAGGTCAGGACTCCTGCCTAGTAACGAGGGACACCTCAGGAAACTCTTCGAGTCTTGGCAGGGCAAAAGGGACGCTTCTCGAAGTGAGGCAGGGCACCCAAGAACCCTTTCCAGTAGCCACAGGGATTTTGGGATTCCTATCAGTATTCAAGAGGAGTCAGGCATCGTCACCTTTTGAAGCAATGAACTCCGCGTGCCTCTCGAGGTGTCAGCGGGATGTGAGGCATTCCGTCAAAATGAGGCAGGGACCTAGGGCTTTCTCTAAGGTCTCCACAGGGGATTCAGACATCCCTTCATGTTGTGAGATGAAAGACGAGCCTGTATTCAAGCTACTGCAAGGAAATCCGGCCTCCATTCAAGTTAGGGCTTCTCGCTGTATATTCCCCTTGAGGCAGCAAACTCGGAGTCCCTCCCACATACCTATTGCTGAGAAGCCTCCTCCTGAGTTGCTTCTGGAAAGTTGGCATACGTCTTGAGCCTAAGCCAGGGAATCAGCTCTCATCTCGAGACGACTTGGGGTACACAGAGCATTCCTCGAGTTGCTGTGCTGAAGTTGGTGTTCCTCTAGACTTGGGACAGTGTTCTCGGGGCATCTCTGGAGTTGCCTGAAGGAAGGCGAGCCACCGGTCGTGTTGAATGGGGAACGGGGAATGGCTCTGGAGTCAATGCAGGGGAATCGGGCCTCATCTCGAGTTGATTTGGGGCACATGGAGCAGCTTTGCGTTGCTGGGGTGACCTCAGGGTCCGTCTAGACTGGTGACAGTGTTCTTGGGGACTGTCTCGAGATCCATTAAGCAAGTCGAAGCTCCTGACTTGTTTGAATGGGATCACGGAATAGCTCTGCATGCACTGCAGGGGAATGGGGCCTCATCTCGCCTCTAGGGGGAAGTCTCATGGTTTTTCTCGAGTTGCGGCGGGGACCTGGGGTATGTTCTCGACTTACGGCGGGGATGGCCCTTCAAAACACGAGTTTCTTCCGTGACGTCAGGACTCCTGTCTAGTAACGAGGGACACCTCAGCAATCTCTTCGAGGCTTGGCAGGGCAAAAGGGACGCTTCTCGAGGTGAGCCAGGGCACCCAAGGACCCTTTCCATTAGCCACAGGGATTTTGGGATTCCTATCAGTATTCAAGAGGAGTCAGGCATCGTCACCTTTTGAAGCAATGAACTCCGCGTGCCTCTCGAGGTGTCAGCGGGATGTGAGGATTCCGTCAAAATGAGGCAGGGACCTAGGGCTTTCTCTAAGGTCTCCACAGGGGATTCAGACATCCCTTCATGTTGTGAGATGAAAGACGAGCCTGTATTCAAGCCACTGCAAGGAAATCCGGCCTCCTTTCAAGTTAGGGCTTTTCGCTGTATATTCCCCTTGAGGCAGCAAACTCGGAGTCCCTCCCACATACCTATTGCTGAGAGAAGCCTCCTCCTGAGGTGCTTCTGGAAAGTTGGCATACGTCTTGAGCCTAAGCCAGGGATTCAGCTCTCATCTCGAGACGATTTGGGGTACACAGAGCATTCCCCGAGTTGCTGTGCTGAAGTTGGTGTTCCTCTAGACTTGGGAAAGTGTTCTCTGGGCATCTGTGGAGTTGCCTGGAGGAAGTCGAGCCACTGGTCGTGTTGAATGGGGAACGGGGAATGGCTCTGGAGTCAATGCAGGGGAATCGGGCCTCATCTCGAGTTGATTTGTGGCACCTGGAGCTGCTTTGCGTTGCTGGGGTGACCTCAGGGTCCGTCTAGACTGGTGACAGTGTTCTTGGGGACTGCCTCGAGATCCATTAAGCAAGTCGAAGCTCCTGACTTGTTTGAATGTGATCACGGAATAGCTCTGCATGCACTGCAGGGGAATGGGGCCTCATCTCGCCTCTAGGGGGAATTCTCATGGTTTTTCTCGAGTTGCGGCGGGGCCCTGGGGTATGTTCTCGACTTACGGCGGGGATGGCCCTTAAAAACACGAGTTTCTCCAGTGACGTCAGGACTCCTGCCTAGTAACGAGGGACACCTCAGGAATCTCTTCGAGGCTTGGCAGGGCAAAAGGGACGCTTCTCGAGGTGAGGCAGGGCACCCAAGGACCCTTTCCAGTAGCCACAGGGATTTTGGGATTCCTATAAGTATTCAAGAGGAGTCAGGCATCGTCACCTTTTGAAGCAATGAGCTCTGCGTGCCTCTCGAGGTGTCAGGGGGATGTGAGGTATTCCGTCAAAATGAGGCAGGGACCTAGGGCTTCCTCGAAGGTCTCCACAGGGGATTCAGACATCCCTTCATGTTTTCAGATCGAAGACGAGCCTTTATTCAACCCACTGCAAGGAAATCTGGCCTCCATTCACGTTAGGGCTTCTCCCTGTGTATTCCCCTTGAGGCAGCAAACTCGGGGTCGCTCCCACATACCTATTGCTGAGAGAAGCCTCCTCCTGAGGTGCTTCTGGAAAGTTGGCATACGTCTTGAGCCTAAGCCAGAGAATCAGCTCTCATCTCGAGATGATTTGGGGTACACAGAGCATTCCTCGAGTTGCTGTGCTGAAGTTGGTGTTCCTCTAGACTTGGGACAGTGTTCTCGGGGCATCTCTGGAGTTGCCTGAAGGAAAGCGAGCCACCGGTCCTGTTGAATGGGGAACGGGGAATGGCTCTGGAGTCAATGCAGGGGAATCGGGCCTCATCTCGAGTTGATTTGGGGCACATGGAGCAGCTTTGCGTTGCTGGGGTGACCTCAGGGTCCGTCTAGACTGGTGACAGTGTTCTTGGGGACTGTCTCGAGATCCATTAAGCAAGTCGAAGCTCCTGACTTGTTTGAATGGGATCACGGAATAGCTCTGCATGCACTGCAGGGGAATGGGGCCTCATCTCGCCTCTAGGGGGAAGTCTCATGGTTTTTCTCGAGTTGCGGCGGGGACCTGGGGTATGTTCTCGACTTACGGCGGGGATGGCCCTTCAAAACACGAGTTTCTTCGGTGACGTCAGGACTCCTGTCTAGTAACGAGGGACACGTCAGCAATCTCTTCGAGTCTTGGCAGTGCAAAAGGGACGCTTCACGAGGTGAGCCAGGGCACCCAAGGACCCTTTCCAGTAGCCACAGGGATTTTGGGATTCCTATCAGTATTCAAGAGGAGTCAGGCATCGTCACCTTTTGAAGCAATGAACTCCGCGTGCCTCTCGAGGTGTCAGCGGGATGTGAGGATTCCGTCAAAATGAGGCAGGGACCTAGGGCTTTCTCTAAGGTCTCCACAGGGGATTCAGACAACCCTTCATGTTGTGAGATGAAAGACGAGCCTGTATTCAAGCCACTGCAAGGAAATCCGGCCTCCTTTCAAGTTAGGGCTTCTCGCTGTATAATCCCCTTGAGGCAGCAAACTCGGGGTCCCTCCCACATACCTATTGCTGAGAGAAGCCTCCTCCTGAGGTGCTTCTGGAAAGTTGGCATACGTCTTGAGCCTAAGCCAGGGAATCAGCTCTCATCTCGAGACGATTTGGGGTACACAGAGCATTCCTCGAGTTGCTGTGCTGAAGTTGGTGTTCCTCTAGACTTGGGACAGTGTTCTCGGGGCATCTCTGGAGTTGCCTGAAGGAAAGCGAGCCACCGGTCCTGTTGAATGGGGAACGGGGAATGGCTCTGGAGTCAATGCAGGGGAATCGGGCCTCATCTCGAGTTGATTTGGGGCACATGGAGCTGCTTTGCGTTGCTGGGGTGACCTCAGGGTCCGTCTAGACTGGTGACAGTGTTCTTGGGGACTGTCTCGAGATCCATTAAGCAAGTCGAAGCTCCTGACTTGTGTGAATGGGATCACGGAATAGCTCTGCATGCACTGCAAGGGAATGGGGCCTCATCTCGCCTCTAGGGGGAAGTCTCATGGTTTTTCTCGAGTTGCGGCGGGGACCTGGGGTATGTTCTCGACTTACGGCGGGGATGGCCCTTCAAAACACGACTTTCTTCAGTGAGGTCAGGACTCCTGCCTAGTATCGAGGGACCCCTCAGGAATCTCTTCGAGTCTTGGCAGGGCAAAAGGGACGCTTCTCGAGGTGAGGCAGGGCACCCAAGAACCCTTTCCAGTAGCCACAGGGATTTTGGGATTCCTATCAGTATTCAAGAGGAGTCAGGCATCGTCACCTTTTGAAGCAATGAACTCCGCGTGCCTCTCGAGGTGTCAGCGGGATGTGAGGCATTCCGTCAAAATGAGGCAGGGACCTAGGGCTTTCTCTAAGGTCTCCACAGGGGATTCAGACATCCCTTCATGTTGTGAGATGAAAGACGAGCCTGTATTCAAGCTACTGCAAGGAAATCCGGCCTCCATTCAAGTTAGGGCTTCTCGCTGTATATTCCCCTTGAGGCAGGAAACTCGGAGTCCCTCCCACATACCTATTGCTGAGAAGCCTCCTCCTGAGTTGCTTCTGGAAAGTTGGCATACGTCTTGAGCCTAAGCCAGGGAATCAGCTCTCATCTCGAGACGACTTGGGGTACACAGAGCATTCCTCGAGTTGCTGTGCTGAAGTTGGTGTTCCTCTAGACTTGGGACAGTGTTCTCGGGGCATCCCTGGAGTTGCCTGAAGGAAGGCGAGCCACCGGTCGTGTTGAATGGGGAACGGGGAATGGCTCTGGAGTCAATGCAGGGGAATCGGGCCTCATCTCGAGTTGATTTGGGGCACATGGAGCAGCTTTGCGTTGCTGGGGTGACCTCAGGGTCCGTCTAGACTGGTGACAGTGTTCTTGGGGACTGTCTCGAGATCCATTAAGCAAGTCGAAGCTCCTGACTTGTTTGAATGGGATCACGGAATAGCTCTGCATGCACTGCAGGGGAATGGGGCCTCATCTCGCCTCTAGGGGGAAGTCTCATGGTTTTTCTCGAGTTGCGGCGGGGACCTGGGGTATGTTCTCGACTTAAGGCGGGGATGGCCCTTCAAAACACGAGTTTCTTCGCTGACGTCAGGACTCCTGTCTAGTAACGAGGGACACGTCAGCAATCTCTTCGAGGCTTGGCAGGGCAAAAGGGACGCTTCACGAGGTGAGCTAGGGCACCCAAGGACCCTTTCCAGTAGCCACAGGGATTTTGGGATTCCTATCAGTATTCAAGAGGAGTCAGGCATCGTCACCTTTTGAAGCAATGAACTCCGCGTGCCTCTCGAGGTGTCAGCGGGATGTGAGGATTCCGTCAAAATGAGGCAGTGACCTAGGGCTTTCTCTAAGGTCTCCACAGGGGATTCAGACATCCCTTCATGTTGTCAGATCAAAGACGAGCCTGTATTCAAGCCACTGCAAGGAAATCCGGCCTCCTTTCAAGTTAGGGCTTCTCGCTGTATATTCCCCTTGAGGCAGCAAACTCGGGGTCCCTCCCACATACCTATTGCTAAGAGAAGCCTCCTCCTGAGGTGCTTCTGGAAAGTTGGCATACGTCTTGAGCCTAAGCCAGGGAATCAGCTCTCATCTCGAGACGATTTGGGGTACACAGAGCATTCCTCGAGTTGCTGTGCTGAAGTTGGTGTTCCTCTAGACTTGGGACAGTGTTCTCGGGGCATCTCTGGAGTTGCCTGAAGGAAAACGAGCCACCGGTCCTGTTGAATGGGGAACGGGGAATGGCTCTGGAGTCAATGCAGGGGATCGGGCCTCATCTCGAGTTGATTTGGGGCATATGGAGCTGCTTTGCATTGTTGGGTGACCTCAGGGTCCGTCTAGACTGGTGACTGTGTTCTTGGGGACTGTCTCGAGATCCATTAAGCAAGTCGAAGCTCCTGACTTGTTTGAATGGGATCACGGAATAGCTCTGCATGCACTGCAAGGGAATGGGGCCTCATCTCGCCTCTAGGGGGAAGTCTCATGGTTTTTCTCGAGTTGCGGCGGGGACCTGGGGTATGTTCTCGACTTACGGCGGGGATGGCCCTTCAAAACACGAGTTTCTTCCGTGACATCAGGACTCCTGTCTAGTAACGAGGGACACCTCAGCAATCTCTTCGAGGCTTGGCAGGGCAAAAGGGACGCTTCTCGAGGTGAGCCAGGGCACCCAAGGACCCTTTCCAGTAGCCACAGGGATTTTGGGATTCCTATCAGTATTCAAGAGGAGTCAGGCATCGTCACCTTTCGAAGCAATGAACTCCGCGTGCCTCTCGAGGTGTCAGCGGGATGTGAGGATTCCGTCAAAATGAGGCAGGGACCTAGGGCTTTCTCTAAGGTCTCCACAGGGGATTCAGACATCCCTTCATGTTGTGAGATGAAAGACGAGCCTGTATTCAAGCCACTGCAAGGAAATCCGGCCTCCTTTCAAGTTAGGGCTTCTCGCTGTATATTCCCCTTGAGGCACCAAACTCGGAGTCCCTCCCACATACCTATTGCTGAGAGAAGGCTCCTCCTGAGGTGCTTCTGGAAAGTTGGCATAGGTCTTGAGCCTAAGCCAGGGATTCAGCTCTCATCTCGAGACGATTTGTGGTACACAGAGCATTCCTCGAGTTGCTGTGCTGAAGTTGGTGTTCCTCTAGGCTTGGGACGGTGTTCTCTGGGCATCTCTGGAGTTGCCTGAAGGAAGTCGAGCCACCGGTCGTGTTGAATGGGGAACGGGGAATGGCTCTGGAGTCAATGCAGGGGAATCGGGCCTCATCTCGAGTTGATTTGTGGCACCTGGAGCTGCTTTGCGTTGCTGGGGTGACCTCAGGGTCCGTCTAGACTGGTGACAGTGTTCTTGGGGACTGCCTCGAGATCCATTAAGCAAGTCGAAGCTCCTGACTTGTTTGAATGGGATCACAGAATAGCTCTGCATGCACTGCAGGGGAATGGGGCCTCATCTCGCCTCTAGGGGGAAGTCTCATGGTTTTTCTCGAGTTGCGGCGGGGACCTGGGGTATGTTCTCGACTTACGGCGGGGATGGCCCTTCAAAACACGAGTTTCTCCAGTGACGTCAGGACTCCTGTCTAGTAACGAGGGACACCTCAGGAATCTCTTCGAGGCTTGGCAGGGCAAAAGGGACGCTTCTCGAGGTGAGCCAGGGCACCCAAGGACCCTTTCCAGTAGCCACAGGGATTTTGGGATTCCTATCAGTATTCAAGAGGAGTCAGGCATCGTCACCTTTTGAAGCTATGAACTCCACGTGACTCTCGAGGTGTCAGCGGGATGTGAGGCATTCCGACAAAATGAGCCAGGGACCTAGGGCTTTCTCTAAGGTCTCCACAGGGGATTCAGACATCCCTTCATGTTGTCAGATCAAAGACGAGCCTGTATTCAAGCCACTGCAAGGAAATCCGGCCTCCTTTCAACTTAGGGCTTCTCGCTGTATATTCCCCTTGAGGCAGCAAACTCGGGGTCCCTCCCACATACCTATTGCTGAGAGAAGCCTCCTCCTGAGGTGCTTCTGGAAAGGTGGCATACGTCTTGAGCCTAAGCCAGGGAATCAGCTCTCATCTCGAGACGATTTGGGGTACACAGAGCATTCCTCGAGTTGCTGTGCTGAAGTTGGTGGTCCTCTAGACTTGGGACAGTGTTCTCGGGGCATCTCTGGAGTTGCCTGAAGGAAGTCGAGCCACCGGTCGTGTTGAATGGGGAACAAGGAATGGCTCTGGAGTCAATGCAGGGGAATCCGGCCTCATCTCGAGTTGATTTGGGGCACATGGAGCTGCTTTGCGTTGCTGGGGTGACCTCAGGGTCCGTCTAGACTGGTGACAGTGTTCTTGGGGACTGCCTCGAGATCCATTAAGCAAGTCGAAGCTCCTGACTTGTTTGAATGGGATCACGGAATAGCTCTGCATGCACTGCAGGGGAATGGGGCCTCATCTCGCCTATAGGGGGAAGTCTCATGTTTTTCTCGAGTTGCGGCGGGGAACTGGGGTATGTTCTCAACTTACGGCGGGGATGGCCCTTCAAAACACGAGTTTCTTAAGTGACGTCAGGACTCCTGTCTAGTAACGAGGGACACGTCAGCAATCTCTTCGAGGCTTGGCAGGGCAAAAGGGACGCTTCTCGATGTGAGCCAGGGCACCCAAGGACCCTTTCCAGTAGCCACAGGTATTTGGGGATTCCTATAAGTATTCAAGAGCAGTCAGGCATCGTCACCTTTTGAAGCAATGAACACCGCGTGCCTCTCGAGGTGTCAGCGGGATGTGAGGATTCCGTCAAAATGAGGCAGGGACCTAGGGCTTTCTCTAAGGTCTCCACAGGGGATTCAGACATCCCTTCATGTTGTGAGATGAAAGACGAGCCTGTATTCAAGCCACTGCAAGGAAATCCGGCCTCCTTTCAAGTTAGGGCTTCTCGCTGTATATTCCCCTTGAGGCAGCAAACTCGGGGTCCCTCCCACATACCTATTGCTGAGAGAAGCCTCCTCCTGAGGTGCTTCTGGAAAGGTGGCATACGTCTTGAGCCTAAGCCAGGGAATCAGCTCTAATCTCGAGACGATTTGGGGTACACAGAGAATTCCTCGAGTTGCTGTGCTGAAGTTGGTGTTCCTCTAGACTTGGGACAGTGTTCTCGGGGCATCTCTGGAGTTGCCTGAAGGAAGTCGAGCCACCGGTCGTGTTGAATGGGGAACAAGGAATGTCTCTGGAGTCAATGCAGGGGAATCCGGCCTCATCTCGAGTTGATTTGGGGCACATGGACCTGCTTTGCATTGCTGGGTGACCTCAGGGTCCGTCTAGACTGGTGACAGTGTTCTTGGGGACTGTCTCGAGATCGATTAAGCAAGTCGAAGCTGCTGACTTGTTTCAATGGGATCATGGAATAGCTCTGCATGCACTGCAAGGGAATGGGGCCTCATCTCGCCTCTAGGGGGAAGTCTCATTGTTTTTCTCGAGTTGCGGCGGGGACCTGGGGTATGTTCTCGACTTACGGCGGGGATGGCCCTTCAAAACACGAGTTTCTTCCGTGACGTCAGGACTCCTGTCTAGTAACGAGGGACACCTCAGCAATCTCTTCGAGGCTTGGCAGGGCAAAAGGGACGCTTCTCGAGGTGAGCCAGGGCACCCAAGGACCCTTTCCAGTAGCCACAGGAATTTTGGGATTCCTATCAGTATTCAAGAGGAGTCAGGCATCGTCACCTTTCGAAGCAATGAACTCCGCGTGCCTCTCGAGGTGTCAGCGGGATGTGAGGATTCCGTCAAAATGAGGCAGGGAACTAGAGCTTTCTCTAAGGTCTCCACAGGGGATTCAGACATCCCTTCATGTTGTGAGATGAAAGACGAGCCTGTATTCAAGCCACTGCAAGGAAATCCGGCCTCCTTTCAAGTTAGGGCTTCTCGCTGTATATTCCCCTTGAGGCAGCAAACTCGGAGTCCCTCCCACATACCTATTGCTGAGAGAAGCCTCCTCCTGAGGTGCTTCTGGAAAGTTGGCATACGTCTTGAGCCTAAGCCAGGGATTCAGCTCTCATCTCGAGACGATTTATGGTACACAGAGCATTCCTCGAGTTGCTGTGCTGAAATTGGTGTTCCTCTAGACTTGGGACAGTGTTCTCTGGGCATCTCTGGAGTTGCGTGAAGGAAGTCGAGCCACCGGTCGTGTTGAATGGGGAACGGGGAATGGCTCTGGAGTCAATGCAGGGGAATCGGGCCTCATCTCGAGTTGATTTGTGGCACCTGGAGCTGCTTTGCGTTGCTGGGGTGACCTCAGGGTCCGTCTAGACTGGTGACAGTGTTCTTGGGGACTGCCTCGAGATCCATTAAGCAAGTCGAAGCTCCTGACTTGTTTGAATGGGATCACGGAATAGCTCTGCATGCACTGCAGGGGAATGGGGCCTCATCTCGCCTCTAGGGGGAAGTCTCATGGTTTTTCTCGAGTTGCGGCGGGGCCCTGGGGTATGTTCTCGACTTACGGCGGGGATGGCCCTTCAAAACACGAGTTTCTCCAGTGACGTCAGGACTCCTGCCTAGTAACGAGGGACACCTCAGGAATCTCTTCGAGGCTTGGCAGGGCAAAAGGGACGCTTCTCGAGGTGAGGCAGGGCACCCAAGGACCCTTTCCAGTAGCCACAGGGATTTTGGGATTCCTATCAGTATTCAAGAGGAGTCAGGCATCGTCACCTTTTGAAGCAATGAACTCCGCGTGCCTCTCGAGGTGTCAGCGGGATGTGAGGCATTCCGTCAAAATGAGGCAGGGACCTAGGGCTTTCTCTAAGGTCTCCACAGGGGATTCAGACATCCCTTCATGTTGTCAGATCAAAGACGAGCCTGTATTCAAGCCACTGCAAGGAAATCCGGCCTCCTTTCAAGTTAGGGCTTCTCGCTGTATATTCCCCTTGAGGCAGCAAACTCGGGGTCCCTCCCACATACCTATTGCTGAGAGAAGCCTCCTCCTGAGGTGCTTCTGGAAAGGTGGCATACGTCTTGAGCCTAAGCCAGGGAATCAGCTCTCATCTCGAGACGATTTGGGGTACACAGAGCATTCCTCGAGTTGCTGTGCTGAAGTTGGTGTTCCTCTAGACTTGGGACAGTGTTCTCGGGGCATCCCTGGAGTTGCCTGAAGGAAGTCGAGCCACCGGTCGTGTTGAATGGGGAACGGGGAATGGCTCTGGAGTCAATGCAGGGGAATCGGGCCTCATCTCGAGTTGATTTGTGGCACCTGGAGCTGCTTTGCGTTGCTGGGGTGACCTCAGGGTCCGTCTAGACTGGTGACAGTGTTCTTGGGGACTGCCTCGAGATCCATTAAGCAAGTCGAAGCTCCTGACTTGTTTGAATGTGATCACGGAATAGCTCTGCATGCACTGCAGGGGAATGGGGCCTCATCTCGCCTCTAGGGGGAATTCTCATGGTTTTTCTCGAGTTGCGGCGGGGCCCTGGGGTATGTTCTCGACTTACGGCGGGGATGGCCCTTAAAAACACGAGTTTCTCCAGTGACGTCAGGACTCCTGCCTAGTAACGAGGGACACCTCAGGAATCTCTTCGAGGCTTGGCAGGGCAAAAGGGACGCTTCTCGAGGTGAGGCAGGGCACCCAAGGACCCTTTCCAGTAGCCACAGGGATTTTGGGATTCCTATAAGTATTCAAGAGGAGTCAGGCATCGTCACCTTTTGAAGCAATGAGCTCTGCGTGCCTCTCGAGGTGTCAGGGGGATGTGAGGTATTCCGTCAAAATGAGGCAGGGACCTAGGGCTTCCTCGAAGGTCTCCACAGGGGATTCAGACAACCCTTCATGTTGTGAGATGAAAGACGAGCCTGTATTCAAGCCACTGCAAGGAAATCCGGCCTCCATTCAAGTTAGGGCTTCTCGCTGTATATTCCCCTTGAGGCAGGAAACTCGGAGTCCCTCCCACATACCTATTGCTGAGAAGCCTCCTCCTGAGTTGCTTCTGGAAAGTTGGCATACGTCTTGAGCCTAAGCCAGGGAATCAGCTCTCATCTCGAGACGACTTGGGGTACACAGAGCATTCCTCGAGTTGCTGTGCTGAAGTTGGTGTTCCTCTAGACTTGGGACAGTGTTCTCGGGGCATCCCTGGAGTTGCCTGAAGGAAGGCGAGCCACCGGTCGTGTTGAATGGGGAACGGGGAATGGCTCTGGAGTCAATGCAGGGGAATCGGGCCTCATCTCGAGTTGATTTGGGGCACATGGAGCAGCTTTGCGTTGCTGGGGTGACCTCAGGGTCCGTCTAGACTGGTGACAGTGTTCTTGGGGACTGTCTCGAGATCCATTAAGCAAGTCGAAGCTCCTGACTTGTTTGAATGGGATCACGGAATAGCTCTGCATGCACTGCAGGGGAATGGGGCCTCATCTCGCCTCTAGGGGGAAGTCTCATGGTTTTTCTCGAGTTGCGGCGGGGACCTGGGGTATGTTCTCGACTTAAGGCGGGGATGGCCCTTCAAAACACGAGTTTCTTCGCTGACGTCAGGACTCCTGTCTAGTAACGAGGGACACGTCAGCAATCTCTTCGAGGCTTGGCAGGGCAAAAGGGACGCTTCACGAGGTGAGCCAGGGCACCCAAGGACCCTTTCCAGTAGCCACAGGGATTTTGGGATTCCTATCAGTATTCAAGAGGAGTCAGGCATCGTCACCTTTTGAAGCAATGAACTCCGCGTGCCTCTCGAGGTGTCAGCGGGATGTGAGGATTCCGTCAAAATGAGGCAGGGACCTAGGGCTTTCTCTAAGGTCTCCACAGGGGATTCAGACATCCCTTCATGTTGTCAGATCAAAGACGAGCCTGTATTCAAGCCACTGCAAGGAAATCCGGCCTCCTTTCAAGTTAGGGCTTCTCGCTGTATATTCCCCTTGTGGCAGCAAACTCGGGGTCCCTCCCACATACCTATTGCTAAGAGAAGCCTCCTCCTGAGGTGCTTCTGGAAAGTTGGCATACGTCTTGAGCCTAAGCCAGGGAATCAGCTCTCATCTCGAGACGATTTGGGGTACACAGAGCATTCCTCGAGTTGCTGTGCTGAAGTTGGTGTTCCTCTAGACTTGGGACAGTGTTCTCGGGGCATCTCTGGAGTTGCCTGAAGGAAAACGAGCCACCGGTCCTGTTGAATGGGGAACGGGGAATGGCTCTGGAGTCAATGCAGGGGATCGGGCCTCATCTCGAGTTGATTTGGGGCATATGGAGCTGCTTTGCATTGTTGGGTGACCTCAGGGTCCGTCTAGACTGGTGACTGTGTTCTTGGGGACTGTCTCGAGATCCATTAAGCAAGTCGAAGCTCCTGACTTGTTTGAATGGGATCACGGAATAGCTCTGCATGCACTGCAAGGGAATGGGGCCTCATCTCGCCTCTAGGGGGAAGTCTCATGGTTTTTCTCGAGTTGCGGCGGGGACCTGGGGTATGTTCTCGACTTACGGCGGGGATGGCCCTTCAAAACACGAGTTTCTTCAGTGACATCAGGACTCCTGTCTAGTAACGAGGGACACCTCAGCAATCTCTTCGAGGCTTGGCAGGGCAAAAGGGACGCTTCTCGAGGTGAGCCAGGGCACCCAAGGACCCTTTCCAGTAGCCACAGGGATTTTGGGATTCCTATCAGTATTCAAGAGGAGTCAGGCATCGTCACCTTTCGACGCAATGAACTCCGCGTGCCTCTCGAGGTGTCAGCGGGATGTGAGGATTCCGTCAAAATGAGGCAGGGACCTAGGGCTTTCTCTAAGGTCTCCACAGGGGATTCAGACATCCCTTCATGTTGTGAGATGAAAGACGAGCCTGTATTCAAGCCACTGCAAGGAAATCCGGCCTCCTTTCAAGTTAGGGCTTCTCGCTGTATATTCCCCTTGAGGCACCAAACTCGGAGTCCCTCCCACATACCTATTGCTGAGAGAAGGCTCCTCCTGAGGTGCTTCTGGAAAGTTGGCATAGGTCTTGAGCCTAAGCCAGGGATTCAGCTCTCATCTCGAGACGATTTGTGGTACACAGAGCATTCCTCGAGTTGCTGTGCTGAAGTTGGTGTTCCTCTAGGCTTGGGACGGTGTTCTCTGGGCATCTCTGGAGTTGCCTGAAGGAAGTCGAGCCACCGGTCGTGTTGAATGGGGAACGGGGAATGGCTCTGGAGTCAATGCAGGGGAATCGGGCCTCATCTCGAGTTGATTTGTGGCACCTGGAGCTGCTTTGCGTTGCTGGGGTGACCTCAGGGTCCGTCTAGACTGGTGACAGTGTTCTTGGGGACTGCCTCGAGATCCATTAAGCAAGTCGAAGCTCCTGACTTGTTTGAATGGGATCACAGAATAGCTCTGCATGCACTGCAGGGGAATGGGGCCTCATCTCGCCTCTAGGGGGAAGTCTCATGGTTTTTCTCGAGTTGCGGCGGGGACCTGGGGTATGTTCTCGACTTACGGCGGGGATGGCCCTTCAAAACACGAGTTTCTCCAGTGACGTCAGGACTCCTGTCTAGTAACGAGGGACACCTCAGGAATCTCTTCGAGGCTTGGCAGGGCAAAAGGGACGCTTCTCGAGGTGAGCCAGGGCACCCAAGGACCCTTTCCAGTAGCCACAGGGATTTTGGGATTCCTATCAGTATTCAAGAGGAGTCAGGCATCGTCACCTTTTGAAGCTATGAACTCCACGTGACTCTCGAGGTGTCAGCGGGATGTGAGGCATTCCGACAAAATGAGCCAGGGACCTAGGGCTTTCTCTAAGGTCTCCACAGGGGATTCAGACATCCCTTCATGTTGTCAGATCAAAGACGAGCCTGTATTCAAGCCACTGCAAGGAAATCCGGCCTCCTTTCAACTTAGGGCTTCTCGCTGTATATTCCCCTTGAGGCAGCAAACTCGGGGTCCCTCCCACATACCTATTGCTGAGAGAAGCCTCGTCCTGAGGTGCTTCTGGAAAGGTGGCATACGTCTTGAGCCTAAGCCAGGGAATCAGCTCTCATCTCGAGACGATTTGGGGTACACAGAGCATTCCTCGAGTTGCTGTGCTGAAGTTGGTGGTCCTCTAGACTTGGGACAGTGTTCTCGGGGCATCTCTGGAGTTGCCTGAAGGAAGTCGAGCCACCGGTCGTGTTGAATGGGGAACAAGGAATGGCTCTGGAGTCAATGCAGGGGAATCCGGCCTCATCTCGAGTTGATTTGGGGCACATGGAGCTGCTTTGCATTGCTGGGTGACCTCAGGGTCCGTCTAGACTGGTGACAGTGTTCTTGGGGACTGTCTCGAGATCCATTAAGCAAGTCGAAGCTCCTGACTTGTTTGAATGGGATCACGGAATAGCTCTGCATGCACTGCAGGGGAATGGGGCCTCATCTCGCCTCTAGGGGGAAGTCTCATGGTTTTTCTCGAGTTGCGGCGGGGACCTGGGGTATGTTCTCGACTTACGGCGGGGATGGCCCTTCAAAACACGAGTTTCTTCCGTGACGTCAGGACTCCTGTCTAGTAACGAGGGACACCTCAGCAATCTCTTCAAGGCTTGGCAGGGCAAAAGGGACGCTTCTCGAGGTGAGCCAGGGCACCCAAGGACCCTTTCCATTAGCCACAGGGATTTTGGGATTCCTATCAGTATTCAAGAGGAGTCAGGCATCGTCACCTTTTGAAGCAATGAACTCCGCGTGCCTCTCGAGGTATCAGCGGGATGTGAGGATTCCGTCAAAATGAGGCAGGGACCTAGGGCTTTCTCTAAGGTCTCCACAGGGGATTCAGACATCCCTTCATGTTGTGAGATGAAAGACGAGCCTGTATTCAAGCCACTGCAAGGAAATCCGGCCTCCTTTCAAGTTAGGGCTTCTCGCTGTATATTCCCCTTGAGGCAGCAATCTCGGAGTCCCTCCCACATACCTATTGCTGAGAGAAGCCTCCTCCTGAGGTGCTTCTGGAAAGTTGGCATACGTCTTGAGCCTAAGCCAGGGATTCAGCTCTCATCTCGAGACGATTTGGGGTACACAGAGCATTCCTCGAGTTGCTGTGCTGAAGTTGGTCTTCCTCTAGACTTGGGACAGTGTTCTCTGGGCATCTCTGGAGTTGCCTGAAGGAAGTCGAGCCACCGGTCGTGTTGAATGGGGAACGGGGAATGGCTCTGGAGTCAATGCAGGGGAATCGGGCCTCATCTCGAGTTGATTTGTGGCACCTGGAGCTGCTTTGCGTTGCTGGGGTGACCTCAGGGTCCGTCTAGACTGGTGACAGTGTTCTTGGGGACTGCCTCGAGATCCATTAAGCAAGTCGAAGCTCCTGACTTGTTTGAATGGGATCACGGAATAGCTCTGCATGCACTGCAGGGGAATGGGGCCTCATCTCGCCTATAGGGGGAAGTCTCATGTTTTTCTCGAGTTGCGGCGGGGAACTGGGGTATGTTCTCAACTTACGGCGGGGATGGCCCTTCAAAACACGAGTTTCTTAAGTGACGTCAGGACTCCTGTCTAGTAACGAGGGACACGTCAGCAATCTCTTCGAGGCTTGGCAGGGCAAAAGGGACGCTTCTCGATGTGAGCCAGGGCACCCAAGGACCCTTTCCAGTAGCCACAGGTATTTGGGGATTCCTATAAGTATTCAAGAGGAGTCAGGCATCGTCACCTTTTGAAGCAATGAACACCGCGTGCCTCTCGAGGTGTCAGCGGGATGTGAGGATTCCGTCAAAATGAGGCAGGGACCTAGGGCTTTCTCTAAGGTCTCCACAGGGGATTCAGACATCCCTTCATGTTGTGAGATGAAAGACGAGCCTGTATTCAAGCCACTGCAAGGAAATCCGGCCTCCTTTCAAGTTAGGGCTTCTCGCTGTATATTCCCCTTGAGGCAGCAAACTCGGGGTCCCTCCCACATACCTATTGCTGAGAGAAGCCTCCTCCTGAGGTGCTTCTGGAAAGGTGGCATACGTCTTGAGCCTAAGCCAGGGAATCAGCTCTAATCTCGAGACGATTTGGGGTACACAGAGAATTCCTCGAGTTGCTGTGCTGAAGTTGGTGTTCCTCTAGACTTGGGACAGTGTTCTCGGGGCATCTCTGGAGTTGCCTGAAGGAAGTCGAGCCACCGGTCGTGTTGAATGGGGAACAAGGAATGTCTCTGGAGTCAATGCAGGGGAATCCGGCCTCATCTCGAGTTGATTTGGGGCACATGGACCTGCTTTGCATTGCTGGGTGACCTCAGGGTCCGTCTAGACTGGTGACAGTGTTCTTGGGGACTGTCTCGAGATCGATTAAGCAAGTCGAAGCTGCTGACTTGTTTCAATGGGATCATGGAATAGCTCTGCATGCACTGCAAGGGAATAGGGCCTCATCTCGCCTCTAGGGGGAAGTCTCATTGTTTTTCTCGAGTTGCGGCGGGGACCTGGGGTATGTTCTCGACTTACGGCGGGGATGGCCCTTCAAAACACGAGTTTCTTCCGTGACGTCAGGACTCCTGTCTAGTAACGAGGGACACCTCAGCAATCTCTTCGAGGCTTGGCAGGGCAAAAGGGACGCTTCTCGAGGTGAGCCAGGGCACCCAAGGACCCTTTCCAGTAGCCACAGGGATTTTGGGATTCCTATCAGTATTCAAGAGGAGTCAGGCATCGTCACCTTTCGAAGCAATGAACTCCGCGTGCCTCTCGAGGTGTCAGCGGGATGTGAGGATTCCGTCAAAATGAGGCAGGGAACTAGAGCTTTCTCTAAGGTCTCCACAGGGGATTCAGACATCCCTTCATGTTGTGAGATGAAAGACGAGCCTGTATTCAAGCCACTGCAAGGAAATCCGGCCTCCTTTCAAGTTAGGGCTTCTCGCTGTATATTCCCCTTGAGGCAGCAAACTCGGAGTCCCTCCCACATACCTATTGCTGAGAGAAGCCTCCTCCTGAGGTGCTTCTGGAAAGTTGGCATACGTCTTGAGCCTAAGCCAGGGATTCAGCTCTCATCTCGAGACGATTTGTGGTACACAGAGCATTCCTCGAGTTGCTGTGCTGAAATTGGTGTTCCTCTAGACTTGGGACAGTGTTCTCTGGGCATCTCTGGAGTTGCGTGAAGGAAGTCGAGCCACCGGTCGTGTTGAATGGGGAACGGGGAATGGCTCTGGAGTCAATGCAGGGGAATCGGGCCTCATCTCGAGTTGATTTGTGGCACCTGGAGCTGCTTTGCGTTGCTGGGGTGACCTCAGGGTCCGTCTAGACTGGTGACAGTGTTCTTGGGGACTGCCTCGAGATCCATTAAGCAAGTCGAAGCTCCTGACTTGTTTGAATGGGATCACGGAATAGCTCTGCATGCACTGCAGGGGAATGGGGCCTCATCTCGCCTCTAGGGGGAAGTCTCATGGTTTTTCTCGAGTTGCGGCGGGGCCCTGGGGTATGTTCTCGACTTACGGCGGGGATGGCCCTTCAAAACACGAGTTTCTCCAGTGACGTCAGGACTCCTGCCTAGTAACGAGGGACACCTCAGGAATCTCTTCGAGGCTTGGCAGGGCAAAAGGGACGCTTCTCGAGGTGAGGCAGGGCACCCAAGGACCCTTTCCAGTAGCCACAGGGATTTTGGGATTCCTATCAGTATTCAAGAGGAGTCAGGCATCGTCACCTTTTGAAGCAATGAACTCCGCGTGCCTCTCGAGGTGTCAGCGGGATGTGAGGCATTCCGTCAAAATGAGGCAGGGACCTAGGGCTTTCTCTAAGGTCTCCACAGGGGATTCAGACATCCCTTCATGTTGTCAGATCAAAGACGAGCCTGTATTCAAGCCACTGCAAGGAAATCCGGCCTCCTTTCAAGTTAGGGCTTCTCGCTGTATATTCCCCTTGAGGCAGCAAACTCGGGGTCCCTCCCACATACCTATTGCTGAGAGAAGCCTCCTCCTGAGGTGCTTCTGGAAAGGTGGCATACGTCTTGAGCCTAAGCCAGGGAATCAGCTCTCATCTCGAGACGATTTGGGGTACACAGAGCATTCCTCGAGTTGCTGTGCTGAAGTTGGTGTTCCTCTAGACTTGGGACAGTGTTCTCGGGGCATCCCTGGAGTTGCCTGAAGGAAGTCGAGCCACCGGTCGTGTTGAATGGGGAACGGGGAATGGCTCTGGAGTCAATGCAGGGGAATCGGGCCTCATCTCGAGTTGATTTGGGGCACATGGAGCTGATTTGCATTGCTGGGTGACCTCAGGGTCCGTCTAGACTGGTGACAGTGTTCTTGGGGACTCTCTCGAGATCCATTAAGCAAGTCGAAGCTCCTGACTTGTTTGAATGGGATCACGGAATAGATCTGCATGCACTGCAGGGGAATGGGGCCTCATCTCGCCTCTAGGGGGAAGTCTCATGGTTTTTCTCGAGTTGCGGCGGGGACCTGGGGTATGTTCTCGACTTACGGCGGGGATGGCCCTTCAAAACACGAGTTTCTTCTGTGACGTCAGGACTCCTGTCTAGTAACGAGGGACACCTCAGCAATCTCTTCAAGGCTTGGCAGGGCCAAAGGGACGCTTCTCGAGGTGAGCCAGGGCACCCAAGGACCCTTTCCATTAGCCACAGGGATTTTGGGATTCCTATCAGTATTCAAGAGGAGTCAGGCATCGTCACCTTTTGAAGCAATGAACTCCGCGTGCCTCTCGAGGTGTCAGCGGGATGTGAGGATTCCGTCAAAATGAGGCAGGGACCTAGGGCTTTCTCTAAGGTCTCCACAGGGGATTCAGACATCCCTTCATGTTGTCAGATCAAAGACGAGCCTGTATTCAAGCCACTGCAAGGAAATCCGGCCTCCTTTCAAGTTAGGGCTTCTCGCTGTATATTCCTCTTGAGGCAGCAATCTCGGAGTCCCTCCCACATACCTATTGCTGAGAGAAGCCTCCTCCTGAGGTGCTTCTGGAAAGTTGGCATACGTCTTGAGCCTAAGCCAGGGATTCAGCTCTCATCTCGAGACGATTTGGGGTACACAGAGCATTCCTCGAGTTGCTGTGCTGAAGTTGGTGTTCCTCTAGACTTGGGACAGTGTTCTCTGGGCATCTCTGGAGTTGCCTGAAGGAAGTCGAGCCACCGGTCGTGTTGAATGGGGAACGGGGAATGGCTCTGGAGTCAATGCAGGGGAATCGGGCCTCATCTCGAGTTGATTTGGGGCACATGGAGCAGCTTTGCGTTGCTGGGGTGACCTCAGGGTCCGTCTAGACTGGTGACAGTGTTCTTGGGGACTGTCTCGAGATCCATTAAGCAAGTCGAAGCTCCTGACTTGTTTGAATGGGATCACGGAATAGCTCTGCATGCACTGCAGGGGAATGGGGCCTCATCTCGCCTATAGGGGGAAGTCTCATGTTTTTCTCGAGTTGCGGCGGGGAACTGGGGTATGTTCTCAACTTACGGCGGGGATGGCCCTTCAAAACACGAGTTTCTCCAGTGACGTCAGGACTCCTGGCTAGTAACGAGGGACACCTCAGGAATCTCTTCGAGGCTTGGCAGGGCAAAAGGGACGCTTCTCGATGTGAGCCAGGGCACCCAAGGACCCTTTCCAGTAGCCACAGGCATTTGGGGATTCCTATAAGTATTCAAGAGGAGTCAGGCATCATCACCTTTTGAAGCAATGAACTCCGCGTGCCTCTCGAGGTGTCAGCGGGATGTGAGGATTCCGTCAAAATGAGGCAGGGACCTAGGGCTTTCTCTAAGGTCTCCACAGGGGATTCAGACATCCCTTCATGTTGTGAGATGAAAGACGAGCCTGTATTCAAGCCACTGCAAGGAAATCCGGCCTCCTTTCAAGTTAGGGCTTCTCGCTGTATATTCCCCTTGAGGCAGCAAACTCGGGGTCCCTCCCACATACCTATTGCTGAGAGAAGCCTCCTCCTGAGGTGCTTCTGGAAATTTGGCATACGTCTTGAGCCTAAGCCAGGGAATCAGCTCTCATCTCGAGACGATTTGGGGTACACAGAGCATTCCTCGAGTTGCTGTGCTGAAGTTGGTGGTCCTCTAGACTTGGGACAGTGTTCTCGGGGCATCTCTGGAGTTGCCTGAAGGAAGTCGAGACACCGGTCGTGTTGAATGGGGAACAAGGAATGGCTCTGGAGTCAATGCAGGGGAATCGGGCCTCATCTCGAGTTGATTTGGGGCACATGGAGCTGCTTTGCATTGCTGGGTGACCTCAGGGTCCGTCTAGACTGGTGACAGTGTTCTTGGGGACTGTCTCGAGATCCATTAAGCAAGTCGAAGCTGCTGACTTGTTTGAATGGGATCACGGAATAGCTCTGCATGCACTGCAAGGGAATGGGGCCTCATCTCGCCTCTAGGGGGAAGTCTCATTGTTTTTCTCGAGTTGCGGCGGGGACCTGGGATATGTTCTCGACTTACGGCGGGGATGGCCCTTCAAAACACGAGTTTCTTCAGTGACGTCAGGACTCCTGTCTAGTAACGAGGGACACCTCAGCAATCTCTTCGAGGCTTGGCAGGGCAAAAGGGACGCTTCTCGAGGTGAGCCAGGGCACCCAAGGACCCTTTCCATTAGCCACAGGGATTTTGGGATTCCTATCAGTATTCAAGAGGAGTCAGGCATCGTCACCTTTTGAAGCAATGAACTCCGCGTGCCTCTCGAGGTTTCAGCGGGATGTGAGGATTCCGTCAAAATGAGGCAGGGACCTAGAGCTTTCTCTAAGGTCTCCACAGGGGATTCAGACATCCCTTCATGTTGTGAGATGAAAGACGAGCCTGTATTCAAGCCACTGCAAGGAAATCCGGCCTCCTTTCAAGTTAGGGCTTCTCGCTGTATATTCCTCTTGAGGCAGCAATCTCGGAGTCCCTCCCACATACCTATTGCTGAGAGAAGCCTCCTCCTGAGGTGCTTCTGGAAAGTTGGCATACGTCTTGAGCCTAAGCCAGGGATTCAGCTCTCATCTCGAGACGATTTGGGGTACACAGAGCATTCCTCGAGTTGCTGTGCTGAAGTTGGTGTTCCTCTAGACTTGGGACAGTGTTCTCTGGGCATCTCTGGAGTTGCCTGAAGGAAGTCGAGCCACCGGTCGTGTTGAATGGGGAACGGGGAATGGCTCTGGAGTCAATGCAGGGGAATCGGGCCTCATCTCGAGTTGATTTGGGGCACATGGAGCTGCCTTGCATTGCTGGGTGACCTCAGGGTCCGTCTAGACTTGTGACAGTGTTCTTGGGGACTGTCTAGAGATCCATTAAGCAAGTCGAAGCTCCTGACTTGTTTGAATGGGATCACGGAATAGCTCTGCATGCACTGCAGGGGAATGGGGCCTCATCTCGCCTCTAGGGGGAAGTCTCATGGTTTTTCTCGAGTTGCCGCGGGGACCTGGGGTATGTTCTCGACTTACGGCGGGGATGGCCCTTCAAAACACGAGTTTCTTCCGTGACGTCAGGACTCCTGTCTAGTAACGAGGGACACCTCAGCAATCTCTTCAAGGCTTGGCAGGGCAAAAGGGACGCTTCTCGAGGTGAGCCAGGGCACCCAAGGACCCTTTCCATTAGCCACAGGGATTTTGGGATTCCTATCAGTATTCAAGAGGAGTCAGGCATCGTCACCTTTTGAAGCAATGAACTCCGCGTGCCTCTCGAGGTGTCAGCGGGATGTGAGGATTCCGTCAAAATGAGGCAGGGACCTAGGGCTTTCTCTAAGGTCTCCACAGGGGATTCAGACATCCCTTCATGTTGTGAGATGAAAGACGAGCCTGTATTCAAGCCACTGCAAGGAAATCCGGCCTCCTTTCAAGTTAGGGCTTCTCGCTGTATATTCCCCTTGAGGCAGCAATCTCGGAGTCCCTCCCACATACCTATTGCTGAGAGAAGCCTCCTCCTGAGGTGCTTCTGGAAAGTTGGCATACGTCTTGAGCCTAAGCCAGGGATTCAGCTCTCATCTCGAGACGATTTGGGGTACACAGAGCATTCCTCGAGCTGCTGTGCTGAAGTTGGTGTTCCTCTAGACTTGGGACAGTGTTCTCTGGGCATCTCTGGAGTTGCCTGAAGGAAGTCGAGCCACCGGTCGTGTTGAATGGGGAACGGGGAATGGCTCTGGAGTCAATGCAGGGGAATCGGGCCTCATCTCGAGTTGATTTGTGGCACCTGGAGCTGCTTTGCGTTGCTGGGGTGACCTCAGGGTCCGTCTAGACTGGTGACAGTGTTCTTGGGGACTGCCTCGAGATCCATTAAGCAAGTCGAAGCTCCTGACTTGTTTGAATGGGATCACGGAATAGCTCTGCATGCACTGCAGGGGAATGGGGCCTCATCTCGCCTCTAGGGGGAAGTCTCATGTTTTTCTCGAGTTGCGGCGGGGAACTGGGGTATGTTCTCAACTTACGGCGGGGATGGCCCTTCAAAACACGAGTTTCTTAAGTGACGTCAGGACTCCTGTCTAGTAACGAGGGACACGTCAGCAATCTCTTCGAGGCTTGGCAGGGCAAAAGGGACGCTTCTCGATGTGAGCCAGGGCACCCAAGGACCCTTTCCAGTAGCCACAGGCATTTGGGGATTCCTATAAGTATTCAAGAGGAGTCAGGCATCGTCACCTTTTGAAGCAATGAACTCCGCGTGCCTCTCGAGGTGTCAGCGGGATGTGAGGATTCCGTCAAAATGAGGCAGGGACCTAGAGCTTTCTCTAAGGTCTCCACAGGGGATTCAGACATCCCTTCATGTTGTCAGATCAAAGACGAGCCTGTATTCAAGCCACTGCAAGGAAATCCGGCCTCCTTTCAAGTTAGGGCTTCTCGCTGTATATTCCCCTTGAGGCAGCAAACTCGGAGTCCCTCCCACATACCTATTGCTGAGAGAAGCCTCCTCCTGAGGTGCTTCTGGAAAGTTGGCATACGTCTTGAGCCTAAGCCAGGGATTCAGCTCTCATCTCGAGACGATTTGTGGTACACAGAGCATTCCTCGAGTTGCTGTGCTAAAGTTGGTGTTCCTCTAGACTTGGGACAGTGTTCTCGGGGCATCCCTGGAGTTGCCTGAAGGAAGTCGAGCCACCGGTCGTGTTGAATGGGGAACGGGGAATGGCTCTGGAGTCAATGCAGGGGAATCGGGCCTCATCTCGAGTTGATTTGGGGCACATGGAGCTGCTTTGCATTGCTGGGTGACCTCAGGGTCCGTCTAGACTGGTGACAGTGTTCTTGGGGACTGTCTCGAGATCCATTAAGCAAGTCGAAGCTCCTGACTTGTTTGAATGGGATCACGGAATAGCTCTGCATGCACTGCAGGGGAATGGGGCCTCATCTCGCCTCTAGGGGGAAGTCTCATTGTTTTTCTCGAGTTGCGGCGGGGAACTGGGGTATGTTCTCGACTTACGGCGGGGATGGCCCTTCAAAACACGAGTTTCTTCCGTGACGTCAGCACTCCTGTCTAGTAACGAGGGACACCTCAGCAATCTCTTCAAGGCTTGGCAGGGCAAAAGGGACGCTTCTCGAGGTGAGCCAGGGCACCCAAGGACCCTTTCCATTAGCCACAGGGATTTTGGGATTCCTATCAGTATTCAAGAGGAGTCAGGCATCGTCACCTTTTGAAGCAATGAACTCCGCGTGCCTCTCGAGGTGTCAGCGGGATGTGAGGATTCCGTCAAAATGAGGCAGGGACCTAGGGCTTTCTCTAAGGTCTCCACAAGGGATTCACACATCCCTTCATGTTGTGAGATGAAAGACGAGCCTGTATTCAAGCCACTGCAAGGAAATCCGGCCTCCTTTCAAGTTAGGGCTTCTCGCTGTATATTCCCCTTGAGGCAGCAAACTCGGGGTCCCTCCCACATACCTATTGCTGAGAGAAGCCTCCTCCTGAGGTGCTTCTGGAAAGGTGGCATACGTCTTGAGCCTAAGCCAGGGAATCAGCACTCATCTCGAGACGATTTGGGGTACACAGAGCATTCCTCGAGTTGCTGTGCTGAAGTTGGTGGTCCTCTAGACTTGGGACAGTGTTCTCGGGGCATCTCTGGAGTTGCCTGAAGGAAGTCGAGCCACCGGTCGTGTTGAATGGGGAACAAGGAATGGCTCTGGAGTCAATGCAGGGGAATCCGGCCTCATCTCGAGTTGATTTGGGGCACATGGAGCTGCTTTGCATTGCTGGGTGACCTCAGGGTCCGTCTAGACTGGTGACAGTGTTCTTGGGGACTGTCTCGAGATCCATTAAGCAAGTCGAAGCTGCTGACTTGTTTGAATGGGATCACGGAATAGCTCTGCATGCACTGCAAGGGAATGGGGCCTCATCTCGCCTCTAGGGGGAAGTCTCATTGTTTTTCTCGAGTTGCGGCGGGGACCTGGGGTATGTTCTCGACTTACAGCGGGGATGGCCCTTCAAAACACGAGTTTCTTCCGTGACGTCAGGACTCCTGTCTAGTAACGAGGGACACCTCAGCAATCTCTTCGAGGCTTGGCAGGGCAAAAGGGACGCTTCTCGAGGTGAGCCAGGGCACCCAAGGACCCTTTCCAGTAGCCACAGGGATTTTGGGATTCCTATCAGTATTCAAGAGGAGTCAGGCATCGTCACCTTTCGAAGCAATGAACTCCGCGTGCCTCTCGAGGTGTCAGCGGGATGTGAGGATTCCGTCAAAATGAGGCAGGGACCTAGAGCTTTCTCTAAGGTCTCCACAGGGGATTCAGACATCCCTTCATGTTGTCAGATCAAAGACGAGCCTGTATTCAAGCCACTGCAAGGAAATCCGGCCTCCTTTCAAGTTAGGGCTTCTCGCTGTATATTCCCCTTGAGGCAGCAATCTCGGAGTCCCTCCCACATACCTATTGCTGAGAGAAGCCTCCTCCTGAGGTGCTTCTGGAAAGTTGGCATACGTCTTGAGCCTAAGCCAGGGATTCAGCTCTCATCTCGAGACGATTTGGGGTACACAGAGCATTCCTCGAGTTGCTGTGCTGAAGTTGGTGTTCCTCTAGACTTGGGACAGTGTTCTCTGGGCATCTCTGGAGTTGCCTGAAGGAAGTCGAGCCACCGGTCGTGTTGAATGGGGAACGGGGAATGGCTCTGGAGTCAATGAAGGGGAATCGGGCCTCATCTCGAGTTGATTTGTGGCACCTGGAGCTGCTTTGCGTTGCTGGGGTGACCTCAGGGTCCGTCTAGACTGGTGACAGTGTTCTTGGGGACTGCCTCGAGATCCATTAAGCAAGTCGAAGCTCCTGACTTGTTTGAATGGGATCACGGAATAGCTCTGCATGCACTGCAGGGGAATGGGGCCTCATCTCGCCTATAGGGGGAAGTCTCATGTATTTCTCGAGTTGCGGCGGGGAACTGGGGTATCTTCTCAACTTACGGCGGGGATGGCCCTTCAAAACACGAGTTTCTTAAGTGACGTCAGGACTCCTGTCTAGTAACGAGGGACACGTCAGCAATCTCTTCGAGGCTTGGCAGGGCAAAAGGGACGCTTCTCGATGTGAGCCAGGGCACCCAAGGACCCTTTCCAGTAGCCACAGGCATTTGGGGATTCCTATAAGTATTCAAGAGGAGTCAGGCATCGTCACCTTTTGAAGCAATGAACTCCGCGTGCCTCTCGAGGTGTCAGCGGGATGTGAGGATTCCGTCAAAATGAGGCAGGGACCTAGGGCTTTCTCTAAGGTCTCCACAGGGGATTCAGACATCCCTTCATGTTGTGAGATGAAAGACGAGCCAGTATTCAAGCCACTGCAAGGAAATCCGGCCTCCTTTCAAGTTAGGGCTTCTCGCTGTATATTCCCCTTGAGGCAGCAAACTCGGGGTCCCTCCCACATACCTATTGCTGAGAGAAGCCTCCTCCTGAGGTGCTTCTGGAAAGGTGGCATACGTCTTGAGCCTAAGCCAGGGAATCAGCTCTCATCTCGAGACGATTTGGGGTACACAGAGCATTCCTCGAGTTGCTGTGCTGAAGTTGGTGGTCCTCTAGACTTGGGACAGTGTTCTCGGGGCATCTCTGGAGTTGCCTGAAGGAAGTCGAGCCACCGGTCGTGTTGAATGGGGAACAAGGAATGGCTCTGGAGTCAATGCAGGGGAATCGGGCCTCATCTCGAGTTGATTTGGGGCACATGGAGCTGCTTTGCATTGCTGGGTGACCTCAGGGTCCGTCTAGACTGGTGACAGTGTTCTTGGGGACTGTCTCGAGATCCATTAAGCAAGTCGAAGCTGCTGACTTGTTTGAATGGGATCACGGAATAGCTCTGCATGCACTGCAAGGGAATGGGGCCTCATCTCGCCTCTAGGGGGAAGTCTCATTGTTTTTCTCGAGTTGCGGCGGGGACCTGGGGTATGTTCTCGACTTACGGCGGGGATGGCCCTTCAAAACACGAGTTTCTTCCGTGACGTCAGGACTCCTGTCTAGTAACGAGGGACACCTCAGCAATCTCTTCGAGGCTTGGCAGGGCAAAAGGGACGCTTCTCGAGGTGAGCCAGGGCACCCAAGGACCCTTTCCAGTAGCCACAGGGATTTTGGGATTCCTATCAGTATTCAAGAGGAGTCAGGCATCGTCACCTTTCGAAGCAATGAACTCCGCGTGCCTCTCGAGGTGTCAGCGGGATGTGAGGATTCCGTCAAAATGAGGCAGGGACCTAGAGCTTTCTCTAAGGTCTCCACAGGGGATTCAGACATCCCTTCATGTTGTGAGATGAAAGACGAGCCTGTATTCAAGCCACTGCAAGGATATCCGGCCTCCTTTCAAGTTAGGGCTTCTCGCTGTATATTCCCCTTGAGGCAGCAAACTCGGAGTCCCTCCCACATACCTATTGCTGAGAGAAGCCTCCTCCTGAGGTGCTTCTGGAAAGTTGGCATACGTCTTGAGCCTAAGCCAGGGATTCAGCTCTCATCTCGAGACGATTTGGTGTACACAGAGCATTCCTCGAGTTGCTGTGCTGAAATTGGTGTTCGTCTAGACTTGGGACAGTGTTCTCTGGGCATCTCTGGAGTTGCCTGAAGGAAGTCGAGCCACCGGTCGTGTTGAATGGGGAACGGGGAATGGCTCTGGAGTCAATGCAGGGGAATCGGGCCTCATCTCGAGTTGATTTGTGGCACCTGGAGCTGCTTTAAGTTGCTGGGGTGAACTCAGGGTCCGTCTAGACTGGTGACAGTGTTCTTGGGGACTGCCTCGAGATCCATTAAGCAAGTCGAAGCTCCTGACTTGTTTGAATGGGATCACGGAATAGCTCTGCATGCACTGCAGGGGAATGGGGCCTCATCTCGCCTCTAGGGGGAAGTCTCATGGTTTTTCTCGAGTTGCGGCGGGGCCCTGGGGTATGTTCTCGACTTACGGCGGGGATGGCCCTTCAAAACACGAGTTTCTCCAGTGACGTCAGGACTCCTGCCTAGTAACGAGGGACACCTCAGGAATCTCTTCGAGGCTTGGCAGGGCAAAAGGGACGCTTCTCGAGGTGAGGCAGGGCACCCAAGGACCCTTTCCAGTAGCCACAGGGATTACGGGATTCCTATCAGTATTCAAGAGGAGTCAGGCATAGTCACCTTTTGAAGCAATGAACTCCGCGTGCCTCTCGAGGTGTCAGCGGGATGTGAGGCATTCCGTCAAAATGAGGCAGGGACCTAGGGCTTTCTCTAAGGTCTCCACAGGGGATTCAGACATCCCTTCATGTGTGAGATGAAAGACGAGCCTGTATTCAAGCCACTGCAAGGAAATCCGGCCTCCTTTCAAGTTAGGGCTTCTCGCTGTATATTCCCCTTGAGGCAGCAAACTCGGGGTCCCTCCCACATACCTATTGCTGAGAGAAGCCTCCTCCTGAGGTGCTTCTGGAAAGGTGGCATACGTCTTGAGCCTAAGCCAGGGAATCAGCTCTCATCTCGAGACGATTTGGGGTACACAGAGCATTCCTCGAGTTGCTGTGCTGAAGTTGGTGTTCCTCTAGACTTGGGACAGTGTTCTCGGGGCATCCCTGGAGTTGCCTGAAGGAAGTCGAGCCACCGGTCGTGTTGAATGGGGAACGGGGAATGGCTCTGGAGTCAATACAGGGGAATCGGGCCTCATCTCGAGTTGATTTGGGGCACCTGGAGCTGCTTTGCATTGCTGGGGTGACCTCAGGGTCCGTCTAGACTGGTGACAGTGTTCTTGGGGACTGCCTCGAGATCCATTAAGCAAGTCGAAGCTCCTGACTTGTTTGAATGGGATCACGGAATAGCTCTGCATGCACTGCAGGGGAATGGGGCCTCATCTCGCCTCTAGGGGGAAGTCTCATGTTTTTCTCGAGTTGCGGCGGGGAACTGGGGTATGTTCTCAACTTATGGTGGGGATGGCCCTTCAAAACACGAGTTTCTTAAGTGACGTCAGGACTCCTGTCTAGTAACGAGGGACACGTCAGCAATCTCTTCGAGGCTTGGCAGGGCAAAAGGGACGCTTCTCGATGTGAGCCAGGGCACCCAAGGACCCTTTCCAGTAGCCACAGGCATTTGGGGATTCCTATAAGTATTCAAGAGGAGTCAGGCATCGTCACCTTTTGAAGCAATGAACTCCGCGTGCCTCTCGAGGTGTCAGCGGGATGTGAGGATTCCGTCAAAATGAGGCAGGGACCTAGGGCTTTCTCTAAGGTCTCCACAGGGGATTCAGACATCCCTTCATGTTGTGAGATGAAAGACGAGCCTGTATTCAAGCCACTGCAAGGAAATCCGGCCTCCTTTCAAGTTAGGGCTTCTCGCTGTATATTCCCCTTGAGGCAGCAATCTCGGAGTCCCTCCCACATACCTATTGCTGAGAGAAGCCTCCTCCTGAGGTGCTTCTGGAAAGGTGGCATACGTCTTGAGCCTAAGCCAGGGAATCAGCTCTCATCTCGAGACGATTTGGGGTACACAGAGCATTCCTCGAGTTGCTGTGCTGAAGTTGGTGGTCCTCTAGACTTGGGACAGTGTTCTCGGGGCATCTCTGGAGTTGCCTGAAGGAAGTCGAGCCACCGGTCGTGTTGAATGGGGAACAAGGAATGGCTCTGGAGTCAATGCAGGGGAATCGGGCCTCATCTCGAGTTGATTTGGGGCACATGGAGCTGCTTTGCATTGCTGGGTGACCTCAGGGTCCGTCTAGACTGGTGACAGTGTTCTTGGGGACTGTCTCGAGATCCATTAAGCAAGTCGAAGCTGCTGACTTGTTTGAATGGGATCACGGAATAGCTCTGCATGCACTGCAAGGGAATGGGGCCTCATCTCGCCTCTAGGGGGAAGTCTCATTGTTTTTCTCGAGTTGCGGCGGGGACCTGGGATATGTTCTCGACTTACGGCGGGGATGGCCCTTCAAAACACGAGTTTCTTCGGTGACGTCAGGACTCCTGTCTAGTAACGAGGGACACCTCAGCAATCTCTTCGAGGCTTGGCAGGGCAAAAGGGACGCTTCTCGAGGTGAGCCAGGGCACCCAAGGACCCTTTCCAGTAGCCACAGGGATTTTGGGATTCCTATCAGTATTCAAGAGGAGTCAGGCATCGTCACCTTTCGAAGCAATGAACTCCGCGTGCCTCTCGAGGTGTCAGCGGGATGTGAGGATTCCGTCAAAATGAGGCAGGGACCTAGAGCTTTCTCTAAGGTCTCCACAGGGGATTCAGACATCCCTTCATGTTGTGAGATGAAAGACGAGCCTGTATTCAAGCCACTGCAAGGAAATCCGGCCTCCTTTCAAGTTAGGGCTTCTCGCTGTATATTCCCCTTGAGGCAGGAAACTCGGAGTCCCTCCCACATACCTATTGTTGAGAGAAGCCTCCTCCTGAGGTGCTTCTGGAAAGTTGGCATACGTCTTGAGCCTAAGCCAGGGATTCAGCTCTCATCTCGAGACGATTTGTGGTACACAGAGCATTCCTCGAGTTGCTGTGCTGAAATTGGTGTTCCTCTAGACTTGGGACAGTGTTCTCTGGGCATCTCTGGAGTTGCGTGAAGGAAGTCGAGCCACCGGTCATGTTGAATGGGGAACGGGGAATGGCTCTGGAGTCAATGCAGGGGAATCGGGCCTCATCTCGAGTTGATTTGTGGCACCTGGAGCTTCTTTGCGTTGCTGGGGTGACCTCAGGGTCCGTCTAGACTGGTGACAGTGTTCTTGGGGACTGCCTCGAGATCCATTAAGCAAGTCGAAGCTCCTGACTTGTTTGAATGGGATCACGGAATAGCTCTGCATGCACTGCAGGGGAATGGGGCCTCATCTCGCCTCTAGGGGGAAGTCTCATGGTTTTTCTCGAGTTGCGGCGGGGACCTGGGGTATGTTCTCGACTTACGGCGGGGATGGCCCTTCAAAACACGAGTTTCTCCAGTGACGTCAGGACTCCTGTCTAGTAACGAGGGACACCTCAGGAATCTCTTCGAGGCTAGGCAGGGCAAAAGTGACGCTTCTCGAGGTGAGGCAGGGCACCCAAGGACCCTTTCCAGTAGCCACAGGGATTTTGGGATTCCTATCAGTATTCAAGAGGAGTCAGGCATCGTCACCTTTTGAAGCAATGAACTCCGCGTGCCTCTCGAGGTGTCAGCGGGATGTGAGGCATTCCGTCAAAATGAGCCAGGGAACTAGGGCTTTCTCTAAGGTCTCCACAGGGGATTCAGACATCCCTTCATGTTTTCAGATCAAAGACGAGCCTGTATTCAAGCTACTGCAAGGAAATCCGGAATCCTTTCAACTTAGGGCTTCTCGCTGTATATTCCCCTTTAGGCAGCAAACTCGGGGTCCCTCCCACATACCTATTGCTGAGAGAAGACTCCTCCTGAGGTGCTTCTGGAAAGGTGGCATACGTCTTGAGCCTAAGCCAGGGAATCAGCTCTCATCTCGAGACGATTTGGGGTACACAGAGCATTCCTCGAGTTGCTGTGCTGAAGTTGGTGGTCCTCTAGACTTGGGACAGTGTTCTCGGGGCATCTCTGGCGTTGCCTGAAGGAAGTCGAGCCACCGGTCGTGTTGAATGGGGAACAAGGAATGGCTCTGGAGTCAATGCAGGTGAATCGGGCCTCATCTCGAGTTGATTTGGGGCACATGGAGCTGCTTTGCATTGCTGGGTGACCTCAGGGTCCGTCTAGACTGGTGACAGTGTTCTTGGGGACTGTCTCGAGATCCATTAAGCAAGTCGAAGCTCCTGACTTGTTTGAATGGGATCACGGAATAGCTCTGCATGCACTGCAGGGGAATGGGGCCTCATCTCGCCTCTAGGGGGAAGTCTCATGGTTTTTCTCGAGTTGCCGCGGGGACCTGGGGTATGTTCTCGACTTACGGCGGGTATGGCCCTTCAAAACACGAGTTTCTTCCGTGACGTCAGGACTCCTGTCTAGTAACGAGGGACACCTCAGCAATCTCTTCAAGGCTTGGCAGGGCAAAAGGGACGCTTCTCGAGGTTAGCCAGGGCACCCAAGGACCCTTTCCATTAGCCACAGGGATTTTGGGATTCCTATCAGTATTCAAGAGGAGTCAGGCATCGTCACCTTTTGAAGCAATGAACTCCGCGTGCCTCTCGAGGTGTCAGCGGGATGTGAGGATTCCGTCAAAATGAGGCAGGGACCTAGGGCTTTCTCTAAGGTCTCCACAGGGGATTCAGACATCCCTTCATCTTGTGAGATGAAAGACGAGCCTGTATTCAAGCCACTGCAAGGAAATCCGGCCTCCTTTCAAGTTAGGGCTTCTCGCTGTATATTCCCCTTGAGGCAGCAATCTCGGAGTCCCTCCCACATACCTATTGCTGAGAGAATCCTCCTCCTGAGGTGCTTCTGGGAAGTTGGCATACGTCTTGAGCCTAAGCCAGGGATTCAGCTCTCATCTCGAGACGATTTGGGGTACACAGAGCATTCCTCGAGCTGCTGTGCTGAAGTTGGTGTTCCTCTAGACTTGGGACAGTGTTCTCTGGGCATCTCTGGAGTTGCCTGAAGGAAGTCGAGCCACCGGTCGTGTGGAATGGGGAACGGGGAATGGCTCTGGAGTCAATGCAGGGGAATCGGGCCTCATCTCGAGTTGATTTGTGGCACCTGGAGCTGCTTTGCGTTGCTGGGGTGACCTCAGGGTCCGTCTAGACTGGTGACAGTGTTCTTGGGGACTGCCTCGAGATCCATTAAGCAAGTCGAAGCTCCTGACTTGTTTGAATGGGATCACGGAATAGCTCTGCATGCACTGCAGGGGAATGGGGCCTCATCTCGCCTATAGGGGGAAGTCTCATGTATTTCTCGAGTTGCGGCGGGGAACTGGGGTATGTTCTCAACTTACGGCGGGGATGGCCCTTCAAAACACGAGTTTCTTAAGTGACGTCAGGACTCCTGTCTAGTAACGAGGGACACGTCAGCAATCTCTTCGAGGCTTGGCAGGGCAAAAGGGACGCTTCTCGATGTGAGCCAGGGCACCCAAGGACCCTTTCCAGTAGCCACAGGCATTTGGGGATTCCTATAAGTATTCAAGAGGAGTCAGGCATCGTCACCTTTTGAAGCAATGAACTCCGCGTGCCTCTCGAGGTGTCAGCGGGTGTGAGGATTCCGTCAAAATGAGGCAGGGACCTTGGGCTTTCTCTAAGGTCTCCACAGGGGATTCAGACATCCCTTCATGTTGTCAGATCAAAGACGAGCCTGTATTCAAGCCACTGCAAGGAAATCCGGCCTCCTTTCAAGTTAGGGCTTCTCGCTGTATATTCCCCTTGAGGCAGCAAACTCGGGGTCCCTCCCACATACCTATTGCTGAGAGAAGCCTCCTCCTGAGGTGCTTCTGGAAAGGTGGCATACGTCTTGAGCCTAAGCCAGGGAATCAGCTCTCATCTCGAGACGATTTGGGGTACACAGAGCATTCCTCGAGTTGCTGTGCTGAAGTTGGTGGTCCTCTAGACTTGGGACAGTGTTCTCGGGGCATCTCTGGAGTTGCCTGAAGGAAGTCGAGCCACCGGTCGTGTTGAATGGGGAACAAGGAATGGCTCTGGAGTCAATGCAGGGGAATCGGGCCTCATCTCGAGTTGATTTGGGGCACATGGAGCTGCTTTGCATTGCTGGGTGACCTCAGGGTCCGTCTAGACTGGTGACAGTGTTCTTGGGGACTGTCTCGAGATCCATTAAGCAAGTCGAAGCTGCTGACTTGTTTGAATGGGATCACGGAATAGCTCTGCATGCACTGCAAGGGAATGGGGCCTCATCTCGCCTCTAGGGGGAAGTCTCATGGTTTTTCTCGAGTTGCGGCGGGGACCTGGGGTATGTTCTCGACTTACGGCGGGGATGGCCCTTCAAAACACGAGTTTCTTCCGTGACGTCAGGACTCCTATCTAGTAACGAGGGACACCTCAGCAATCTCTTCGAGGCTTGGCAGGGCAAAAGGGACGCTTCTCGAGGTGAGCCAGGGCACCCAAGGACCCTTTCCAGTAGCCACAGGGATTTTGGGATTCCTATCAGTATTCAAGAGGAGTCAGGCATCGTCACCTTTCGAAGCAATGAACTCCGCGTGCCTCTCGAGGTGTCAGCGGGATGTGAGGATTCCGTCAAAATGAGGCAGGGACCTAGAGCTTTCTCTAAGGTCTCCACAGGGGATTCAGACATTCCTTCATGTTGTGAGATGAAAGACGAGCCTGTATTCAAGCCACTGCAAGGAAATCCGGCCTCCTTTCAAGTTAGGGCTTCTCGCTGTATATTCCCCTTGAGGCAGCAAACTCGGAGTCCCTCCCACATACCTATTGCTGAGAGAAGCCTCCTCCTGAGGTGCTTCTGGAAAGTTGGCATACGTCTTGAGCCTAAGCCAGGGATTCAGCTCTCATCTCGAGACGATTTGGTGTACACAGAGCATTCCTCGAGTTGCTGTGCTGAAATTGGTGTTCCTCTAGACTTGGGACAGTGTTCTCTGGGCATCTCTGGAGTTGCCTGAAGGAAGTCGAGCCACCGGTCGTGTTGAATGGGGAACGGGGAATGGCTCTGGAGTCAATGCAGGGGAATCGGGCCTCATCTCGAGTTGATTTGTGGCACCTGGAGCTGCTTTAAGTTGCTGGGGTGAACTCAGGGTCCGTCTAGACTGGTGACAGTGTTCTTGGGGACTGCCTCGAGATCCATTAAGCAAGTCGAAGCTCCTGACTTGTTTGAATGGGATCACGGAATAGCTCTGCATGCACTGCAGGGGAATGGGGCCTCATCTCGCCTCTAGGGGGAAGTCTCATGGTTTTTCTCGAGTTGCGGCGGGGCCCTGGGGTATGTTCTCGACTTACGGCGGGGATGGCCCTTCAAAACACGAGTTTCTCCAGTGACGTCAGGACTCCTGCCTAGTAACGAGGGACACCTCAGGAATCTCTTCGAGGCTTGGCAGGGCCAAAGGGACGCTTCTCGAGGTGAGGCAGGGCACCCAAGGACCCTTTCCAGTAGCCACAGGGATTATGGGATTCCTATCAGTATTCAAGAGGAGTCAGGCATAGTCACCTTTTGAAGCAATGAACTCCGCGTGCCTCTCGAGGTGTCAGCGGGATGTGAGGCATTCCGTCAAAATGAGCCAGGGACCTAGGGCTTTCTCTAAGGTCTCCACAGGGGATTCAGACATCCCTTCATGTTTTCAGATCAAAGACGAGCCTGTATTCAAGCCACTGCAAGGAAATCCGGCCTCCTTTCAAGTTAGGGCTTCTCGCTGTATATTCCCCTTGAGGCAGCAAACTCGGGGTCCCTCCCACATAACTATTGCTGAGAGAAGCCTCCTCCTGAGGTGCTTCTGGAAAGGTGGCATACGTCTTGAGCCTAAGCCAGGGAATCAGCTCTCATCTCGAGACGATTTGGGGTACACAGAGCATTCCTCGAGTTGCTGTGCTGAAGTTGGTGTTCCTCTAGACTTGGGACAGTGTTCTCGGGGCATCCCTGGAGTTGCCTGAAGGAAGTCGAGCCACCGGTCGTGTTGAATGGGGAACGGGGAATGGCTCTGGAGTCAATACAGGGGAATCGGGCCTCATCTCGAGTTGATTTGGGGCACCTGGAGCTGCTTTGCATTGCTGGGGTGACCTCAGGGTCCGTCTAGACTGGTGACAGTGTTCTTGGGGACTGCCTCGAGATCCATTAAGCAAGTCGAAGCTCCTGACTTGTTTGAATGGGATCACGGAATAGCTCTGCATGCACTGCAGGGGAATGGGGCCTCATCTCGCCTCTAGGGGGAAGTCTCATGTTTTTCTCGAGTTGCGGCGGGGAACTGGGGTATGTTCTCAACTTACGGCGGGGATGGCCCTTCAAAACACGAGTTTCTTAAGTGACGTCAGGACTCCTGTCTAGTAACGAGGGACACGTCAGCAATCTCTTCGAGGCTTGGCAGGGCAAAAGGGACGCTTCTCGATGTGAGCCAGGGCACCCAAGGACCCTTTCCAGTAGCCACAGGGATTTTGGGATTCCTATCAGTATTCAAGAGGAGTCAGGCATCGTCACCTTTTGAAGCAATGAACTCCGCGTGCCTCTCGAGGTGTCAGCGGGATGTGAGGCATTCCGTCAAAATGAGGCAGGGACCTAGGGCTTTCTCTAAGGTCTCCACAGGGGATTCAGACATCCCTTCATGTTGTCAGATCAAAGACGAGCCTGTATTCAAGCCACTGCAAGGAAATCCGGCCTCCTTTCAAGTTAGGGCTTCTCGCTGTATATTCCCCTTGAGGCAGCAAACTCGGGGTCCCTCCCACATACCTATTGCTGAGAGAAGCCTCCTCCTGAGGTGCTTCTGGAAAGGTGGCATACGTCTTGAGCCTAAGCCAGGGAATCAGCTCTCATCTCGAGACGATTTGGGGTACACAGAGCATTCCTCGAGTTGCTGTGCTGAAGTTGGTGTTCCTCTAGACTTGAGACAGTGTTCTCTGGGCATCTCTGGAGTTGCCTGAAGGAAGTCGAGCCACCGGTCGTGTTGAATGGGGAATGGGGAATGGCTCTGGAGTCAATGCAGGGGAATCGGGCCTCATCTCGAGTTGATTTGTGGCACCTGGAGCTGCTTTGCGTTGCTGGGGTGACCTCAGGGTCCGTCTAGACTGGTGACAGTGTTCTTGGGGACTGCCTCGAGATCCATTAAGCAAGTCGAAGCTCCTGACTTGTTTGAATGGGATCACGGAATAGCTCTGCATGCACTGCAGGGGAATGGGGCCTCATCTCGCCTATAGGGGGAAGTCTCATGTTTTTCTCGAGTTGCGGCGGGGAACTGGGGTATGTTCTCAACTTACGGCGGGGATGGCGCTTCAAAACACGAGTTTCTTAACTGACGTCAGGACTCCTGTCTAGTAACGAGGGACACGTCAGCAATCTCTTCGAGGCTTGGCAGGGCAAAAGGGACGCTTCTCGAGGTGAGCCAGGGCACCCAAGGACCCTTTCCAGGAGCCACAGGCATTTGGGGATTCCTATAAGTATTCAAGAAGAGTCAGGCATCGTCACCTTTTGAAGCAATGAACTCCGCGTGCCTCTCGAGGTGTCAGCGGGATGTGAGGATTCCGTCAAAATGAGGCAGGGACCTAGGGCTTTCTCTAAGGTCTCCACAGGGGATTCAGACATCCCTTCATCTTGTGAGATGAAAGACGAGCCTGTATTCAAGCCACTGCAAGGAAATCCGGCCTCCTTACAAGTTAGGGCTTCTCGCTGTATATTCCCCTTGAGGCAGCAAACTCGGGGTCCCTCCCACATACCTATTGCTGAGAGAATCCTCCTCCTGAGGTGCTTCTGGAAAGGTGGCATACGTCTTGAGCCTAAGCCAGGGAATCAGCTCTCATCTCGAGACGATTTTGGGTACACAGAGCATTCCTCGAGTTGCTGTGCTGAAGTTGGTGGTCCTCTAGACTTGGGACAGTGTTCTCGGGGCATCTCTGGAGTTGCCTGAAGGACGTCGAGCCACCGGTCGTGTTGAATGGGGAACAAGGAATGGCTCTGGAGTCAATGCAGGGGAATCGGGCCTCATCTCGAGTTGATTTGGGGCACATGGAGCTGCTTTGCATTGCTGGGTGACCTCAGGGTCCGTCTAGACTGGTGACAGTGTTCTTGGGGACTGTCTCGAGATCCATTAAGCAAGTCGAAGCTGCTGACTTGTTTGAATGGGATCACGGAATAGCTCTGCATGCACTGCAAGGGAATGGGGCCTCATCTCGCCTCTAGGTGGAAGTCTCATGGTTTTTCTCGAGTTGCGGCGGGGACCTGGGGTATGTTCTCGACTTACAGCGGGGATGGCCCTTCAAAACACGAGTTTCTTCCGTGACGTCAGGACTCCTGTCTAGTAACGAGGGACACCTCAGCAATCTCTTCGAGGCTTGGCAGGGCAAAAGGGACGCTTCTCGAGGTGAGGCAGGGCACCCAAGGACCCTTTCCAGTAGCCACAGGGATTTTGGGATTCCTATCAGTATTCAAGAGGAGTCAGGCATCGTCACCTTTCGAAGCAATGAACTCCGCGTGCCTCTCGAGGTGTCAGCGGGATGTGAGGATTCCGTCAAAATGAGGCAGGGACCTAGAGCTTTCTCTAAGGTCTCCACAGGGGATTCAGACATCCCTTCATGTTGTGAGATGAAAGACGAGCCTGTATTCAAGCCACTGCAAGGAAATCCGGCCTCCTTTCAAGTTAGGGCTTCTCGCTGTATATTCCCCTTGAGGCAGCAAACTCGGAGTCCCTCCCACATACCTATTGTTGAGAGAAGCCTCCTCCTCAGGTGCTTCTGGAAAGTTGGCATACGTCTTGAGCCTAAGCCAGGGATTCAGCTCTCAACTCGAGATGATTTGTGATACACAGAGCATTCCTCGAGTTGCTGTGCTGAAATTGGTGTTCCTCTAGACTTGGGACAGTGTTCTCTGGGCATCTCTGGAGTTGCCTGAAGGAAGTCGAGCCACCGGTCGTGTTGAATGGGGAATGGGGAATGGCTCTGGAGTCAATGCAGGGGAATCGGGCCTCATCTCGAGTTGATTTGTGGCACCTGGAGCTGCTTTGCGTTGCTGGGGTGACCTCAGGGTCCGTCTAGACTGGTGACAGTGTTCTTGGGGACTGCCTCGAGATCCATTAAGCAAGTCGAAGCTCCTGACTTGTTTGAATGGGATCACGGAATAGCTCTGCATGCACTGCAGGGGAATGGGGCCTCATCTCGCCTCTAGGGGGAAGTCTCATGGTTTTTCTCGAGTTGCGGCGGGGACCTGGGGTATGTTCTCGACTTACGGCGGGGGTGGCCCTTCAAAACACGAGTTTCTCCAGTGACGTCAGGACTCCTGCCTAGTAACGACGGACACCTCAGGAATCTCTTCGAGGCTTGGCAGGGCAAAAGGGACGCTTCTCGAGGTGAGGCAGGGCACCCAAGGACCCTTTCCAGTAGCCACAGGGATTTTGGGATTCCTATCAGTATTCAAGAGGAGTCAGGCATCGTCACCTTTTGAAGCAATGAACTCCGCGTGCCTCTCGAGGTGTCAGCGGGATGTGAGGCATTCCGTCAAAATGAGGCAGGGACCTAGGGCTTTCTCTAAGGTCTCCACAGGGGATTCAGACATCCCTTCATGTTGTCAGATCAAAGACGAGCCTGTATTCAAGCCACTGCAAGGAAATCCGGCCTCCTTTCAAGTTAGGGCTTCTCGCTGTATATTCCCCTTGAGGCAGCAAACTCGGGGTCCCTCCCACATACCTATTGCTGAGAGAAGCCTCCTCCTGAGGTGCTTCTGGAAAGGTGGCATACGTCTTGAGCCTAAGCCAGGGAATCAGCTCTCATCTCGAGACGATTTGGGGTACACAGAGCATTCCTCGAGTTGGTGTGCTGAAGTTGGTGTTCCTCTAGACTTGGGACAGTGTTCTCGGGGCATCCCTGGAGTTGCCTGAAGGAAGTCGAGCCACCGGTCGTGTTGAATGGGGAACGGGGAATGGTTCTGGAGTCAATGCAGGGGAATCGGGCCTCATCTCGAGTTGATTTGGGGCACATGGAGCTGCTTTGCATTGCTGGGTGACCTCAGGGTCCGTCTAGACTGGTGACAGTGTTCTTGGGGACTGTCTCGAGATCCATTAAGCAAGTCGAAGCTCCTGACTTGTTTGAATAGACTCACGGAATAGCTCTGCATGCACTGCAGGGGAATGGGGCCTCATCTCGCCTCTAGGGGGAAGTCTCATGGTTTTTCTCGAGTTGCGGCGGGGACCTGGGGTATGTTCTCGACTTAAGGCGGGGATGGCCCTTCAAAACACGAGTTTCTTCGGTGACGTCAGGACTCCTGTCTAGTAACGAGGGACACCTCAGCAATCTCTTCAAGGCTTGGCAGGGCAAAAGGGACGCTTCTCGAGGTGAGCCAGGGCACCCAAGGACCCTTTCCATTAGCCACAGGGATTTTGGGATTCCTATCAGTATTCAAGAGGAGTCAGGCATCGTCACCTTTTGAAGCAATGAACTCCGCGTGCCTCTCGAGGTGTCAGCGGGATGTGAGGATTCCGTCAAAATGAGCCAGGGACCTAGGGCTTTCTCTAAGGTCTCCACAGGAGATTCAGACATCCCTTCATGTTGTGAGATGAAAGACGAGCCAGTATTCAAGCCACTGCAAGGAAATCCGGCCTCCTTTCAAGTTAGGGCTTCTCGCTGTATATTCCCCTTGAGGCAGCAATCTCGAGTCCCTCCCACATACCTATTGCTGAGAGAAGCCTCCTCCTGAGGTGCTTCTGGAAAGTTGGCATACGTCTTGAGCCTAAGCCAGGGATTCAGCTCTCATCTCGAGACGATTTGGGGTACACAGAGCATTCCTCGAGTTGCTGTGCTGAAGTTGGTGTTCCTCTAGACTTGGGACAGTGTTCTCTGGGCATCTCTGGAGTTGCCTGAAGGAAGTCGAGCCACCGGTCGTGTTGAATGGGGAACGGGGAATGGCTCTGGAGTCAATGCAGGGGAATCGGGCCTCATCTCGAGTTGATTTGTGGCACCTGGAGCTGCTTTGCGTTGCTGGGTTGACCTCAGGGTCCGTCTAGACTGGTGACAGTGTTCTTGGGGACTGCCTCGAGATCCATTAAGCAAGTCGAAGCTCCTGACTTGTTTGAATGGGATCACGGAATAGCTCTGCATGCACTGCAGGGGAATGGGGCCTCATCTCGCCTATAGGGGGAAGTCTCATGTTTTTCTCGAGTTGCGGCGGGGAACTGGGGTATGTTCTCAACTTACGGCGGGGATGGCCCTTCAAAACACGAGTTTCTTAAGTGACGTCAGGACTCCTGTCTAGTAACGAGGGACACGTCAGCAATCTCTTCGAGGCTTGGCAGGGCAAAAGGGACGCTTCTCGATGTGAGCCAGGGCACCCAAGGACCCTTTCCAGTAGCCACAGGCATTTGGGGAATCCTATAAGTATTCAAGAGGAGTCAGGCATCGTCACCTTTTGAAGCAATGAACTCCGCGTGCCTCCCGAGGTGTCAGCGGGATGTGCGGATTCCGTCAAAATGAGGCAGGGACCTAGGGCTTTCTCTAAGGTCTCCACAGGGGATTCAGACATCCCTTCATGTTGTGAGATGAAAGACGAGCCTGTATTCAAGCCACTGCAAGGAAATCCGGCCTCCTTTCAAGTTAGGGCTTCTCGCTGTATATTCCCCTTGAGGCAGCAAACTCGGGGTCCCTCCCACATACCTATTGCTGAGAGAAGCCTCCTCCTGAGGTGCTTCTGGAAAGGTGGCATACGTCTTGAGCCTAAGCCAGGGAATCAGCTCTCATCTCGAGACGATTTGGGGTACACAGAGCATTCCTCGAGTTGCTGTGCTGAAGTTGGTGTTCCTCTAGACTTGGGACAGTGTTCTCGGGGCATCCCTGGAGTTGCCTGAAGGAAGTCGAGCCACCGGTCGTGTTGAATGGGGAACGGGGAATGGCTCTGGAGTCAATGCAGGGGAATCGGGCCTCATCTCGAGTTGATTTGGGGCACATGGAGCTGCTTTGCATTGCTGGGTGACCTCAGGGTCCGTCTAGACTAGTGACAGTGTTCTTGGGGACTGTCTCGAGATCCATTAAGCAAGTCGAAGCTCCTGACTTGTTTGAATGGGATCACGGAATAGCTCTGCATGCACTGCAGGGGAATGGGGCCTCATCTCGCCTCTAGGGGGAAGTCTCATGGTTTTTCTCGAGTTGCGGCGGGGACCTGGGGTATGTTCTCGACTTACGGCTGGGATGGCCCTTCAAAACACGAGTTTCTTCCGTGACGTCAGGACTTCTGTCTAGTAACGAGGAACACCTCAGCAATCTCTTCAAGGCTTGGCAGGGCAAAAGGGACGCTTCTCGAGGTGAGCCAGGGCACCCAAGGACCCTTTCCATTAGCCACAGGGATTTTGGGATTCCTATCAGTATTCAAGAGGAGTCAGGCATCGTCACCTTTTGAAGCAATGAACTCCGCGTGCCTCTCGAGGTGTCAGCGGGATGTGAGGATTCCGTCAAAATGAGGCAGGGACCTAGGGCTTTCTCTAAGGTCTCCACAGGAGATTCAGACATCCCTTCATGTTGTGAGATGAAAGACGAGCCTGTATTCAAGCCACTGCAAGGAAATCCGGCCTCCTTTCAAGTTAGGGCTTCTCGCTGTATATTCCCCTTGAGGCAGCAATCTCGGAGTCCCTCCCACATACCTATTGCTGAGAGAAGCCTCCTCCTGAGGTGCTTCTGGAAAGTTGGCATACGTCTTGAGCCTAAGCCAGGGATTCAGCTCTCATCTCGAGACGATTTGTGGTACACAGAGCATTCCTCGAGTTGCTGTGCTGAAGTTGGTGTTCCTCTAGACTTGGGACAGTGTTCTCTGGGCATCTCTGGAGTTGCCTGAAGGAAGTCGAGCCACCGGTCGTGTTGAATGGGGAACGGGGAATGGCTCTGGAGTCAATGCAGGGGAATCGGGCCTCATCTCGAGTTGATTTGGGGCACATGGAGCTGCTTTGCATTGCTGGGTGACCTCAGGGTCCGTCTAGACTGGTGACAGTGTTCTTGGGGACTGTCTCGAGATCCATTAAGCAAGTCGAAGCTCCTGACTTGTTTGAATGGGATCACGGAATAGCTCTGCATGCACTGCAGGGGAATGGGGCCTCATCTCGCCTCTAGGGGGAAGTCTCATGTTTTTCTCGAGTTGCGGCGGGGAACTGGGGTATGTTCTCAACTTACGGCGGGGATGGCCCTTCAAAACACGAGTTTCTTAAGTGACGTCAGGACTCCTGTCTAGTAACGAGGGACACGTCAGCAATCTCTTCGAGGCTTGGCAGGGCAAAAGGGACGCTTCTCGATGTGAGCCAGGGCACCCAAGGACCCTTTCCAGTAGCCACAGGCATTTGGGGATTCCTATAAGTATTCAAGAGGAGTCAGGCATCGTCACCTTTTGAAGCAATGAACTCCGCGTGCCTCTCGAGGTGTCAGCGGGATGTGAGGATTCCGTCAAAATGAGGCAGGGACCTAGGGCTTTCTCTAAGGTCTCCACAGGGGATTCAGACATCCCTTCATGTTGTGAGATGAAAGACGAGCCTGTATTCAAGCCACTGCAAGGAAATCCGGCCTCCTTTCAAGTTAGGGCTTCTCGCTGTATATTCCCCTTGAGGCAGCAAACTCGGGGTCCCTCCACATACCTATTGCTGAGAGAAGCCTCCTCCTGAGGTGCTTCTGGAAAGGTGGCATACGTCTTGAGCCTAAGCCAGGGAATCAGCTCTCATCTCGAGACGATTTGGGGTACACAGAGCATTCCTCGAGTTGCTGTGCTGAAGTTGGTGGTCCTCTAGACTTGGGACAGTGTTCTCGGGGCATCTCTGGAGTTGCCTGAAGGAAGTCGAGCCACCGGTCGTGTTGAATGGGGAACGGGGAATGGCTCTGGAGTCAGTGCAGGGGAATCGGGCCTCATCTCGAGTTGATTTGTGGCACCTGGAGCTGCTTTGCGTTGCTGGGGTGACCTCAGGGTCCGTCTAGACTGGTGACAGTGTTCTTGGGGACTGCCTCGAGATCCATTAAGCAAGTCGAAGCTCCTGACTTGTTTGAATGGGATCACGGAATAGCTCTGCATGCACTGCAGGGGAATGGGGCCTCATCTCTCCTCTAGGGGGAAGTCTCATGGTTTTTCTCGAGTTGCGGCGGGGCCCTGGGGTATGTTCTCGACTTACGGCGGGGATGGCCCTTCAAAACACGAGTTTCTCCAGTGACGTCAGGACTCCTGCCTAGTAACGAGGGACACCTCAGGAATCTCTTCGAGGCTTGGCAGGGCAAAAGGGACGCTTCTCGAGGTGAGGCAGGGCACCCAAGGACCCTTTCCAGTAGCCACAGGGATTTTGGGATTCCTATCAGTATTCAAGAGGAGTCAGGCATCGTCACCTTTTGAAGCAATGAACTCCGCGTGCCTCTCGAGGTGTCAGCGGGATGTGAGGCATTCCGTCAAAATGAGGCAGGGACCTAGGGCTTTCTCTAAGGTCTCCACAGGGGATTCAGACATCCCTTCATGTTGTCAGATCAAAGACGAGCCTGTATTCAAGCCACTGCAAGGAAATCCGGCCTCCTTTCAAGTTAGGGCTTCTCGCTGTATATTCCCCTTGAGGCAGCAAACTCGGGGTCCCTCCCACATACCTATTGCTGAGAGAAGCCTCCTCCTGAGGTGCTTCTGGAAAGGTGGCATACGTCTTGAGCCTAAGCCAGGGAATCAGCTCTCATCTCGAGACGATTTGGGGTACACAGAGCATTCCTCGAGTTGCTCTGCTGAAGTTGGCGTTCCTCTAGACTTGGGACAGTGTTCTCTGGGCATCCCTGGAGTTGCCTGAAGGAAGTCGAGCCACCGGTCGTGTTGAATGGGGAACGGGGAATGGCTCTGGAGTCAATGCAGGGGAATCGGGCCTCATCTCGAGTTGATTTGGGGCACATGGAGCAGCTTTGCGTTGCTGGGGTGACCTCAGGGTCCGTCTAGACTGGTGACAGTGTTCTTGGGGACTGTCTCGAGATCCATTAAGCAAGTCGAAGCTCCTGACTTGTTTGAATGGGATCACGGAATAGCTCTGCATGCACTGCAGGGGAATGGGGCCTCATCTCGCCTCTAGGGGGAAGTCTCATGGATTTTCTCGAGTTGCGGCGGGGACCTGGGGTATGTTCTCGACTTACGGCAGGGATGGCCCTTCAAAACACGACTTTCTTCAGTGAGGTCAGGACTCCTGCCTAGTAACGAGGGACACCTCAGGAATCTCTTCGAGTCTTGGCAGGGCAAAAGGGACGCTTCTCGAGGTGAGGCAGGGCACCCAAGGACCCTTTCCAGTAGCCACAGGGATTTTGGGATTCCTATCAGTATTCAAGAGGAGTCAGGCATCGTCACCTTTTGAAGCAATGAACTCCGCGTGCCTCTCGAGGTGTCAGCGGGATGTGAGGCATTCCGTCAAAATGAGGCAGGGACCTAGGGCTTTCTCTAAGGTCTCCACAGGGGATTCAGACATCCCTTCATGTGTGAGATGAAAGACGAGCCTGTATTCAAGCTACTGCAAGGAAATCCGGCCTCCTTTAAAGTTAGGGCTTCTCGCTGTATATTCCCCTTGAGGCAGCAAACTTGGAGTCCCTCCCACATAGCTATTGCTGAGAAGCCTCCCCCTGAGGTGCTTCTGGAAAGTTGGCATACGACTTGAGCCTAAGCCAGGGAATCAGCTCTCATCTCGAGACGATTTGGGGTACACAGAGCATTCCTCGAGTTGCTGTGCTGAAGTTGGTGTTCCTCTAGACTTGGAACAGTGTTCTCGGGGCATCTCTGGAGATGCCTGAAGGAAGGCGAGCCTCCGTTCGTGTTGAACGGGGAACGGGGAATGGCTCTGGAGTCAATGCAGGGTAATCGGGCCTCATCTCGAGTTGATTTGGGGCACATGGAGCTGTTTTGCGTTGCTGGGGTGACCTCAGGGTCCGTCTAGACTGGTGACAGTGTTCTTGGGGACTGTCTCGAGATCCATTTAGCAAGTCGAAGCTCCTGACTTGTTTGAATGGGATCACGGAATAGCTCTGCATGCACTGCAGGGGAATGGGGCCTCATCTCGCCTCTAGGGGGAAGTCTCATGGTTTTTCTCGAGTTGCGGCGGGGACCTGGGGTATGTTCTCGACTTACGGCGGGGATGGCCCTTCAAAACACGAGTTTCTTCAGTGACGTCAGGACTCCTGTCTAGTAACGAGGGACACCTCAGCAATTTCTTCGAGGCTTGGCAGGGCAAAAGGGACGCTTCTCGAGGTGAGCCAGGGCACCCAAGGACCTTTTCCAGTAGCAACAGGGATTTTGGGATTCCTATAAGTATTCTAGAGGAGTCAGGCATCGTCACCTTTTGAAGCAATGAACTCCGCGTGCCTCTAGAGGTGTCAGCGGGATGTGAGGCATTCCGTCAAAATGAGGCAGGGACCTAGGGCTTTCTCTAAGGTCTCCACAGGGGATTCAGACATCCCTTCATGTTGTCAGATCAAAGACGAGCCTGTATTCAAGCCACTGCAAGGAAATCCGGCCTCCTTTCAAGTTAGGGCTTCTCGCTGTATATTCCCCTTGAGGCAGCAAACTCGGGGTCCCTCCCACATACCTATTGCTGAGAGAAGCCTCCTCCTGAGGTGCTTCTGGAAAGGTGGCATACGTCTTGAGCCTAAGCCAGGGAATCAGCTCTCATCTCGAGACGATTTGGGGTACACAGAGCATTCCTCGATTTGCTGTGCTGAAGTTGGTGTTCCTCTAGACTTGGGACAGTGTTCTCGGGGCATCCCTGGAGTTGCCTGAAGGAAGTCGAGCCACCGGTCGTGTTGAATGGGGAACGGGGAATGGCTCTGGAGTCAATGCAGGGGAATCGGGCCTCATCTCGAGTTGATTTGGGGCACATGGAGCAGCTTTGCGTTGCTGGGGTGACCTCAGGGTCCGTCTAGACTGGTGACAGTGTTCTTGGGGACTGTCTCGAGATCCATTAAGCAAGTCGAAGCTCCTGACTTGTTTGAATGGGATCACGTAATAGCTCTGCATGCACTGGAGGGGAATGGGGCCTCATCTCGCCTCTAGGGGGAAGTCTCATGGTTTTTCTCGAGTTGCGGCGGGGACCTGGGGTATGTTCTCGACTTACGGCAGGGATGGCCCTTCAAAACACGACTTTCTTCAGTGAGGTCAGGACTCCTGCCTAGTAACGAGGGACACCTCAGGAATCTCTTCGAGTCTTGGCAGGGCAAAAGGGACGCTTCTCGAGGTGAGGCAGGGCACCCAAGGACCCTTTCCAGTAGCCACAGGGATTTTGGGATTCCTATCAGTATTCAAGAGGAGTCAGGCATCGTCACCTTTTGAAGCAATGAACTCCGCGTGCCTCTCGAGGTGTCAGCGGGATGTGAGGCATTCCGTCAAAATGAGGCAGGGACCTAGGGCTTTCTCTAAGGTCTCCACAGGGGATTCAGACATCCCTTCATGTGTGAGATGAAAGACGAGCCTGTATTCAAGCTACTGCAAGGAAATCCGGCCTCCTTTCAAGTTAGGGCTTCTCGCTGTATATTCCCCTTGAGGCAGCAAACTTGGAGTCCCTCCCACATAGCTATTGCTGAGAAGCCTCCTCCTGAGGTGCTTCTGGAAAGTTGGCAAACGTCTTGAGCCTAAGCCAGGGAATCAGCTCTCATCTCGAGACGATTTGGGGTACACAGAGCATTCCTCGAGTTGCTGTGCTGAAGTTGGTGTTCCTCTAGACTTGGGACAGTGTTCTCGGGGCATCTCTGGAGATGCCTGAAGGAAGGCGAGCCTCCGTTCCTGTTGAACGGGGAACGGGGAATGGCTCTGGAGTCAATGCAGGGGAATCGGGCCTCATCTCGAGTTGATTTGGGGCACATGGAGCTGCTTTGCGTTGCTGGGGTGACCTCAGGGTCCGTCTAGACTGGTGACAGTGTTCTTGGGGACTGTCTCGAGATCCACTTAGCAAGTCGAAGCTCCTGACTTGTTTGAATGGGATCACGGAATAGCTCTGCATGCACTGCAGGGGAATGGGGCCTCATCTCGCCTCTAGGGGGAAGTCTCATGGTTTTTCTCGAGTTGCGGCGGGGACCTGGGGTATGTTCTCGACTTAAGGCGGGGATGGCCCTTCAAAACACGAGTTTCTTCGGTGACGTCAGGACTCCTGTCTAGTAACGAGGGACACCTCAGCAATTTCTTCGAGGCTTGGCAGGGCAAAAGGGACGCTTCTCGAGGTGAGCCAGGGCACCCAAGGACCTTTTCCAGTAGCAACAGGGATTTTGGGATTCCTATAAGTATTCAAGAGGAGTCAGGCATCGTCACCTTTTGAAGCAATGAACTCTGCATGCCTCTCGAGGTGTCAGGGGGATGTGAGGTATTCCGTCAAAATGAGGCAGGGACCTAGGGCTTCCTCTAAGGTCTCCACAGGGGATTCAGACATCCCTTCATGTTTTCAGATCGAAGACGAGCCTTTATTCAACCCACTGCAAGGAAATCTGGCCTCCGTTCACGTTAGGGCTTCTCCCTGTGTATTCCCCTTGAGGCAGCAAACTCGCGGTCGCTCCCACATACCTATTGCTGAGAGAAGCCTCCTCCTGAGGTGCTTCTGGAAAGTTGGCATACGTCTTGAGCCTAAGCCAGAGAATCAGCTCTCATCTCGAGATGATTTGGGGTACATGGAGCATTCCTCGAGTTGCTGTGCTGAAGTTGGTGTTCCTCTAGACTTGGGGCAGTGTTCTCGGGCATCTCTGGAGTTGCCTGAAGGAAGTCGAGCCACCGGTCGTGTTGAATGGGGAACGGGGAATGGCTCTGGAGTCAATGCAGGGGAATCGGGCCTCATCTCGAGTTGATTTGGAGCACATGGAGCAGCTTTGCGTTGCTGGGGTGACCTCAGGGTCCATCTAGACTGGTGACAGTGTTCTTGGGGACTGTCTCGAGATCCATTAAGCAAGTCGAAGCTCCTGACTTGTTTGAATGGGATCACGGAATAGCTCTGCATGCACTGCAGGGGAATGGGGCCTCATCTCGCCTCTAGGGGGAAGTCTCATGGTTTTTCTCGAGTTGCGGCGGGGCCCTGGGTTATGTTCTCGACTTACGGCGGGGATGGCCCTTCAAAACACGAGTTTCTTCCGTGACGTCAGGACTCCTGTCTAGTAACTAGGGACACCTCAGCAATCTCTTCGAGGCTTGGCAGGGCAAAAGGGACGCTTCTCGAGGTGAGCCAGGGCACCCAAGGACCCTTTCCAGTAGCCACAGGGATTTTGGGATTCCTATCAGTATTCAAGAGGAGTCAGGCATCGTCACCTTTTGAAGCAATGAACTCCGCGTGCCTCTCGAGGTGTCAGCGGGATGTGAGGATTCCGTCAAAATGAGGCAGGGACCTAGGGCTTTCTCTAAGGTCTCCACAGGGGATTCAGACATCCCTTCATGTTGTGAGATGAAAGACGAGCCTGTATTCAAGCCACTGCAAGGAAATCCGGCCTCCTTTCAAGTTAGGGCTTCTCGCTGTATATTCCCCTTGAGGCAGCAATCTCGGAGTCCCTTCCACATACCTTTTGCTGAGAGAAGCCTCCTCCTGAGGTGCTTCTGGAAAGTTGGCATACGTCTTGAGCCTAAGCCAGGGATTCAGCTCTCATCTCGAGACGATTTGGGGTACACAGAGCATTCCTCGAGTTGCTGTGCTGAAGTTGGTGTTCCTCTAGACTTGGGACAGTGTTCTCTGGGCATCTCTGGAGTTGCCTGAAGGAAGTCGAGCCACCGGTCCTGTTGAATGGGGAACGGGGAATGGCTCTGGAGTCATTGCAGGGGAATCGGGCCTCATCTCGAGTTGATTTGTGGCACCTGGAGCTGCTTTGCGTTGCTGGGGTGACCTCACGGTCCGTCTAGACTGGTGACAGTGTTCTTGGGGACTGCCTCGAGATCGATTAAGCAAGTCGAAGCTCCTGACTTGTTTGAATGGGATCACGGAATAGCTCTGCATGCACTGCAGGGGAATGGGGCCTCATCTCGACTCTAGGGGGAAGTCTCATGTTTTTCTCGAGTTGCGGCGGGGAACTGGGGTATGTTCTCAACTTACGGCGGGGAAGGCCCTTCAAAACACGAGTTTCTTCAGTGACGTCAGGACTCCTGTCTAGTAACGAGGGACACGTCAGCAAGCCCTTCGAGGCTTGGCAGGGCAAAAGGGACGCTTCTCAAGGTGAGCCAGGGCACCCAAGGACCCTTTCCAGTAGCCACAGGCATTTGGGGATTCCTAGAAGTATTCAAGAGGAGTCAGGCATCGTCACCTTTTGAAGCAATGAACTCCGCGTGCCTCTCGAGTTGTCAGCGGGATGTGAGGATTCCGTCAAAATGAGGCAGGGACCTAGGGCTTTCTCTAAGGTCTCCACAGGGGATTCAGACATCCCTTCATGTTGTGAGATGAAAGACGAGCCTGTATTCAAGCCACTGCAAGGAAATCCGGCCTCCTTTCAAGTTAGGGCTTCTCGCTGTATATTCCCCTTGAGGCAGCAAACTCGGAGTCCCTCCCACATACCTATTGCTGAGAGAAGCCTCCTCCTGAGGTGCTTCTGGAAAGTTGGCATACGTCTTGAGCCTAAGCCAGGGATTCAGCTCTCATCTCGAGACGATTTGTGGTACACAGAGCATTCCTCGAGTTGCTGTGCTGAAGGTGGTGTTCCTCTAGACTTGGGACAGTGTTCTCGGGGCATCTCTGGAGTTGCCTGAAGGAAACCGAGCCACCGGTCCTGTTGAATGGGGAACGGGGAATGGCTCTGGAGTCAATGCAGGGGAATCGGGCCTCATCTCGAGTTGATTTGGGGCACATGGAGCTGCTTTGCGTTCCTGGGGTGACCTCAGGGTCCGTCTAGACTGGTGACAGTGTTCTTGGGGACTGTCTTGAGATCCATTAAGCAAGTCGAAGCTCCTGACTTGTTTGAATGGGATCACGGAATAGCTCTGCATGCACTGCAGGGGAATGGGGCCTCATCTCGCCTCTAGGGGGAAGTCTCATGGTTTTTCTCGAGTTGCGGCGGGGACCTGGGGTATGTTCTCGACTTACGGCGGGGATGGCCCTTCAAAACACGAGTTTCTTCCGTGACGTCAGGACTCCTGTCTAGTAACGAGGGACACCGCAGCAATCACTTCGAGGCTTGGCAGGGCAAAAGGGACGCTTCTCGAGGTGAGCCAGGGCACCCAAGGACACTTTCCAGTAGCCACAGGGATTTTGAGATTCCTATCAGTATTCAAGAGGAGTCAGGCATCGTCACCTTTTCAAGCAGTGAACTCCGCGTGCCTCTCGAGGTGTCAGCGGGATGTGAGGATTCCGTCAAAATGAGGCAGGGACCTAGGGCTTTCTCTAAGGTCTCCACAGGGGATTCAGACATCCCTTCAGGTTGTGAGATGAAAGACGAGCCTGTATTCATGCCACTGCAAGGAAATCCGGCCTCCTTTCAAGTTAGGGCTTCTCGCTGTATATTCCCCTTGAGGCAGCAAACTCGGAGTCCCTCCCACATACCTATTGCTGAGAGAATCCTCCTCCTGAGGTGCTTCTGGAAAGTTGGCATACACCTTGAGCCTAAGCCAGGGATTCAGCTCTCATCTCGAGACGATTTGTGGTACACAGAGCATTCCTCGAGTTGCTGTGCTGAAGTTGGTGTTCCTCTAGACTTGGGACAGTGTTCTCTGGGCATCTCTGGAGTTGCCTGAAGGAAGTCGAGCCACCGGTCGTGTTGAATGGGGAACAGGGAATGGCTCTGGAGTCAATGCAGGGGAATCGGGCCTCATCTCGAGTTGATTTGGGGCACATGGAGCTGCTTTGCATTGCTGGGTGACCTCAGGGTCCGTCTAGACTGGTGACAGTGTTCTTGGGGACTGTCTCGAGATCCATTAAGCAAGTCGAAGCTCCTGACTTGTTTGAATGGGATCACGGAATAGCTCTGCATGCACTGCAGGGGAATGGGCCCTCATCTCGCCTCTAGGGGGAAGTCTCATGGTTTTTCTCGAGTTGCGGCGGGAACCTGAGGTATGTTCTCGACTTACGGGGGGGATGGCCCTTCAAAACACGAGTTTCTTCAGTGACGTCAGGACTCCTGTCTAGTAATGAGGGACACCTCAGGAATCTCTTCGAGGCTTGGCAGGGCAAAAGGGACGCCTCTCGAGGGGAGCCAGGGCACCCAAGGACCCTTTCCAGTAGCCACAGGGATTTTGGGATTCCTATAAGTATTCAAGTGGAATCAGGCATCGTCACCTTTTCAAGCAGTGATCTCTGCGTGCCTCTCGAGGTGTCAGGGGGATGTGAGGTATTCTGTCAAAATGAGGCAGGGACCTAGGGCTTCCTCTAAGGACTCCACAGGTGATTCAGACATCCCTTCATGTTGTCAGATCAAACACGAGCCTGTATTCAAGCCACTGCAAGGAAATCTGGCCTCCGTTCACATTAGGGCTTCTCCCTGTGTATTCCCCTTGAGGCAGCAAACTCGGGGTCCCTCCCACATACCTATTGCTGAGAGAAGCCTCCTCCTGAGGTGCTTCTGGAAAGGTGGCATACGTCTTGAGCCTAAGCCAGGGAATCAGCTTTCATCTCGAGATGATTTGTGGTACACGGAGCATTCCTCGAGTTGCTGTGCTGAAGTTGGTGTTCCTCTAGACTTTGGACAGTGTTCTCGCGGCATCTCTGGACTTGCCTGAAGGAAATCGAGCCACCGGTCGTGTTGAATGGGGAACGGGGAATGGCTCTGGAGTCAATGCAGGGGAATCGGGCCTCATCTCGAGTTGATTTGGGGCACATGGAGCAGCTTTGCGTTGCTGGGGTGACCTCAGGGTCCATCTAGACAGGTGACAGTGTTCTTGTGGACTGTCTCGAGATCCATTAAGCAAGTTGAAGCTCCTGACTTGTTTGAATGGGATCACGGAATAGCTCTGCATGCACTGCAGGGGAATGGGGCCTCATCTCGCCTCTAGGGGGAAGTCTCATGGTTTTTCTCGAGTTGCGGCGGGGACCTGGGGTATGTTCTCGACTTACGGCGGGGATGGCCCTTCAAAACACGAGTTTCTTCAGTGACGTCAGGACTCCTGTCTAGTAACGAGGGACACCTCAGCAATCTCTTCGAGGCTTGGCAGGGCAAAAGGGACCCTTATCGAGGTGAGGCAGGGCACACAAGGCCCCTTTCCAGGACCCACAGGGATTTTGGGATTCCTATCAGTATTCAAGAGGAGTCAGGCATCGTCACCTTTTGAAGCAATGAACTCCGCGTGCCTCTCGAGGTGTCAGCGGGATGTGAGGCATTCCGTCAAAATGAGGCAGGGACCTAGGGCTTTCTCTAAGGTCTCCACAGGGGATTCAGACATCCCTTCATGTTGTGAGATGAAAGACGAGCCTGTATTCAAGCTACTGCAAGGAAATCCGGGCTCCTTTCACATTAGGGCTTCTCGCTGTATATTCCCCTTGAGGCAGCAAACTCGGAGTCCCTCCCACATACCTATTGCTGAGAAGCCTCCTCCTGAGGTGCTTCTGGAAAGTTGGCATACGTCTTGAGCCTAAGCCAGGGAATCAGCTCTCATCTCGAGACGATTTGGGGTACACAGAGCATTCCTCGAGTTGCTGAGCTGAAGTTGGTGTTCCTCTAGACTTGGGACAGTGTTCTCGGGGCATCTCTGGAGTTGACTGAAGGAAGGCGAGCCTCCGTTCGTGTTGAACGGGGAACGGGGAATGGCTCTGGAGTCAATGCAGGGGAATCGGGCCTCATCTCGAGTTGATGTGGGGCACATGGAGCTGCTTTGCATTGCTGCGGTGACCTCAGGGTCCGTCTAGACTGGTGACAGTGTTCTTGGGGACTGTCTCGAGATCCATTAAGCAAGTCGAAGCTCCTGACTTGTTTGAATGGGATCACGGAATAGCTCTGCATGCACTGCAGGGGAATGGGGCCCCATCACGCCTCTAGGGGGAAGTCTCACGGTTTTTCTCGAGTTGCGGCGGGGACCTGGGGTATGTTCTCGACTTACGGCGGGGATGGCCCTTCAAAACACGAGTTTCTCCAGTGACGTCAGGACTCCTGCCTAGTAACGAGGGACACCTCAGCAATCTCTTCGAGGCTTGGCAGGGCAAAAGGGACGCTTCTCGAGGTGAGGCAGGGCACCCAAGGACCCTTTCCAGTAGCCACAGGGATTTTGGGATTCCTATCAGTATTCAAGAGGAGTCAGGCATCGTCACCTTTAGAAGCATTGAACTCCGCGTGCCTCTCGAGGTGTCAGCGGGATGTGAGGATTCCGTCAAAATGAGGCAGGGACCTAGGTCTTCCTCTAAGGTCTCCACAGCGGATTCAGACATCCCTTCATGTTGTGAGATGAAAGACGAGCCTGTATTCAAGCCACTGCAAGGAAATCCGGCCTGCTTTCAAGTTAGGGCTTCTCGCTGTATATTCCCCTTGAGGCAGCAAACTCGGGGTCCCTCCCACATACCTATTGCTGAGAGAAGCCTCCTCCTGAGGTGCTTCTGGAAAGTTGGCATACATCCTGAGCCTAAGCCAGGGAATCAGCTCTCATCTCGAGACGATTTGGGGTACACAGAGCATTCCTCGAGTTGCTGTGCTGAAGTTGGTGGTCCTCTAGACTTGGGACAGTGTTCTCGGGGCATCTCTGGAGTTGCCTGAAGGAAGTCGAGCCACCGGTCGTGTTGAATGGGGAACGGGGAATGGCTCTGGAGTCAATGCGGCGGAATACGGCCTCATCTCGAGTTGATTTGGGGCACATGGAGCTGCTTTGCATTGCTGAGTGACCTTATGGTCCGTCTAGACTGGTGACAGTGTTCTTGGGGACTGTCTCGAGATCCATTAAGCAAGTCGAAGCTCCTGACTTGTTTGAATGGGATCACGGAATAGCTCTGCATGCACTGCAGGGGAATGGGGCCTCATCTCGCCTCTAGGGGGAAGTCTCACGGTTTTTCTCGAGTTGCGGCGGGGCCCTGGGGTATGTTCTCAACTTAGCGGGGATGGCACTTCAAAACACGAGTTTCTCCAGTGACGTCAGGACTCCTGCCTAGTAACGAGGGACACCTCAGGAATCTCTTCGAGGCTTGGCAGGGCAAAAGGGACGCTTCTCGAGGTGAGGCCGGGCACCCAAGGACCCTTTCCAGTAACCACAGGGATTTTGGGATTCCTATCAGTATTCAAGAGGAGTCAGGCATCGTCACCTTTTGAAGCAATGAACTCCGCGTGCCTCCCCAGGTGTCAGCGGGATGTGAGGCATTCAGTCAAAATGAGGCAGGGACCTAGGGCTTTCTCTAAGGTCTCCACAGGGGATTCAGACATCCCTTCATGTTGTAACATCAAAGACGAGCCTGTATTCAAGCCACTGCAAGGAAATCCGGCCTCCTTTCAAGTTAGGGCTTCTCGCTGTATATTCCCCTTGAGGCAGCAAACTCGGGGTCCCTCCCACATACCTATTGCTGAGAGAAGCCTCCTCCTGAGGTGCTTCTGGGAAGTTGGCATACGTCTTGAGCCTAAGCGAAGGAATCAGCTCTCATCTCGAGATGATTTGGGGTACACGGAGCATTCCTCGAGTTGCTGCGCTGAGGTTGGTGTTCCTCTAGACTTGGGACAGTGTTCTCGGGGCATCTCTGGAGTTGCCTGAAGGAAGGCGAGCCACCGGTCGTGTTGAACGGGGAACGGGGAATGGCTCTGGAATCAATGCAGGGGAATCGGGCCTCATCTCGAGTTGATTTGTGGCACATGGAGCTGCTTTGCGTTGCTGGGGTGACCTCAGGGTCCGTCTAGACTGGTGACACTGTTCTTGGAGACTGTCTCGAGATACATTAAGCAAGTCGAAGCTCCTGACTTGTTTGAATGGGATCACGGAATAGCTCTGCATGTACTGCAGGGGAATGGGGCCTCATCTCGCCTCTAGTGGGAAGTCTCATGGTTTTTCTCGAGTTGCGGCGGGGACCTGGGGTATGTTCTCGACTTACGGCGGGGATGGCCCTTCAAAACACGAGTTTCTTCAGTGAAGTCAGGACTCCTGATTAGTAACGAGGGACACCTCAGCAATCTCTTCGAGGCTTGGCAGGGCAAAAGGGACGCTTCTCGAGGTGAGCCAGGGCACCCAAGGACCCTTTCCAGTAGCCACAGGGATTTTGGGATTCCTATCAGTATTCAAGAGGAGTCAGGCATCGTCACCTTTTGAAGCAATGAACTCCGCGTGCCTCTCGAGGTGTCAGCGGGATGTGAGGATTCCGTCAAAATGAGGCAGGGACCTAGGGCTTCCTCTACGGTCTCCACAGGGGATTCAGACATCCCTTCATGTTGTGAGATGAAAGACGAGCCTGTATTCAAGCCACTGCAAGGAAATCCGGCCTCCTTTCAAGTTAGGGCTTCTCGCTGTATATTCCCCTTGAGGCAGCAAGCTCGGGGTCCCTCCCACATACCTATTGCTGAGAGAAGCCTCCTCCTGAGGTGCTTCTGGAAAGTTGGCATACGTGTTGAGCCTAAGCCGGGGAATCAGCTCTCATCTCGAGACGATTTGGGGTACACAGCGCATTCCTCGAGTAGCTGTGCTTCAGTTGGTGGTCCTCTAGACTTGGGACAGTGTTCTCGGGGCATCTCTGGAGTTGCCAGAAGGAACTCGAGCCACCGGTCGTGTTGAATGGGGAACGGGGAATGGCTCTGGAGTCAATGCAGGGGAATCCGGCCTCATCTCGAGTTGATTTGGGGCACATGGAGCTGCTTTGCATTGCTGGGTGACCTCAGGGTCCGTCTAGACTGGTGACAGTGTTCTTGGGGACTGTCTCGAGATCCATTAAGCAAGTCGAAGCTCCTGACTTGTTTGAATGGGATCACGGAATAGCTCTGCATGCACTGCAGGGGAATGGGGCCTCATCTCGCCTCTAGGGGGGAGTCTCATGGTTTTTCTCGAGTTGCGGCTGGAACCTGGGGTATGTTCTCGACTTACGGCGGGGATGGCCCTTCAAAACACGAGTTTCTTCAGTGACGTCAGGACTCCTGTCTAGTAACGAGGGACACCTCAGGAATCTCTTCGAGGCTTGGCAGGGCAAAAGGGACGCTTCTCGAGGTGAGGCAGGGCACCCATGGACCCTTTCCAGGAGCCACAGGGATTTTGGGATTCCTATCAGTATTCAAGAGGAGTCAGGCATCGTCACCTTTTCAAGCAGTGATCTCTGCGTGCCTCTCGAGGTGTCAGGGGGATGTGAGGTATTCCGTCAAAATGAGGCAGGGACCTAGGGCTTCCTCTAAGGACTAAACAGGGGATTCAGACATCCCTTCATGTTGTCAGATCAAAGACGAGCCTGTATTCAAGCCACTGCAAGGAAATCTGGCCTCCGTTCACATTAGGGCTTCTCCCTGTGTATTCCCCTTGAGGCAGCAAACTCGGGGTCCCTCCCACATACCTATTGCTGAGAGAAGCCTCCTCCTGAGGTGCTTCTGGAAAGGTGGCATACGTCTTGAGCCTAAGCCAGGGAATCAGCTCTCATCTCGAGATGATTTGGGGTACACGGAGCATTCCTCGAGTTGCTGTGCTGAAGTTGGTGTTCCTCTAGACTTGGGACAGTGTTCTCTGGGCATCTCTGGAGTTGCCTGAAGGAAGTCGAGCCACCGGTCGTGTTGAATGGGGAACGGGGAATGGCTCTGGAGTCAATGCAGGGGAATCGGGCCTCATCTCGAGTTGATTTGGGGCACATGGAGCAGCTTTGCGTTGCTGGGGTGACCTCAGGGTCCATCTAGACTGGTGACAGTGTTCTTGGGGACTGTCTCGAGATCCATTAAGCAAGTTGAAAGCTCCTGACTTGTTTGAATGGGATAACGGAATAGCTCTGCATGCACTGCAGGGGAATGGGGCCTCATTTCGCCTCTAGGGGGAAGTCTCACGGTTTTTCTCGAGTTGCGGCGGGGACCTGGGGTATGTTCTCGACTTACGGCGGGGATGGCCCTTCAAAACACGAGTTTCTTCAGTGTCGTCAGGACTCCTGTCTAGTAACGAGGGACACCTCAGGAATCTCTTCGAGGCTTGGCAGGGCAAAAGGGACGCTTATCGAGGTGAGGCAGGGCACCCAAGGACCCTTTCCAGGAGCCACAGGGATTTTGGGATTCCTATCAGTATTCAAGAGGAGTCAGGCATCGTCACCTTTTGAAGCAATGAACTCCGCGTGCCTCTCGAGGTGTCAGCGGGATGTGAGGATTCCGTCAAAATGAGGCAGGGACCTAGGGCTTTCTCTAAGGTCTCCACAGGGGATTCAGACATCCCTTCAGGTTGTGAGATGAAAGACGAACCTGTATTCATGCCACTGCAAGGAAATCCGGCCTCCTTTCAAGTTAGGGCTTCTCGCTGTATATTCCCCTTGAGGCAGCAAACTCGGAGTCCCTCCCACATACCTATTGCTGAGAATCCTCCTCCTGAGGTGCTTCTGGAAAGTTGGCATACGCCTTGAGCCTAAGCCAGGGATTCAGCTCTCATCTCGAGACGATTTGGGGTACACAGAGCATTCCTCGAGTTGCTGTGCTGAAGTTGGTGTTCCTCTAGACTTGGGACAGTGTTCTCTGGGCATCTCTGGAGTTGCCTGAAGGAAGTCGAGCCACCGGTCGTGTTGAATGGGGAACAGGGAATGGCTCTGGAGTCAATGCAGGGGAATCCGGCCTCATCTCGAGTTGATTTGGGGCACATGGAGCTGCTTTGCATTGCTGGGTGACCTCAGGGTCCGTCTAGACTGGTGACAGTGTTCTTGGGGACTGTCTCGAGATCCATTAAGCAAGTCGAAGCTCCTGACTTGTTTGAATGGGATCACGGAATAGCTCTGCATGCACTGCAGGGGAATGGGGCCTCATCTCGCCTCTAGGGGGAAGTCTCATGGTTTTTCTCGAGTTGCGGCAGGAACCAGGGGTATGTTCTCGACTTACGGAGGGGATGGCCCTTCAAAACACGAGTTTCTTCAGTGACGTCAGGACTCCTGTCTAGTAATGAGGGACACCTCAGGAATCTCTTCGAGGCTTGGCAGGGCAAAAGGGACGCCTCTCGAGGTGAGCCAGGGCACCCAAGGACCCTTTCCAGTAGCCACAGGGATTTTGGGATTCCTATAAGTATTCAAGTGGAATCAGGCATCGTCACCTTTTCAAGCAGTGATCTCTGCGTGCCTCTCGAGGTGTCAGGGGGATGTGAGGTATTCCGTCAAAATGAGGCAGGGACCTAGGGCTTCCTCTAAGGACTCCACAGAGGATTCAGAGATCCCTTCATGTTGTCAGATCAAACACGAGCCTGTATTCAAGCCACTGCAAGGAAATCTGGCCTCCGTTCACATTAGGGCTTCTCCCTGTGTATTCCCCTTGAGGCAGCAAATTCGGGGTCCCTCCCACATACCTATTGCTGAGAGAAGCCTCCTCCTGAGGTGCTTCTGGAAAGTTGGCATACGTCTTGAGCCTAAGCCAGGGAATCTGCTCTCATCTCGAGACGATTTGGGGTACACAGAGCATTCCTCGAGTTGCTGTGCTGAAGTTGGTGTTCCTCTAGACTTGGGACAGTGTTCTCGGGGCATCTCTGGACTTGCCTGAAGGAAGGCGAGCCTCCGTTCGTGGTGAACGGGGAACGGGGAATGGCTCTGGAGTCAATGCAGGGGAATCGGGCCTCATCTTGAGTTGATGTGGGGCATATGGAGCTGCTTTGCGTTGCTGCGGTGACCTCAGGGTCCGTCTAGATTGGTGACAGTGATCTTGGGGACTGTCTCGAGATCCATTAAGCAAGTCGAAGCTCCTGACTTGTTTGAATGGGATCACGGAATATCTCTGCATGCACTGCAGGGGAATGGGGCCTCATCTCGCCTCTAGGGGGAGGTCTCATGGTTTTTCTCGAGTTGCGGCGGGGACCTGGGGTATGTTCTCGACTTACGGCGGGGATGGCCCTTCAAAACACGAGTTTCTTCAGTGACGTCAGGACTCCTGTCTAGTAACGAGGGACACCTCAGCAATCTCTTCGAGGCTTGGCAGGGCAAAAGGGAAGCTTCTCGAGGTGAGCCAGGGCACCCAAGGACCCTTTCCAGTAGCCACAGGGATTTTGGGATTCCTATAAGTATTCAAGAGGAGTCAGGCATCGTCACCTTTTGAAGCAATGAACTCCGCGTGCCTCTCGAGGTGTCAGCGGGATGTGAGGCATTCCGTCAAAATGAGGCAGGGACCTAGGGCTTTCTCTAAGGTCTCCACAATGGATTCAGACATCCCTTCATGTTGTGAGATGAAAGACAAGCCTGTATTCAAGCTACTGCAAGGAAATCCGGCCTCCTTTCAAGTTAGGGCTTCTCGCTGTATATTCCCCTTGAGGCAGCAAACTCGGAGTCCCTCCCACATACCTATTGCTGAGAAGCCTCCTCCTGAGGTGCTTCTGGAAAGTTGGCATACGTCTTGAGCCTAAGCCAGGGAATCAGCTCTCATCTCAAGACGATTTGGGGTACACAGAGCATTCCTCGAGTTGCTGAGCTGAAGTTGGTGTTCCTCTAGACTTGGGACAGTGTTCTCGGGGCATCTCTGGAGTTGCCTGAAGGAAGGCGAGCCTCCGTTCGTGTTGAACGGGGAACGGGGAATGGCTCTGGAGTCAATGCAGGGGAATCGGGCCTCATCTCGAGTTGATGTGGGGCACATGGAGCTGCTTTGCATTTCTGCGGTGACCTCAAGGTCCGTCTAGACTGGTGACAGTGTTCTTGGGGACTGTCTCGAGATCCATTAAGCAAGTCGAAGCTCCTGACTTGTTTGAATGGGATCACGGAATAGCTCTGCATGCACTGCAGGGGAATGGGGCCCCATCTCGCCTCTAGGGGGAAGTCTCACGGTTTTTCTCGAGTTGCGGCGGGGCCCTGGGGTATGTTCTCGACTTAACAGGGATGGCACTTCAAAACACGAGTTTCTCCAGTGACGTCAGGACTCCTGCCTAGTAACGAGGGACACCTCAGGAATCTCTTCGAGGCTTGGCAGGGCAAAAGGGACGCTTCTCGAGGTGAGGCAGGGCACCCAAGGACCCTTTCCAGTAGCCACAGGGATTTTGGGATTCCTATCAGTATTCAAGAGGAGTCAGGCATCGTCACCTTTTGAAGCAATGAACTCCGCGTGCCTCTCGAGGTGTCAGCGGGATGTGAGGCATTCCGTCAAAATGAGGCAGGGACCTAGGGCTTTCTCTAAGGTCTCCACAGGGGATTCAGACATCCCTTCATGTTGTGAGATGAAAGACGAGCCTGTATTCAAGCCACTGCAAGGAAATCCGGCCTCCTTTCAAGTTAGGGCTTCTCGCTGTATATTCCCCTTGAGGCAGCAAACTCGGGGTCCCTCCCACATACCTATTGCTGAGAGAAGCCTCCTCCTGAGGTGCTTCTGGAAAGTTGGCATACGTGTTGAGCCTAAGCCGGGGAATCAGCTCTCATCTCGAGACGATTTGGGGTACACAGCGCATTCCTCGAGTAGCTGTGCTTCAGTTGGTGGTCCTCTAGACTTGGGACAGTGTTCTCGGGGCATCTCTGGAGTTGCCTGAAGGAAGGCGAGCCTCCGTTCGTGTTGAACGGGGAACGGGGAATGGCTCTGGAGTCAATGCAGGGGAATCGGGCCTCATCTCGAGTTGATGTGGGGCACATGGAGCTGCTTTGCATTTCTGCGGTGACCTCAAGGTCCGTCTAGACTGGTGACAGTGTTCTTGGGGACTGTCTCGAGATCCATTAAGCAAGTCGAAGCTCCTGACTTGTTTGAATGGGATCACGGAATAGCTCTGCATGCACTGCAGGGGAATGGGGCCCCATCTCGCCTCTAGGGGGAAGTCTCACGGTTTTTCTCGAGTTGCGGCGGGGCCCTGGGGTATGTTCTCGACTTAACAGGGATGGCACTTCAAAACACGAGTTTCTCCAGTGACGTCAGGACTCCTGCCTAGTAACGAGGGACACCTCAGGAATCTCTTCGAGGCTTGGCAGGGCAAAAGGGACGCTTCTCGAGGTGAGGCAGGGCACCCAAGGACCCTTTCCAGTAGCCACAGGGATTTTGGGATTCCTATCAGTATTCAAGAGGAGTCAGGCATCGTCACCTTTTGAAGCAATGAACTCCGCGTGCCTCTCGAGGTGTCAGCGGGATGTGAGGATTCCGTCAAAATGAGGCAGGGACCTAGGGCTTCCTCTAAGGTCTCCACAGGGGATTCAGACATCCCTTCATGTTGTGAGATGAAAGACGAGCCTGTATTCAAGCCACTGCAAGGAAATCCGGCCTCCTTTCAAGTTAGGGCTTCTCGCTGTATATTCCCCTTGAGGCAGCAAACTCGGGGTCCCTCCCACATACCTATTGCTGAGAGAAGCCTCCTCCTGAGGTGCTTCTGGAAAGTTGGCATACGTGTTGAGCCTAAGCCGGGGAATCAGCTCTCATCTCGAGACGATTTGGGGTACACAGCGCATTCCTCGAGTAGCTGTGCTTCAGTTGGTGGTCCTCTAGACTTGGGACAGTGTTCTCGGGGCATCTCTGGAGTTGCCAGAAGGAAGTCGAGCCACCGGTCGTGTTGAATGGGGAACGGGGAATGGCTCTGGAGTCAATGCAGGGGAATCCGGCCTCATCTCGAGTTGATTTGGGGCACATGGAGCTGCTTTGCATTGCTGGGTGACCTCAGGGTCCGTCTAGACTGGTGACAGTGTTCTTGGGGACTGTCTCGAGATCCATTAAGCAAGTCGAAGCTCCTGACTTGTTTGAATGGGATCACGGAATAGCTCTGCATGCACTGCAGGGGAATGGGGCCTCATCTCGCCTCTAGGGGGAAGTCTCATGGTTTTTCTCGAGTTGCGGCTGGAACCTGGGGTATGTTCTCGACTTACGGCGGGGATGGCCCTTCAAAACACGAGTTTCTTCAGTGACGTCAGGACTCCTGTTTAGTAATGAGGGACACCTCAGGAATCTCTTCGAGGCTTGGCAGGGCAAAAGGGACGCCTCTCGAGGTGAGCCAGGGCACCCAAGGACCCTTTCCAGTAGCCACAGGGATTTTGGGATTCCTATCAGTATTCAAGAGGAGTCAGGCATCGTCACCTTTTCAAGCAGTGATCTCTGCGTGCCTCAAGAGGTGTCAGGGGGATGTGAGGTATTCCGTCAAAATGAGGCAGGGACCTAGGGCTTCCTCTAAGGACTCCACAGGGGATTCAGACATCCCTTCATGTTGTCAGATCAAAGACGAGCCTGTATTCAAGCCACTGCAAGGAAATCTGGCCTCCGTTCACATTAGGGCTTCTCCCTGTGTATTCCCCTTGAGGCAGCAAACTCGGAGTCCCTCCCACATACCTATTGCTGAGAGAATCCTCCTCCTGAGGTGCTTCTGGAAAGTTGGCATACGCCTTGAGCCTAAGCCAGGGATTCAGCTCTCATCTCGAGACGATTTGGGGTACACAGAGCATTCCTCGAGTTGCTGTGCTGAAGTTGGTGTTCCTCTAGACTTGGGACAGTGTTCCTGGGCATCTCTGGAGTTGCCTGAAGGAAGTCGAGCCACCGGTCGTGTTGAATGGGGAACAGGGAATGGCTCTGGAGTCAATGCAGTGGAATCCGGCCTCATCTCGAGTTGATTGGGGGCACATGGAGCTGCTTTGCATTGCTGGGTGACCTCAGGGTCCGTCTAGACTGGTGACAGTGTTCTTGGGGACTGTCTCGAGATCCATTAAGCAAGTCGAAGCTCCTGACTTGTTTGAATGGGATCACGGAATAGCTCTGCATGCACTGCAGGGGAATGGGGCCTCATCTCGCCTCTAGGGGGATGTCTCATGGTTTTTCTCGAGTTGCGGCGGGAACCTGGGGTATGTTCTCGACTTACGGCGGGGATGGCCCTTCAAAACACGAGTTTCTTCAGTGACGTCAGGACTCCTGTCTAGTAACGAGGGACACCTCAGCAATCTCTTCGAGGCTTGGCAGGGCAAACGGGACGCTTCTCGAGGTGAGCCAGGGCACCCAAGGACCCTTTCCAGTAGCCACAGGGATTTTGGGATTCCTATCATTATTCAAGAAGAGTCAGGCATCGTCACCTTTTGAAGCAATGAACTCCGCGTGCCTCTCGAGGTGTCAGCGGGATGTGAGGCATTCCGTCAAAATGAGGCAGGGACCTAGGGCTTTCTCTAAGGTCTCCAAAGGGGATTCAGACATCCCTTCATGTTGTGAGATGAAAGACAAGCCTGTATTCAAGCTACTGCAAGGAAATCCGGCCTCCTTTCAAGTTAGGGCTTCTCGATGTATATTCCCCTTGAGGCAGCAAACTCGGAGTCCCTCCCACATACCTATTGCTGAGAAGCCTCCTCCTCAGGTGCTTCTGGGAAGTTGGCATACGTCTTGAGCCTAAGCCAGGGAATCAGCTCTCATCTCGAGACGATTTGGGGTACACAGAGCATTCCTCGAGTTGCTGAGCTGAAGTTGGTGTTCCTCTAGACTTAGGACAGTGTTCTCGGGGCATCTCTGGAGTTGCCTGAAGGAAGGCGAGCCTCCGTTCATGTTGAACGGGGAACGGGGAATGGCTCTGGAGTCAATGCAGGGGAATCGGGCCTCATCTCGAGTTGATGTGGGGCACATGGAGCTGCTTTGCATTGCTGCGGTGACCTCAGGGTCCGTCTAGACTGGTGACAGTGTTCTTGGGGACTGTCTCGAGATCCATTAAGCAAGTCGAAGGTTCTGACTTGTTTGAATGGGATCACGGAATAGCTCTGCATGCACTGCAGGGGAATGGGGCCCCATCTCGCCTCTAGGGGGAAGTCTCACGGTTTTTCTCGAGTTGCGGCGGGGACCTGGGGTATGTTCTCGACTTACGGCGGGGATGGCCCTTCAAAACACGAGTTTCTCCAGTGACGTCAGGACTCCTGCCTAGTAACGAGGGACACCTCAGCAATCTCTTCGAGGCTTGGCAGGGCAAAAGGGACGCTTCTCGAGGTGAGGCAGGGCACCCAAGGACCCTTTCCAGTAGCCACAGGGATTTTGGGATTCCTATCAGTATTCAAGAGGAGTCAGGCATCGTCACCTTTTGAAGCATTGAACTCCGCGTGCCTCTCGAGGTGTCAGCGGGATGTGAGGATTCCGTCAAAATGAGGCAGGGACCTAGGGCTTCCTCTAAGGTCTCCACAGCGGATTCAGACATCCCTTCATGTTGTGAGATGAAAGACGAGCCTGTATTCAAGCCACTGCAAGGAAATCCGGATTGCTTTCAAGTTAGGGCTTCTCGCTGTATATTCCCCTTGAGGCAGCAAACTCGTGGTCCCTCCCACATACCTATTGCTGAGAGAAGCCTCCTCCTGAGGTGCTTCTGGAAAGTTGACATACGTCTTGAGCCTAAGCCAGGGAATCAGCTCTCATCTCGAGACGATTTGGGGTACACACAGCATTCCTCGAGTTGCTGTGCTGAAGTTGGTGGTCCTCTAGACTTGGCACAGTGTTCTCGGGGCATCTCTGGAGTTGCCTGAAGGAAGTCGAGCCACCGGTCGTGTTGAATGGGGAACGGGGAATGGCTCTGGAGTCAATGCGGCGGAATACGGCCTCATCTCGAGTTGATTTGGGGCACATGGAGCTGCTTTGCATTGCTGAGTGACCTTATGGTCCGTCTAGACTGGTGACAGTGTTCTTGGGGACTGTCTCGAGATCCATTAAGCAAGTCGAAGCTCCTGACTTGTTTGAATGGGATCACGGAATAGCTCTGCATGCACTGCAGGGGAATGGGGCCTCATCTCGCCTCTAGGGGGAAGTCTCACGGTTTTTCTCGAGTTGCGGCGGGGCCCTGGGGTATGTTCTCGACTTAGCGGGGATGGCACTTCAAAACACGAGTTTCTCCAGTGACGTCAGGACTCCTGCCTAGTAACGAGGGACACCTCAGCAATCTCTTCGAGGCTTGGCAGGGCAAAAGGGACGCTTCTCGAGGTGAGGCCGGGCACCCAAGGACCCTTTCCAGTAGCCACAGGGATTTTGGGATTCCTATCAGTATTCAAGAGGAGTCAGGCATCGTCACCTTTTGAAGCAATGAACTCCGCGTGCCTCTCCAGGTGTCAGCGGGATGTGAGGCATTCAGTCAAAATGAGGCAGGGACCTAGGGCTTTCTCTAAGGTCTCCACAGGGGATTCAGACATCCCTTCATGTTGTGAGATGAAAGACGAGCCTGTATTCAAGCCACTGCAAGGAAATCCGGCCTCCTTTCAAGTTAGGGCTTCTCGCTGTATATTCCCCTTGAGGCAGCAAACTCGGGGTCCCTCCCACATACCTATTGCTGAGAGAAGCCTCCTCCTGAGGTGCTTCTGGAAAGTTGGCATACGTCTTGAGCCTAAGCGAAGGAATCAGCTCTCATCTCGAGATGATTTGGGGTACACGGAGCATTCCTCGAGTTGCTGCGCTGAGGTTGGTGTTCCTCTAGACTTGGGACAGTGTTCTCGGGGCATCTCTGGAGTTGCCTGAAGGAAGGCGAGCCACCGGTCGTGTTGAACGGGGAACGGGGAATGGCTCTGGAATCAATGCAGGGGAATCGGGCCTCATCTCGAGTTGATTTGTGGCACATGGAGCTGCTTTGCGTTGCTGGGGTGACCTCAGGGTCCGTCTAGACTGGTGACAGTGTTCTTGGAGACTCTCTCGAGATCCATTAAGCAAGTCGAAGCTCCTGACTTGTTTGAATGGGATCACGGAATAGCTCTGCATGCACTGCAGGGGAATGGGGCCTCATCTCGCCTCTAGGGGGAAGTCTCATGGTTTTTCTCGAGTTGCGGCGGGGACCTGGGGTATGTTCTCGACTTACGGCGGGGATGGCCCTTCAAAACACGAGTTTCTTCAGTGACGTCAGGACTCCTGTCTAGTAACGAGGGACATCTCAGCAATCTCTTCGAGGCTTGGCAGGGCAAAAGGGACACTTCTCGAGGTGAGCCAGGGCACCCAAGGACCCTTTCCAGTAGCCACAGGGATTTTGGGATTCCTATCAGTATTCAAGAGGAGTCAGGCATCGTCACCTTTTGAAGCAATGAACTCCGCGTGCCTCTCGAAGTGTCAGAGGGATGTGAGGATTCCGTCAAAATGAGGCAGGGACCTAGGGCTTGCTCTAAGGTCTCCACAGGGGATTCAGACATCCCTTCATGTTGTGAGATGAAAGACGAGCCTGTCTTCAAGCCACTGCAAGGAAATCCGGCCTCCTTTCAAGTTAGGGCTTCTCGCTGTATATTCCCCTTGAGGCAGCAAACTCGGGGTCCCTCCCACATACCTATTGCTGAGAGAAGCCTCCTCCTGAGGTGCTTCTGGAAAGTTGGCATAAGTCTTGAGCCTAAGCCAGGGAATCAGCTCTCATCTCGAGACGATTTGGGGTACACAGAGCATTCCTCGAGTTGCTGTGCTGAAGTTGGTGGTCCTCTAGACTTGGGACAGTGTTCTCGGGGCATCTCTGGAGTTGCCTGAAGGAAGTCGAGCCACGGTCGTGTTGAATGGGGAACAGGGAATGGCTCTGGAGTCAATGCAGGGGAATCCGGCCTCATCTCGAGTTGATTTGGGGCACATGGAGCTGCTTTGCATTGCTGGGTGACATCAGGGTCCGTCTAGACTGGTGACAGTGTTCTTGGGGTCTGTCTCGAGATCCATTAAGCAAGTCGAAGCTCCTGACTTGTTTGAATGGGATCACGGAATAGCTCTGCATGCACTGCAGGGGAATGGGGCCTCATCTCGCCTCTAGGGGGAAGTCTCACGGTTTTTCTCGAGTTGCGGCGGGGACCTGGGGTATGTTCTCGACTTACGGCGGGGATGGCCCTTCAAAACACGAGTTTCTTCCGTGACGTCAGGACTCCTGTCTAGTAACGAGGGACACCTCAGCAATCTCTTCGAGGCTTGGCAGGGCAAAAGGGACGCTTCTCGAGGTGAGCTAGTGCACCCAAGGACCCTTTCCAGTAGCCACAGGGATTTTGGGATTCCTATAAGTATTCAAGAGGAGTCAGGCATCGTCACCTTTTGAAGCAATGAACTCCGCGTGCCTCTCGAGGTGTCAGCGGGATGTGAGGATTCCGTCAAAATGAGGCAGGGACCTAGGGCTACCTCTAAGGTCTCCACAGGGGATTCAGACATCCCTTCATGTTGTGAGATGAAAGACGAGCCTGTATTCAGGCCACTGCAAGGAAATCCGGCCTCCTTTCAAGTTAGGGCTTCTCGCTGTATATTCCCCTTGAGGCAGCAAACTCGGGGTCCCTCCCACATACCTATTGCTGAGAGAAGCCTCCTCCTGAGGTGCTTCTGGAAAGTTGGCATACGTGTTGAGACTAAGCCGGGGAATCAGCTCTCATCTCGAGACGATTTGGAGTACACAGCGCATTCCTCGAGTAGCTGTGCTTCAGTTGGTGGTCCTCTAGACTTGGGACAGTGTTCTCAGGGCATCTCTGGAGTTGCCAGAAGGAAGTCGAGCCACCGGTCGTGTTGAATGGGGAACGGGGAATGGCTCTGGAGTCAATGCAGGGGAATGGGGCCTCATCTCGAGTTGATTTGGGGCACATGGAGCTGCTTTGCATTGCTGAGGTGACCTCAGGGTCCGTCTAGACTGGTGACAGTGTTCTTGGGGACTGTCTCGAGATCCATTAAGCAAGTCGAAGCTCCTGACTTGTTTGAATGGGATCACGAAATAGCTCTGCATGCACTGCAGGGGAATGGGGCCTCATCTCGCCTCTAGGGGGAAGTCTCATGGTTTTTCTCGAGTTGCGGCGGGAACCTGGGGTATGTTCTCGACTTACGGCGGGGATGGCCCTTCAAAACACGAGTTTCTTCAGTGACGTCAGGACTCCTGTCTAGTAATGAGGGACACCTCAGGAATCTCTTCGAGGCTTGGCAGGGCAAAAGGGACGCCTCTCGAGGTGAGCCAGGGCACCCAAGGACCCTTTCCAGTAGCCACAGGGATTTTGGGATTCCTATAAGTATTCAAGAGGAGTCAGGCATCGTCACCTTTTCAAGCAGTGATCTCTGCGTGCCTCTCGAGGTGTCAGGGGGATGTGAGGTATTCCGTCAAAATGAGGCAGGGACCTAGGGCTTCCTCTAAGGACTCCACAGGGGATTCAGACATCCCTTCATGTTGTCAGATCAAAGACGAGCCTGTATTCAAGCCACTGCAAGGAAATCTGGCCTCTGTTCACATTAGGGCTTCTCCCTGTGTATTCCCCTTGAGGCAGCAAACTCGGGGTCCCTCCCACATACCTATTGCTGAGAGAAGCCTCCTCCTGAGGTGCTTCTGGAAAGTTGGCATACGTCTTGAGACTAAGCCAGGGAATCAGCTCTCATCTCGAGACGATTTGGGGTACACAGAGCATTCCTCGAGTTGCTGTGCTGAAGTTGGTGTTCCTCTAGACTTGGGACAGTGTTCTCTGGGCATCTCTGGAGTTGCCTGAAGGAAGTCGAGCCACCGGTCGTGTTGAATGGGGAACGGGGAATGGCTCTGGAGTCAATGCAGGGGAATCGGGCCTCATCTCGAGTTGATTTGTGGCACCTGGAGCTGCTTTGCGTTGCTGGGGTGACCTCAGGGTCCGTCTAGACTGGTGACAGTGTTCTTGGGGACTGCCTCGAGATCCATTAAGCAAGTCGAAGCTCCTGACTTGTTTGAATGGGATCACGGAATAGCTCTGCATGCACTGCAGGGGAATGGGGCCTCATCTCGCCTCTAGGGGGAAGTCTCATGGTTTTTCTCGAGTTGCGGCGGGGACCTGGGGTATGTTCTCGACTTACGGCGGGGATGGCCCTTCAAAACACGAGTTTCTCCAGTGACGTCAGGACTCCTGTCTAGTAACGAGGGACACCTCAGGAATCTCTTCGAGGCTTGGCAGGGCAAAAGGGACGCTTCTCGAGGTGAGGCAGGGCACCCAAGGACCCTTTCCAGTAGCCACAGGGATTTTGGGATTCCTATCAGTATTCAAGAGGAGTCAGGCATCGTCACCTTTTGAAGCAATGAACTCCACGTGCCTCTCGAGGTGTCAGCGGGATGTGAGGCATTCCGTCAAAATGAGCCAGGGACCTAGGGCTTTCTCTAAGGTCTCCACAGGGGATTCAGACATCCCTTCATGTTGTCAGATCAAAGAGGAGCCTGTATTCAAGCCACTGCAAGGAAATCCGGCCTCCTTTCAAGTTAGGGCTTCTCGCTGTATATTCCCCTTGAGGCAGCAAACTCGGGGTCCCTCCCACATACCTATTGCTGAGAGAAGCCTCCTCCTGAGGTGCTTCTGGAAAGGTGGCATACGTCTTGAGCCTAAGCCAGGGAATCAGCTCTCATCTCGAGACGATTTGGGGTACACAGAGCATTCCTCGAGTTGCTGTGCTGAAGTTGGTGGTCCTCTAGACTTGGGACAGTGTTCTCGGGGCATCTCTGGAGTTGCCTGAAGGAAGTCGAGCCACCGGTCGTGTTGAATGGGGAACAAGGAATGGCTCTGGAGTCAATGCAGGGGAATCCGGCCTCATCTCGAGTTGATTTGGGGCACATGGAGCTGCTTTGCATTGCTTGGTGACCTCAGGGTCCGTCTAGACTGGTGACAGTGTTCTTGGGGACTGTCTCGAGATCCATTAAGCAAGTCGAAGCTGCTGACTTGTTTGAATGGGATCACGGAATAGCTCTGCATGCACTTCAAGGGAATGGGGCCTCATCTCGCCTCTAGGGGGAAGTCTCATTGTTTTTCTCGAGTTGCGGCGGGGACCTGGGGTATGTTCTCGACTTACGGCGGGGATGGCCCTGCAAAACACGAGTTTCTTCAGTGACGTCAGGACTCCTGTCTAGTAACGAGGGACACCTCAGCAATCTCTTCGAGGCTTGGCAGGGCAAAAGGGACGCTTCTCGAGGTGAGCCAGGGCACCCAAGGACCCTTTCCATTAGCCACAGGGATTTTGGGATTCCTATCAGTATTCAAGAGGAGTCAGGCATCGTCACCTTTCGAAGCAATGAACTCTGCGTGCCTCTCGAGGTGTCAGCGGGATGTGAGGATTCCGTCAAAATGAGGCAGGGACCTAGAGCTTTCTCTAAGGTCTCCACAGGGGATTCAGACATCCCTTCATGTTGTGAGATGAAAGACGAGCCTGTATTCAAGCCACTGCAAGGAAATCCGGCCTCCTTTCAAGTTAGGGCTTCTCGCTGTATATTCCCCTTGAGGCAGCAAACTCGGAGTCCCTCCCACATACCTATTGCTGAGAGAATCCTCCTCCTGAGGTGCTTCTGGAAAGGTGGCATACGTCTTGAGCCTAAGCCAGGGATTCAGCTCTCATCTCGAGACGATTTGTGGTACACAGAGCATTCCTCGAGTTGCTGTGCTGAAATTGGTGTTCCTCTAGACTTGGGACAGTGTTCTCTGGGCATCTCTGGAGTTGCCTGAAGGAAGTCGAGCCACCGGTCGTGTTGAATGGGGAACGGGGAATGGCTCTGGAGTCAATGCAGGGGAATCGGGCCTCATCTCGAGTTGATTTGTGGCACCTGGAGCTGCTTTGCGTTGCTGGGGTGACCTCAGGGTCCGTCTAGACTGGTGACAGTGTTCTTGGGGACTGCCTCGAGATCCATTAAGCAAGTCGAAGCTCCTGACTTGTTTGAATGGGATCACGGAATAGCTCTGCATGAACTGCAGGGGAATGGGGCCTCATCTCGCCTCTAGGGGGAAGTCTCATGGTTTTTCTCGAGTTGCGGCGGGGCCCTGGGGTATGTTCTCGACTTACGGCGGGGATGGCCCTTCAAAACACGAGTTTCTCCAGTGACGTCAGGACTCCTGCCTAGTAACGAGGGACACCTCAGGAATATCTTCGAGGCTTGGCAGGGCAAAAGGGACGCTTCTCGAGGTGAGGCAGGGCACCCAAGGACCCTTTCCAGTAGCCACAGGGATTTTGGGATTCCTATCAGTATTCAAGAGGAGTCAGGCATCGTCACCTTTTGAAGCAATGAACTCCGCGTGCCTCTCGAGGTGTCAGCGGGATGTGAGGCATTCCGTCAAAATGAGGCAGGGACCTAGGGCTTTCTCTAAGGTCTCCACAGGGGATTCAGACATCCCTTCATGTTGTGAGATGAAAGACGAGCCTGTATTCAAGCCACTGCAAGGAAATCCGGCCTCCTTTCAAGTTAGGGCTTCTCGCTGTATATTCCCCTTGAGGCAGCAAACTCGGGGTCCCTCCCACATACCTATTGCTGAGAGAAGCCTCCTCCTGAGGTGCTTCTGGAAAGGTGGCATACGTCTTGAGCCTAAGCCAGGGATTCAGCTCTCATCTCGAGACGATTTGGGGTACACAGAGCATTCCTCGAGTTGCTGTGCTGAAGTTGGTGTTCCTCTAGACTTGGGACAGTGTTCTCGGGGCATCCCTGGAGTTGCCTGAAGGAAGTCGAGCCACCGGTCGTGTTGAATGGGGAACGGGGAATGGCTCTGGAGTCAATGCAGGGGAATCGGGCCTCATCTCGAGTTGATTTGGGGCACATGGAGCAGCTTTGCGTTGCTGGGGTGACCTCAGGGTCCGTCTAGACTGGTGACAGTGTTCTTGGGGACTGTCTCGAGATCCATTAAGCAAGTCGAAGCTCCTGACTTGTTTGAATGGGATCACGGAATAGCTCTGCATGCACTGCAGGGGAATGGGGCCTCATCTCGCCTCTAGGGGGAAGTCTCATGGTTTTTCTCGAGTTGCGGCGGGGACCTGGGGTATGTTCTCGACTTACGGCAGGGATGGCCCTTCAAAACACGACTTTCTTCAGTGAGGTCAGGACTCCTGCCTAGTAACGAGGGACACCTCAGGAATCTCTTCGAGTCTTGGCAGGGCAAAAGGGACGCTTCTCGAGGTGAGGCAGGGCACCCAAGGACCCTTTCCAGTAGCCACAGGGATTTTGGGATTCCTATCAGTATTCAAGAGGAGTCAGGCATCGTCACCTTTTGAAGCAATGAACTCCGCGTGCCTCTCGAGGTGTCAGCGGGATGTGAGGCATTCCGTCAAAATGAGGCAGGGACCTAGGGCTTTCTCTAAGGTCTCCACAGGGGATTCAGACATCCCTTCATGTGTGAGATGAAAGACGAGCCTGTATTCAAGCTACTGCAAGGAAATCCGGCCTCCTTTCAAGTTAGGGCTTCTCGCTGTATATTCCCCTTGAGGCAGCAAACTTGGAGTCCCTCCCACATACCTATTGCTGAGAAGCCTCCTCCTGAGGTGCTTCTGGAAAGTTGGCATACGTCTTGAGCCTAAGCCAGGGAATCAGCTCTCATCTCGAGACGATTTGGGGTACACAGAGCATTCCTCGAGTTGCTGTGCTGAAGTTGGTGTTCCTCTAGACTTGGGACAGTGTTCTCGGGGAATCTCTGGAGATGCCTGAAGGAAGGCGAGCCTCCGTTCGTGTTGAACGGGGAACGGGGAATGGCTCTGGAGTCAATGCAGGGGAATCGGGCCTCATCTCGAGTTGATTTGGGGCATATGGAGCTGCTTTGCGTTGCTGGGGTGACCTCAGGGTCCGTCTAGACTGGTGACAGTGTTCTTGGGGACTGTCTCGAGATCCATTTAGCAAGTCGAAGCTCCTGACTTGTTTGAATGGGATCACGGAATAGCTCTGCATGCACTGCAGGGGAATGGGACCTCATCTCGCCTCTAGGGGGAAGTCTCATGGTTTTTCTCGAGTTGAGGCGGGGACCTGGGGTATGTTCTCGACTTACGGCGGGGATGGCCCTTCAAAACACGAGTTTCTTCGGTGACGTCAGGACTCCTGTCTCGTAACGAGGGACACCTCAGCAATTTCTTCGAGGCTTGGCAGGGCAAAAGGGACGCTTCTCGAGGTGAGCCAGGGCACCCAAGGACCCTTTCCAGTAGCCACAGTGATTTTGGGATTCCTATAAGTATTCAAGAGGAGTCAGGCATCGTCACCTTTTCAAGCAGTGATCTCTGCGTGCCTCTCGAGGTGTCAGGGGGATGTGAGGTATTCCGTCAAAATGAGGCAGGGACCTAGGGCTTCCTCTAAGGTCTCCACAGGGGATTCAGACATCCCTTCATGTTTTCAGATCGAAGACGAGCCTTTTTTCAACCCACTGCAAGGAAATCTGGCCTCCGTTCACGTTAGGGCTTCTCCCTGTGTATTCCCCTTGAGGCAGCAAACTCGGGGTCGCTCCCACATACCTATTGCAGAGAGAAGCCTCCTCCTGAGGTGCTTCTGGAAAGTTGGCATACGTCTTGAGCCTAAGCCAGAGAATCAGCTCTCATCTCGAGATGATTTGGGGTACACGGAGCATTCCTCGAGTTGCTGTGCTGAAGTTGGTGTTCCTCTAGACTTGGGGCAGTGTTCTCGGGGCATCTCTGGAGTTGCCTGAAGGAAGTCGAGCCACCGGTCGTGTGGAATGGGGAACGGGGAATGGCTCTGGAGTCAATGCAGGGGAATCGGGCCTCATCTCGAGTTGATTTGTGGCACATGGAGCTGCTTTGCGTTGCTGGGGTGACTTCAGGGTCCGTCTAGACTGGTGACAGTGTTCTTGGGGACTGTCTCGAGATCCATTAAGCAAGTCGAAGCTCCTGACTTGTTTGAATGGGATCATGGAATAGCTCTGCATGCACTGCAGGGGAATGGGGCCTCATCTCGCCTCTAGGGGGAAGTCTCATGGTTTTTCTCGAGTTGCGGCGGGGACCTGGGGTATGTTCTCGACTTACGGCGGGGATGGCCCTTCAAAACACGAGTTTCTTCCGTGACGTCAGGACTCCTGTCTAGTAACAAGGGACACCTCAGCAATCTCTTCGAGGCTTGGCAGGGCAAAAGGGACGCTTCTCGAGGTGAGCCAGGGCACCCAAGGACCCTTTCCAGTAGCCACAGGGATTTTGGGATTCCTATCAGTATTCAAGAGGAGTCAGGCATCGTCACCTTTTGAAGCAATGAACTCCGCGTGCCTCTCGAGGTGTCAGCGGGATGTGAGGCATTCCGTCAAAATGAGGCAGGGACCTAGGGCTTTCTCTAAGGTCTCCACAGGGGATTCAGACATCCCTTCATGTTGTCAGATCAAAGACGAGCCTGTATTCAAGCCACTGCAAGGAAATCCGGCCTCCTTTCAAGTTAGGGCTTCTCGCTGTATATTCCCCTTGAGGCAGCAAACTCGGGGTCCCTCCCACATACCTATTGCTGAGAGAAGCCTCCTCCTGAGGTGCTTCTGGAAAGGTGGCATACGTCTTGAGCCTAAGCCAGGGATTCAGCTCTCATCTCGAGACGATTTGGGGTACACAGAGCATTCCTCGAGTTGCTGTGCTGAAGTTGGTGTTCCTCTAGACTTGGGACAGTGTTCTCGGGGCATCCCTGGAGTTGCCTGAAGGAAGTCGAGCCACCGGTCGTGTTGAATGGGGAACGGGGAATGGCTCTGGAGTCAATGCAGGGGAATCGGGCCTCATCTCGTGTTGATTTGGGGCACATGGAGCAGCTTTGCGTTGCTGGGGTGACCTCAGGGTCCGTCTAGACTGGTGACAGTGTTCTTGGGGACTGTCTCGAGATCCACTTAGTAAGTCGAAGCTCCTGACTTGTTTGAATGGGATCACGGAATAGCTCTGCATGCACTGCAGGGGAATGGGGCCTCATCTCGCCTCTAGGGGGAAGTCTCATGGTTTTTCTCGAGTTGCGGCGGGGACCTGGGGTATGTTCTCTACTTACGGCGGGGATGGCCCTTCAAAACACGAGTTTCTTCGGTGACGTCAGGACTCCTGTCTAGTAACGAGGGACACCTCAGCAATTTCTTCGAGGCTTGGCAGGGCAAAAGGGACGCTTCTCGAGGTGAGCCAGGGCACCCAAGGACCCTTTCCAGTAGCAACAGGGATTTTGGGATTCCTATAAGTATTCAAGAGGAGTCAGGCATCGTCACCTTTTGAAGCAATGAACTCTGCGTGCCTCTCGAGGTGTCAGGGGGATGTGAGGTATTCCGTCAAAATGAGGCAGGGACCTAGGGCTTCCTCTAAGGTCTCCACAGGGGATTCAGACATCCCTTCATGTTGTCAGATCAAAGACGAGCCTGTTTTCAAGCCACTGCAAGGAAATCCGGCCTCCTTTCAAGTTAGGGCTTCTCGCTGTATATCCCCATTGAGGCAGCAAACTCGGGGTCCTTCCCACATACCTATTGCTGAGAGAAGCCTCCTCCTGAGGTGCTTCTGGAAAGGTGGCATACGTCTTGAGCCTAAGCCAGGGAATCAGCTCTCATCTCGAGACGATTTGGGGTACACAGAGCATTTCTCGAGTTGCTGTGCTGAAGTTGGTGGTCCTCTAGACTTGGGACAGTGTTCTCGGGGCATCTCTGGAGTTGCCTGAAGGAAGTCGAGCCACCGGTCGTGTTGAATGGGGAACAAGGAATGGCTCTGGAGTCAATGCAGGGGAATCCGGCCTCATCTCGAGTTGATTTGGGGCACATGGAGCTGCTTTGCATTGCTGGGTGACCTCAGGGTCCGTCTAGACTGGTGACAGTGTTCTTGGGGACTGTCTCGAGATCCATTAAGCAAGTCGAAGCTCCTGACTTGTTTGAATGGGATCACGGAATAGCTCTGCATGCACTGCAGGGGAATGGGGCCTCATCTCGCCTCTAGGGGGAAGTCTCATGGTTTTTCTCGAGTTGCGGCGGGGACCTGGGGTATGTTCTCGACTTACGGCGGGGATGGCCCTTCAAAACACGAGTTTCTTCCGTGACGTCAGGACTCCTGCCTAGTAACGAGGGACACCTCAGCAATCTCTTCGAGGCTTGGCAGGGAAAAAGGGACGCTTCTCGAGGTGAGCCAGGGCACCCAAGGACCCTTTCCAGTAGCCACAGGGATTTTGGGATTCCTATCAGTATTCAAGAGGAGTCAGGCATCGTCACCTTTCGAAGCAATGAACTCCGCGTGCCTCTCGAGGTGTCAGCGGAATGTGAGGATTCCGTCAAAATGAGGCAGGGACCTAGAGCTTTCTCTAAGGTCTCCACAGGGGATTCAGACATCCCTTCAGGTTGTGAGATGAAAGACGAGCCTGTATTCAAGCCACTGCAAGGAAATCCGGCCTCCTTTCAAGTTAGGGCTTCTCGCTGTATATTCCCTTTGAGGCAGCAAACTCGGAGTTCCTCCCACATACCTATTGCTGAGAGAAGCCTCCTCCTGAGGTGCTTCTGGAAAGTTGGCATACGTCTTGAGCCTAAGCCAGGGATTCAGCTCTCATCTCGAGACGATTTGTGGTACACAGAGCATTCCTCGAGTTGCTGTGCTGAAGTTGGTGTTCCTCTAGACTTGGGACAGTGTTCTCGGGGCATCTCTAGAGTTGCCTGAAGGAAGTCGAGCCACCGGTCGTGTTGAATGGGGAACGGGGAATGGCTCTGGAGTCAATGCAGGGGAATCCGGCCTCATCTCGAGTTGATTTGTGGCACCTGGAGCTGCTTTGCGTTGCTGGGGTGACCTCAGGGTCCGTCTAGACTGGTGACAGTGTTCTTGGGGACTGCCTCGAGATCCATTAAGCAAGTCGAAGCTCCTGACTTGTTTGAATGGGATCACGGAATAGCTCTGCATGCACTGCAGGGGAATGGGGCCTCATCTCGCCTCTAGGGGGAAGTCTCATGGTTTTTCTCGAGTTGCGGCGGGGACCTGGGGTATGTTCTCGACTTACGGCGGGGATGGCCCTTCAAAACACGAGTTTCTTCCGTGACGTCAGGACTCCTGTCTAGTAACGAGGGACACCTCAGCAATCTCTTCGAGGCTTGGCAGGGCAAAAGGGACGCTTCTCGAGGTGAGCCAGGGCACCCAAGGACCCTTTCCAGTAGCCACAGGGATTTTGGGATTCCTATCAGTATTCAAGAGGAGTCAAGCATCGTCACCTTTTGAAGCAATGAACTCCGCGTGCCTCTCGAGGTGTCAGCGGGATGTGAGGCATTCCGTCAAAATGAGGCAGGGACCTAGGGCTTTCTCTAAGGTCTCCACAGGGGATTCAGACATCCCTTCATGTTGTCAGATCAAAGACGAGCCTGTATTCAAGCCACTGCAAGGAAATCTGGCCTCCTTTCAAGTTAGGGCTTCTCGCTGTATATTACCCTTGAGGAAGCAAACTCGGGGTCCCTCCCACATACCTATTGCTGAGAGAAGCCTCCTCCTGAGGTGCTTCTGGAAAGGTGGCATACGTCTTGAGCCTAAGCCAGGGATTCAGCTCTCATCTCGAGACGATTTGGGGTACACAGAGCATTCCTCGAGTTGCTGTGCTGAAGTTGGTGTTCCTCTAGACTTGGGACAGTGTTCTCGGGGCATCCCTGGAGTTGCCTGAAGGAAGTCGAGCCACCGGTCGTGTTGAATGGGGAACGGGGAATGGCTCTGGAGTCAATGCAGGGGAATCGGGCCTCATCTCGAGTTGATTTGGGGCACATGGAGCAGCTTTGCCTTGCTGGGGTGACCTCAGGGTCCGTCTAGACTGGTGACAGTGTTCCTGGGGACTGTCTCGAGATCCATTAAGCAAGTCGAAGCTCCTGACTTGTTTGAATGGGATCACGGAATAGCTCTGCATGCACTGCAGGGGAATGGGGCCTCATCTCGCCTCTAGGGGGAAGTCTCATGGTTTTTCTCGAGTTGCGGCGGGGACCTGGGGTATGTTCTCGACTTACGGCAGGGATGGCCCTTCAAAACACGACTTTCTTCAGTGAGGTCAGGACTCCTGCCTAGTAACGAGGGACACCTCAGGAATCTCTTCGAGTCTTGGCAGGGCAAAAGGGACGCTTCTCGAGGTGAGGCAGGGCACCCAAGGACCCTTTCCAGTAGCCACAGGGATTTTGGGATTCCTATCAGTATTCAAGAGGAGTCAGGCATCGTCACCTTTTGAAGCAATGAACTCCGCGTGCCTCTCGAGGTGTCAGCGGGATGTGAGGCATTCCGTCAAAATGAGGCAGGGACCTAGGGGTTTCTCTAAGGTCTCCACAGGGGATTCAGACATCACTTCATGTTGTGAGATGAAAGACGAGCCTGTATTCAAGCCACTGCAAGGAAATCCGGCCTCCTTTCAAGTTAGGGCTCCTCGCTGTATATTCCCTTTGAGGCAGCAAACTCGGAGTCCCTCCCACATACCTATTGCTGAGAAGCCTCCTCCTGAGGTGCTTCTGGAAAGTTGGCATACGTCTTGAGCCTAAGCCAGGGAATCAGCTCTCATCTCGAGACGATTTGGGGTACACAGAGCATTCCTCGAGTTGCTGTGCTGAAATTGGTGTTCCTCTAGACTTGGGACAGTTTTCTCTGGGCATCTCTAGAGTTGCCTAAAGGAAGTCGAGCCAACGGTCGTGTTGAATGGGGAACGGGGAATGGCTCTGGAGTCAATGCAGGGGAATCGGGCCTCATCTCGAGTTGATTTGTGGCACCTGGAGCTGCTTTGCGTTGCTGGGGTGACCTCAGGGTCCGTCTAGACTGGTGACAGTGTTCTTGGGGACTGCCTCGAGATCCATTAAGCAAGTCGAAGCTCCTGACTTGTTTGAATGGGATCACGGAATAGCTCTGCATGCACTGCAGGGGAATGGGGCCTCATCTCGCCTCTAGGGGGAAGTCTCATGGTTTTTCTCGAGTTGCGGCGGGGACCTGGGGTATGTTCTCGACTTACGGCGGGGATGGCCCTTCAAAACACGAGTTTCTTCCGTGACGTCAGGACTCCTGTCTAGTAACGAGGGACACCTCAGCAATCTCTTCGAGGCTTGGCAGGGCAAAAGGGACGCTTCTCGAGGTGAGCCAGGGCACCCAAGGACCCTTTCCAGTAGCCACAGGGATTTTGGGATTCCTATCAGTATTCAAGAGGAGTCAGGCATCGTCACCTTTTGAAGCAATGAACTCCGCGTGCCTCTCGAGGTGTCAGCGGGATGTGAGGCATTCCGTCAAAATGAGGCAGGGTCCTAGGGCTTTCTCTAAGGTCTCCACAGGGGATTCAGACATCCCTTCATGTTGTCAGATCAAAGACGAGCCTGTATTCAAGCCACTGCAAGGAAATCCGGCCTCCTTTCAAGTTAGGGCTTCTCGCTGTATATTCCCCTTGAGGCAGCCAACTCGGGGTCCCTCCCACATACCTATTGCTGAGAGAAGCCTCATCCTGAGGTGCTTCTGGAAAGGTGGCATACGTCTTGAGCCTAAGCCAGGGATTAAGCTCTCATCTCGAGACGATTTGGGGTACACAGAGCATTCCTCGAGTTGCTGTGCTGAAGTTGGTGTTCCTCTAGACTTGGGACAGTGTTCTCGGGGCATCCCTGGAGTTGCCTGAAGGAAGTCGAGCCACCGGTCGTGTTGAATGGGGAACGGGGAATGGCTCTGGAGTCAATGCAGGGGAATCGGGCCTCATCTCGAGTTGATTTGGGGCACATGGAGTAGCTTTGCGTTGCTGGGGTGACCTCAGGGTCCGTCTAGACTGGTGACAGTGTTCCTGGGGACTGTCTCGAGATCCATTAAGCAAGTCGAAGCTCCTGACTTGTTTGAATGGGATCACGGAATAGCTCTGCATGCACTGCAGGGGAATGGGGCCTCATCTCGCCTCTAGGGGGAAGTCTCATGGTTTTTCTCGAGTTGCGGTGGGGACCTGGGGTATGTTCTCGACTTACGGCGGGGATGGCCCTTCAAAACACGAGTTTCTCCAGTGACGTCAGGACTCCTGCCTAGTAACGAGGGACACCTCTGGAATCTCTTCGAGGCTTGGCAGAGCAAAAGGGACGCTTCTCGAGGTGAGGCAGGGCACCCAAGGACCCTTTCCAGTAGCCACAGGGATTTTGGGATTCCTATCAGTATTCAAGAGGAGTCAGGCATCGTCACCTTTTGAAGCAATGAACTCCGCGTGCCTCTCGAGGTGTCAGCGGGATGTGAGGCATTCCGTCAAAATGAGGCAGGGACCTAGGGCTTTCTCTAAGGTCTCCACAGGGTATTCAGACATCCCTTCATGTTGTCAGATCAAAGACGAGCCTGTATTCAAGCCACTGCAAGGAAATCCGGCCTCCTTTCAAGTTAGGGCTTCTCGCTGTATATTCCCCTTGAGGCAGCAAACTCGGGGTCCCTCCCACATACCTATTGCTGAGAGAAGCCTCATCCTGAGGTGCTTCTGGAAAGGTGGCATACGTCTTGAGCCTAAGCCAGGGATTCAGCTCTCATCTCGAGACGATTTGGGGTACACAGAGCATTCCTCGAGTTGCTGTGCTGAAGTTGGTGTTCCTCTAGACTT